TGGTCTATGTATACGATGGAATATTCCTCAGCCATTAGAAACGACAAATACCCACCATTTGCTTCGACGTGGATGGAACTGGAGGGTATTATGCTGAGTGAAGTAAGTCAATCAGAGAAGGACAAACCTATGTTCTCTTTCATTTGGGGAATATAAATAATAGTGAAATGGAATATAAGGGAAGGGAGAAGAAGTGTGTGGGAAATATCAGAAAGGGAGACAGAACATAAAGACTCCTAACTCTGGGAAATGAACTAGGGGTGGTGGAAGGGGAGAGGGGCGGGGGGTGGGGGTGAATGGGTGACGGGCACTGAGGGGGGCACTTAACAGGATGCGCACTGGGTGTTATTCTGTATGTTGGTAAATTGAACACCAATAAAAAATTAATTTATAAAAAATAAAATAAAATAAAATGTAATCGCCAACCCCCCCAAAAAAACTTATTTAAAAAAAGAACTGAAAAAGAGAAAAATTGACTTATGATTTTATTTAGAATTCCTTGTATGAATCAAAACCACAATGAGATACCACCTCACACTAGTGAGAATGGGGAAAATTAACAAGGCTCCTGCTTCCTAGCCACAAATGTTGGAGAGGTTGCAGAGAAAAGGGAACCCTCTTGCAATGTTGGTGGGAATGTGAAATGGTGCAGCCACTCTGGAAAACTGTGTGGAGGTTCCTCAAAGAGTTAAAAATAGACCCGCCCTATGACCCAGCAATTGCACTGCTGGGGATTTACTCCAAAGATACGGATGCAATGAAATGCCAGGACACCTGCACCCCGATGTTTGTAGCAGCCATGTCCATGATAGCCAAACTGTGGAAGGAGCCTCGGTGTCCATCAAAAGATGAATGGATAAAGAAGATGTGGTCTATGTATACAATGGAATATTCCTCAGCTATTAGAAACGACAAATACCCACCATTTGCTTCGACCTGGATGGAACTGGAGGGTATTATGCTGAGTGAAATAAGTCAATCGGAGAAGGACAAACATTGTATGTTCTCATTCATTTGGGGAATATAAATAATAGTGAAAGGGAATAAAGGGGAAAGGAGAAAAATGAGTGGGAAATATCAGAAAGGGAGACAGAACATGAAAGACTCCTAACTCTGGGAAACGAACTGGGGGCGGTGGAAGGGGAGGAGGGCTGGGGGTGGGGGTGACTGGGTGGCGGGCACTGAGGTGGGTACTTGATGGGACGAGCACTAGGTGTTATTCTGTATGTTGGCAAATTGAACACCAATAAAAATGAATTTATTATTTAAAAAAGGAATAGAGATATAAAGGATAACCAAATGGAAATTTTGGGGACTAAACAATACAATAACCAAGCTAAAAGTCCAACTGGGGAATGGGAGGGGCAGAGAAAGCAATCAGTGAACCTGAAGATAGGACAATAGAACTTACCCAATCCAGGGATCTCTGGGTGGCTCAGCAGTTGGAGCCTGCCTTTGGGCCAGGTCGTGATCCTGGAGTCCCAGGATCGAGTCCCACACCAGGCTCCCTGCATGCATGGAGCCTGTTTCTCCCTCTGCCTGTGTCTCTGCCTCTCTCTCTCTCTCTCTCTCTCTCTCTCTCTCTCATTAATAAATCTTTAAAAATAAAAAAAACCTTACCCAATCTGTAGTAACATAGAATAGAGTGAAAAAATGTGAACGAGGACCTGTGGGACTACTACAAAAGATTTAACATTAGTATCATCGAAGTCCTGGAAAGAGAGAAGAACAGCAGTCGGGCTGGAAAATTACTCAAAGAAATAGTGACTTAAAATGAAGGAGATTCACACACCTGCTCAACATGGATGAACTTTGAAGACATTATGTGAATGAAATAAGCCAGACACGAGAAAGATATAGTATGATTCCATTTATATTAGGTCCCTAGAGCAGTCAAATTCATAGAAACAGAAAGTAGAGCAGTGTTTACTGGGGGCTGAGGAGAAGAGGAAACAGGGAGTTTTCAATGGGGACAGTTTCAGTTTTACAGGATGAAAGGGTTGTAGAGATAATTAGCATTGATGGATACACAACAATGTACATATAACAACACTGAACTATAAGCTTAAAAATGATATATTTTATGTCCTCCGTGTTGTGCCCTTTACAATGCTCTAAAAAATTAGGACTTGCTCTTTGGAAGACTTTGGTAAGAAGATGATGAAAAGATAAGCTGCCAAGTGAGAGAAAATATTTGTAAACCACATATCTGACAAATGACTAGTCTCCAGGATACATACAGAACCCCCACATTTCAAAAGTAAACAGTCCTATCAGAAAATGGACAGAAGGGATCCCTGGGTGGCGCAGCGGTTTGGCGCCTGCCTTTGGCCCAGGGCGCGATCCTGGAGACCTGGGATCGAATCCCATGTCTGGCTCCCGGTGCATGGAGCCTGCTTCTCCCTCTGCCTGAGTCTCTGCCTCTGTGTGTGTGTGTGTGTGTGTGTGTGACTATCATAAATAAATAAAAATTTAAAAAAAAGAAAATGGACAGAAGACCTGGACAGATATTCCACCCAAGAAGATAATCAGATGGCAAATGAAACCATTCTGCAGCAATCACACTGCTAGGCATTTATCCTAGAATAAAGAAGATGATAATCACACAGAAATCTGTACCTGAATGTTTATAGCAGGCTTATCTGAAACAGCCCCAAACTGGGAGGGATCTAAATAGCCATCAGTGGGTGAGTGGCTCCACAGGTTGTGGTACGTCTATGCCATGGAACATTACTCACCCGTAAAAAGGAATGGACTACCGACAGTTGCAACTCTATTCATGAATTGCCAAAGAATTATGCAAAGTGAAAAAGAGCCAATCTCAAAAGGTTTCATGCAGGTTGCTCCATTCTTAAAATCACAAAAGTAACAAATATAAGTTGTCATGGTTGAAGTGTTAAGATGGGAGGGAAGTGGATCTGGCTGAACCCAAAAAAAAGGGTAACATGAAGAATCCTTGTGATAGAAACATTTTGTAGCTAGCCTGTATCAGTGTCATCAATTTCAATCTCCTGGTTGTCGTCACACTATAGTTTTGTGAGATACTACTATTGGGGGAAATTGGATAAATGATGCCTGAGCTTTCTATATAGTTTCTTTCAACTGCATTGTGATTCAAGAATGATCTCAGAAGATAAAACTTAACTGAAAAAGGTTACCATATAATAAAATACAACACACCTAGTCATCCCCACTCCCTGCCCACCTCCCTTTCCACCACCCCTTGTTAGTTTCCCAGAGTTAGGAGTCTCTCATGTTCTGTCTCCCTTTCTGATATTTCCCACTCATTTTTTCTCCTTTCCCCTTTATTCCCTTTCACTATTTTTTCTATTCCCCAAATGAAGGAGACCATATAATGCTATATGTTGGCAAATTGAACTCCAATTAAAAAAAATAAAAAAAGAAAAGGGAAATTTGGACAGAAATACAGACACAGAAGTCACAGGGAGAATGCCACGGAAAGGAGACAGGCATTGGGGCCTTCTGTGTATATGCCTGGGAATAGCAAAGACTGCTGGCAAGTAGCAGATGCTAGAAGGGAGGTGCAGAGCAGATTCTCCCTCACAGCCTCAGGATGGAACCAACCTAGCCAACAACTTGACTTTGGATTTCTAACATCCAGAATTGGGAGATAATAAATGTCTGTTGTTTTAAAAATAATAATAAATAAAATAAAATACAACACAACACAAATATAGAAAACAAGATATAGTACATCAGATTTGATCTTTAGAAACAATCTGCCAACAAAAGACTCCTAATAAATGCAGGGACTCTGGGACCCAGTGAGTTCACCTGACAGAGTTCAGCCTGGGAAGAGGGACATGGATCATGCCACATGACATTAGGAGAGGCGAGCCACTGTGTACGAAGCACAGGAAGCAGAGTAATAAGGCAGAGCTCACAAGGAAAGCTGGGCTTGGGAAGCCGGGCTAGCCACCAGCAAGGACTGAGGGAAGCTGGGATCTTGGAGGAGCCAATGCCTCTGTGCAGCCCTGGTGAGTGTCTCTCAACATATCAAGCTGAAGCTGGGCCCACCCTGCAGAATCTGATCTAAACAGGCTTAGATGAGGATATGTCATCCCAGCACACAGCACAGAGGAGGTTACCAAAGAAATGCAGCCTCAGAAAAGTTGCTCAGTCTCACCTGGGTCCCTATGCACAGAGCCAGGGTTGATGTGGACACGGCCAGCTGGGGCTGGGTGGGCATGGGACGGAGCGGAAGGGGTGGGCTCAGATGCAGACCGTGAGGGCTAAGAGCAGAGGTGTGTTCACTGTGTGTCTGAACAAGAGTGGTCAGAGCTATAGGACTGTTGAGGGACTCTTGGCAGAATGCTCAGAGGTAGTCCCTGGGCACAATGGACCTGCCCCAGAAGAGAATACTGGCAGGATGCCATTCCTAGCTGAAACTAGAATTAGAATCAGTCAAGGCAAAACAAGGCAGCCAGCACTTATGCAACGCCAGACCCACACATTCTTTCCAAATGAGATTTCCCATCCAGGAGTGGGAGGTAGGGGGTGAGAGGGCTGGAGGGGGGTGAGGTTCCAGATTTTTCTGCAGCTTCTGCAGCCTCCCGGTTCAGGAGTCTGCCCCTGCTTCCCCTGTGGGTGGCCTGGCTGGTCACTCACCAGGCCCCTTTCTGCTTCCCACAGAGGGCTGATGTGGCCAGTCCTGGAGGCCACACAAGGTCAGCGAGGCAACTGTGGGGGCCAGGCTGGTTGGGATCTGTGCACCTCCCAGCACCCAGAAGCCCCAGGAGAGGTGCCTTGGAGGCCGTGGGTGGGGCGAGGCTGGGGACCCGCAGGATCGGATCACCCTAGGTGAGGCTGCGCTGGCAACTCTGGTTCTTCCACTCTAGGGGCCAGATGCCTCGCTTCCACTCATTCCATGGGGAAGCGCAGTTCCGCTCCTTAGTCAGCCCCCCAAGTCCCAGGTGAGGTGGCAGGACCCTGACTTCTTTCCTCAAACTAAACTGAACAAAGACACAGATTACACCTCATCTGGTTCTGCTTTTTATTGGCATGCTGTGCATATACAGCAAGTTCTAGAAGCAAGACTAGGGGGTGAAGCCCAGCAGGGTGATCTCCTCGCCCCCCCAAATCCACCTGGCCCAGTGCTCAGTGCACCTGCGCCAGATTGTGCTTCTTATACAGCAGTGCCCGCCTCTTCTCTCGCTCACGCAGGAAAGCACGCAGGCGCACTGTGGGGAAGGTCACGGCAGCTGGCTGGGAGCCGGCAGGGCCCTCCTCGGTTAGCCACGGGCACTGCAAGCAGCTTGATGCACAAGGCCGGCCCCTAGATAGAGGGTGAAGGTGTCTGCTGAGCCCTTGGAGCTGAGGCGAGCGGGGAAGGGAGGCGGGAAGTGGGTAGACAAGGTGGGGGAGCGGGCATTGGTGGACGTGGGGCAAGGCGGAGGGGGTTGGCCCTGGCGGGTCCACCTTACCACGGGTGAGCACACAATGTGCTCCGGAGAAAAGCCACGGCGCCGCCAGACAGCCCTGCGTAGCAGCGGCTCAGATGGATCAGCCCCTTGCGCAGGCTTTTCTGCAGGTCGCGTGTCCCTTCACTGTTCACGGGGTACTCGGCACTCAGCCTGCACGCGGGGTGTCAGGACACCCAGGTCACTCTCAGGTGGATGGAGCCACAGGGAGCTCTGGGGTCACCCTCGATGGATAGGGAATCATAGGGAACTGAGATCACCCTCAAATGGATGGGGGACTCGAGGTCTGAGGCTACCCTCATTTGGAGGACACACAGGGGGCTCCCGGGACACCTCGATGGATCCCCAGTCTCCCAGCCCCTGCGCTTGGGGGACTTACATGATGAAGGCTGTGACGCCTATGGCCCAGATGTCGGTCTGCGGGAGGGCACTCTGGCCCTCCAGGAGCTCGGGAGCTGGGGGACAGCACAGGTGAGAGGCTGGCTGTTTGCAGGGCGGGGGGGGGGCAGGTCTGGGGGCTGGGCTTCCTCCTGTCCCCCCCTTTTCCCCTTCTCAACACCCGGGTCAGGTTGGCCTCTGCTCCCTGCGCACCCATGGTCTCCACGTAGTCCTTGAAGCCCTCGGAGGGCAGGATCCTCTCCTGGGTGAGACTCTGAGCGTTGCCCAGGTCCACGACCTTGAGTAAGTTGTACTCGGTGATGATCATGTTCTCCGACCTGAGGTCCAGGTGCAGGATGCGCTGGGCGTGCAGGTACTGGGCCGCACTCAACATCTGCCACAGGTAGTCCTTCACCTCTGATTCTGAGTAGGAGACCCTGGAGTGGCACGGGGAGGGGGCTTAGCCCTGTCCACGCCGCGGAAGTTGTGCAGGGACACCAGCCCTTCTGGTGGGCTTGGGAGGGGTGCCCCCCCAGAGCCTCCTGGCTCTGGCGGGCCGCGGAAGCCGGGCAGCAGGTGGGCGGCGAGGTGAGAGGCGGTGCGCCTGTGTGTCGGGCGCCCCTCCACGCCCCGACGTGCTGAGCATCCCGCCCTGGGCCCTGCATCCAGGCGAGGCCTCACCTCTCCGCCAGGCAGGGGAGCAGCTCCGGTCCCAAGCACAACTCCAAGATAAGAACCAGGTGCCGGGGGCTGAGGTAGGCGGCCTGTAGCTGGGCCAGGTGCGGGTGGCGCAGGCTCTTGAGGGCTTCGTATTCCCGCAGCACGTCAGGCCTGTCCTCGAGGCGGTAGGGGATGATCTTGGCGGCCAGTGCGCGCCCGCTGGCCTTCTCCTGGCACTGCCGCACGACGCTGAAGCGGCCCCTGGGCGAGCAAGCACCGGACTGGCTGGTGAGGACCCCCGCGCCCTCCTTCCCAGGAGGGGCTGGAAAGCCGGGCAGTGGGAGGTGACTGGAGCCTTGGGGAGGGGGCTGAGGCTCTTGGAACCATACCATGTGGGCATGAGAAGCAGGGAGAGAGGCTGAGGCTGGGATGGGAGCAGGGAAAGCGGGGAGGGGGGGCAGGGGGGGCTGCAGCACCTTCGGATCTGTGTCTGGAAGGTGAAGGTCTGCGTGCTAGGGAGGGGCTGCGTGGGCCATGGGATGCTGCTCTCTTCCTCCGAGGCTGTGGGAGAAGGAGCCAGTGAGTGGGAGGCACCCCTACAGCCCCAGCTCGCCCCACCTGGTCTCCTGTACCCCTTCCCAGGCCCCCTAGCAGGGGCCCCATCTGTGAAGCCCCACACTTTTTTCTCTCATTCCTCAGGCCCTTTGGGGGCAGAGGCCTACCAGTGAGTGGGTGGGTCTGAGTGAAGGGGCAGGGCCAATGGATAGGACTACCGCCCCACGCCAGCAGGCTTGACAAGCACCTCACCCAGGTGGCTGGGCCCTCCCAGGAGGACCTGCTCTGAGGGGCTGCTGTAGGGTCCCATGCCCGCCTTGCTGACGCAGGCCGTCCGGAAAGTATACAGGCCCCCCGGGGAAAGCTTGCTGGTGAGGTAGCAGCAGTCAAAGATGTCGGAAGCCAGGGTGCTCCAGCTGCCGCCTGGGCCACAAGGAAGTGGGTGAGGGACAGTCCAGGGCCTCCCCACTCCCGAGTCGGGGGGTGCAGAGACCCTTCCCCAAGGGAATACAGAGGTGGCTGGGTTCTGCCCAAGAGGCAAGGCAGCGGGGGCTCCTACCTTCCAGACTGCACTGCACGATGTAGGTCACAGGTCCGTAGGACTCCACGGGCTTCCAGACCAGCAGCACCGCATCAGCATACACCTCCCCAATGTCCGGGCGTGGAGAAGATGAGGGGCGCTCTGCAGGGCCCATGGGCAGCCGTCAGAGGTGGGCCCCCCACGGCTTCCCACCACAGCTGAGTGCCCCCAGCCCTGCCTCAACCTCCCGCACCTGCTGCCAGATTCCTGAGCCCACCATCCCCTACAGCTATGCCCCACCTGGGGGCGTCCCAGTCTGCAGAGCAGACTCTCCAGGCCCTGGCCGTGCTGGGGTGGGGAGATGACTGAGTGGTGAGCATCATGCTAAAGGGGCCTCCTCCTGGAAGGGGACCAGCACAAACCAACTCACAAAGCATGAGGTGGTCGGCGGGCACCCTAGAAGCACCCATCAGGGTCAGTACCCACCCCCACCCTGCTGAGAGGGCCTGGCCTACCCACCTGCCTTCCGGAGGACAGCCGTGGTGGTTGCCGTCCCCAGTGTGTTGCTCACACGGCATGTATACACCCCCAGGTCCTCAGCAGTCACCACCAGAATGGTGAGCAGCTGGAAGTGCTTGAGCGTGGCAGAGATGAGGAGGCGGCTGCTGCTCTGCAGGAGAGCCCCGTCTACGGCAGGACAGAGCAGGCCTGGGCAGTGGCACCAACATGCACCCTGCCTTCCAGGGGCCTGCCTCCCCCTATTGCAGGGGGCACCCTCTGCCTTCCTGCCACCTGCCCCGGGACATTTTCTTACCTTTGGTCCAGGTGGCCTGTGCAGCCGGCTGGGCCGACACTTGGCAAGCAAGAGTCACGGACTGGCCCAGGACCACTGTTTCATCTGAGAGCTCCCGTAGAAAGGATGGCGCTAGGGAAGGGGGCCAGACAAGCCTTCAAAGCCACCCCCAACCTGAAAACATGGCCTGCACCCCCGAGACGGGGATGCTAGGGAAACCCATGCCCACTCAGCTCCCCTTCAACACTAGCACCTCCTCCAGGACTGCCCCAATGCTGAGCACCAGAGCCGCCCCCATGTCCCCACTAATCAGGGCCCCAGGCCCTGTGGATGTAAGCTTGGCCCCTCCAGTGGCCCTGGAAACCAGAGAGGGGCTCCCTCCCCCTGCAGTTGGGTCCCCATGGCTGCCCCTGGGCAGCACACACACCTTGGTCCCTGCTCTTCAGGCCCAGCCGGAAGGAAGCCAGGCCTGCCTTCTTCCTGGGGGGGCTCTCTTTCTCTGGGCCTGCAGGGAGGAAGAGGCCTCTGGAAGTCACAACTGTGGGGTCGGCTTCCCTGATGCTGACTGTGTTGGCATCGGTGCGGGAGCAGGGGAGGAGGAACCCGGACCCCCACCCCCCACAGCGGGATTCCTGCATGGCCACAGAGCACACAGCCCAGGGGTCCAATCCGCTGCTGACACCACACCTTTCCCACCCTGTCAGGGTCAGTCTATCTTGGGCAAGGGCACCAGGGGCAGGGGATGGGGAACGCTCGGGCCACTGGTGTCTGGGGAGGCCTGGCCATGGAACCCAGGGTCAGGGCCAGTCAGGCAGGGCTCTCTGTTCCCACGCGGGCCATATGGTGACCTCAGGAACAGAAGCCCCTGTGTGCAGGTGATGTGTGTGGCCCAGGGAACCCCCACCCTAGAGAGTGGCTTCTGGGTCAGCACAGGGGGTGAGGTGCCCCAAGGTTCAGACAGACACCGGCCACCTGCCAGGGCTGAGGGGACGGGTGGGGGGGCGGGGGAGTCACCTTCAGGCCTGCCCTTCAGGAGGCGGGAGATGTGGGCCACAGACGCCCTCACCCTCCGGCGAAGGCCCAGCTCCACGGGCTCCTGCTCCTCTGGCAGCACATGCCTCCCTGGGAGATGGAAGAGGTCACGGGCGGGGGGCGACCATTTGCGCTTCCTGCTGCCCGTGGCCTCTCTGAGCAGGGTCTCCATGTCCTCTGGCTCCTCAGTGATGTGCAAGCTGGCTGGTGTGCCCAGGGCACCTGGCCAGGGCCACCCGGCCTCTGGGAGCGTGGCCAACTCCTCCCCGGCCTCAGACTCAGGGGAGGATGGTGGCTCTGGCTCCACAGGCTTGGGGACCCTCCTGAAGATCATGAACTCAAAAGGGAGGTACTTGATGTCATACAGGTCAGACAGGTTGAGGTAGGCAGGCTCCACCTCTGAGATGTCCAGGGATATGGTGTCTGCTGCCTCGGAGTCCCCGGACAGGTCTCGGATCTGCACCAGGGACACCTGGGAGCCACCACCAAAGTCTTCCCACGCACTCAGCTCCGGGGAGGCCAGTGAGGGTGCCCCACTGCCCTTGGGAAGGGGCGCTTTGCTGGCCTGGGGTGGCGGGCTCTGGGCCCCTACTTCATCATGCTCCTCTGAGGACTGAGAAGTGGCCCAGGCCATCCTGGCCCACAGGGGACCCTGCCCCAGCATGCCCCCTGCATCCCCACCGAAGGCAAAGGTGCCATAGCCAGCCACGCCTGCGTAGCCTCCACGCCATGCCCCCAGGGAGAACTTCCGTGTAGTAGCCTGCTCCTGAGGCCGCTGCAGGCTGGGTTCCCACTCAAGAGCTTCCTCAGGCTCTGCAGCCAGGCCCTCCCTATCCTGGGTGGGGCCAGGCTCCGCTCCCATTGGGGAGGCCAGCCCTGGGGCGCTAGGGGGGCCCCGCCTCGCAGGGAGAGGGCTGTCCTTCAGTTCTGTCTTACCGCCTGGCTGGGGACACTCTTGGGCTAGGGACAGGAACCCCTTTGGCTCCGGGGAGAGGAGGGAGCTGGAGGGAGCTGAGAGGGACCCCGTGCACTGTTTTGTAGGGAAAGAGCCTGGAGCCTGTGGTATAATGGCCGGAGGGGGAACCCAGCCTTCCAGGGCAGTAGGACCCCACTGCCCCCCACAGCTGTCCTGAGATGACCCCTCTTGCTGGGTGGACCCCAGGGCCCCGGTGATGGACTGAAACAGTCTTGGCCCCTGCTGGGGTCCCTCTGGCAGCTCCCTCTCCCGGGCAACTGTGGCGCCAGCTCTGCCCGGCCAGCTCTGCCCGGAGTCCATCCGGGCGTCCGAGGGAGCCGGGGTAGCGCACTGGCCGCCACCGCAGGCCACGGCCGAGGGGCTGCGGCTGCGCGCGCCCCCGAGCTCCAGGGATCGGCTGTGGCCCCGGGCCCCGCGGGCGCTCTCGGAGGAGGGCGCCTTGGCCATCAGGGCGGCCTGCTCGTCGCGGGCCGCCGCCTCCTCCAGCGCGCGGCGCTCCAGCAGTGGCTCCCGCAGGCCCGGCAGGGCGCGGGCGAAGTAGCCGCCCTTGAGCAGGTGCCGCCGCCGCGCCGGGGGCCTCCCGCCACCCGCGGGCCCTCGGCGCTCCGGGCCCTCGGCCGCCTGCTGGTAGAAGAGGCTGCGGATGACGCTCTGCCGCGGCACGCAGCCCGGGGCGGCGGGGGACGCCGCGGGCGGGGGCGCGGCGGCAGGGGGCGCGCGGGCCTCGGCCTCCTCGGGCAGGCTGGCCGAAGGCCGCAGGAAGCCCCGCGGGTGCAGCAGCGGCGAGTGGGTCACCGGAGACGGCGGCAGCGACTTGGCCCGGGCGAAGGGGGCCAGCTCGTTGTCGGAGGAGGAGGACGAGCTGCTGGAGGAGGCGCTGGCGCCACCGCGCAGGTGCCGCGCCACCCCGAGGGACGGGCTGTCGGGCGGGCCCTGGAGCAGCTCGGGGATGGAGCGCATCACCAGGATGGACTTGTAGCTCATCAGGGAGCGCTGCGGGGCGCGGGGGAGGGGACGTCAGCCGTGCGCCCCCCACCCCCGCCTTCTTCGCTCCCGGCAGGCTCAGAAGGGGCACCCGGGAGCCGGGAGGCGCTACAAGCTCCACGCTTCGGATCCCACGGCTCTGCCCTCGCGGGGACTCTGCACGCCCCGCCGCCCTGCCCCCGTGGCTCCCAGAGCGCGGGCCCCGAATTGGGATGCCCTGTGCCGCCTGCGGGGCCTGCTTTCTGTCGCCCCCCGCCCCTCCAGGCCCCTCCTGGGCGCTGACACCGCATGGCACCTTCCCCCCTCCCTCCCTCCCTCCCTCTCCCCGCCCCCCCCCCCCCCCCAGAGGCTGCAGGGCTCACCTGCCAGCGGCTGCGGGCCAGCAGAAACTTGAGTTGCTTGGTGTTGATGAAGTGGGCCTCCTCCGCGGGCACCGAAGTCTGAGGGGGTCCAGGTGAGAGGGGCGATAAGGGGGGCCCCAGTGCACCCTGGGTCCACACAGCCCCCCCCCCCCGGACTCAGATTGGCCCCCTGTGCACATCTGCTTGGGCCCAGCCTACTCACCTGGAACCAGGGGTGTGTGAGGCATTTGGCTGCGCTGGGCCGGGCCCTAGTGAGAGAGGAGGACCAGGGATCAGGCCAGGTGGCAGCTGCCCCAGGCCTTGGCCTAAGAGAACCCCAGATGAGGCAACAGGTGGGGGGTGCTGTGCACTCACTTTGGGGCCCTTTGCAGGGTAGCCTTGATGAAGTCCTGGGCATCCTTGCTGAGGTGGGTAGTCATGGGGCTGTTCCAGGACACCTGCCCCTCCAGCACGTTCAGGAGGGTGGCTCGGTCACTCTCACCAGCAAATGGTGATGAGCAGGTCAGGCTAGAGGCAGAGACATGACTTGCCTTCAGATGTGACCTGGACTTGTGATCCATAGAAGCCAGAACTTGTATGGGGCCCCCACTCCTGCCTGGGGTGGCCACAGTGCCATGGCCATCCAGACCCCAGGATTTCCACAATGGTCTGAGACTTGCCCAGAGATCCAGGCTCAGCCCAGGACAGGGATCAAGGCTTAGCTTGAGGTGGGATCCAGGTGAAGTCTACACCAGCAACATGCTCAGAACAGCAGTAATTGGTGGAAGGGGCCCTCCAGCAAACTACCCAGACCCTTTAGGGAAACAGCTCACTGCTTTGCCTGGTGACTCCACAGAGCATCTCTGGGACAGTGCGTGTAAGAAAAGAGCTCAGTGGAAACCCCTTATTAGTTGGCTGACCGCTGGTTAGCCCTAATAGCTGCCCTTGGGGTCCTGGATCTTTGATCTGGGGAGCGGCCAGTAGTGCTCGAGGCCTCCCCTGGGCCTGATGGGGAGGGGGTCTGGGGTCGGCTTCAGAGGAGGTGGCTGACAAAGGCTTGGGTCTGCTCACCTGAGGTAGGAGATGACACCCATGGACCTGCAGAACAAAACCACAGTCACAGGGTGTGCTCGAGGTTGTGGGGTGTGTGTGCTGGGGGGCTGCTGGCATGGAAGCTGGCCTCCCCAGGCACCCACTCACTCACCAGATGTCAGAGGCCTCGCTCACTGGGGTCTGCTCGATGATCTCGGGAGACACAAACTCTGGGGAGCCATACTTGCTGTACTGTGGCTCTCCTGGGGTGATTTTTTGGGCAAAGCCAAAATCGCAGATTTTAATGTCTTCCCGAGCAGGATGTACCATCAGGATGTTGGGGGGCTGTGAGGGAGAGTCAGGGAGGGGTGAGGTCGTGCCCTGAGGAGGTGACTCCTGGGGCTGCAGGGAACACTCAGTTCTGTGAGGCCAATGTGGGAGTGCCTCTGATTCATCAGAGCTATACCCCACCGGAGAGAGCTCCCCATCCCCAGAGGCAACCGTGTCCTAACAGGGAATCTAGACATGGTAGGCCTGTGCCCACTCCCTCCCATGTCTGCAGGCCCCAGGCTCCCACCTGTCCCTCCTGGGTCCCTGGGCACCCATGGGGGCTGAGTACCTTTATGTCCAGGTGCAGAACGCTGTGGCTGTGCAGGTACTGTAGCCCCTCCACCAGCTGCTGGACATAGACCTTGACCTGAAGCAAAGGCCAGGGCTCAGGTGGGAACCCTCCTCCTCCCCCACCCCCTTCCCTCCTCCTAGCCTTCCCTCTTCTATTCCCCCTATCTACAAGGTATCCACTTCCCTCACCATCTGAGCTTGGGATGGTGCCATGGGGCAGGTCATGTGTAAAGCCTCCCAGACCCCATGCACATCAAGGCCAGAGGACTCCTCCAGCCTGGAAATGGATCAGCCTGACCAAAGCAGGACGGGGTGCCTCAGGAGCAGGCTAGGATGGCACACTGGCCAGGCAAGGAATCAGTGTGTGTGTGTGGGGGGGGGAGGGGTGCATGGGAGGACTGGGAGAGCTCTAGGAGGAGTTGCCACACCCTGTGAGGCCCAGGGAGCCCCAGAAGTTCTCTGGGCTGGGGAGCCTGGGGGCGGGGCCTGTGTGGGCAGGGGGACAGCAAGCAGGCAATCACCTCGGCCTCGGTCACCACACTCTTCTTGAACAGACGGTCCAGCAGCTCCTCCGACGAGCACCTGGCTCAGGTCAAGAAAAGCTCCGGAGTCTGGAACCCACCCAGCCCCACACATCTTTAGCCAGTCTCACCTGGGGTGGGGGTGGGGCCATGCTGGGGAGGAAGTTGAGGAGAGTGGGAGGGACAGGGTCCCCAGGAGGGGGGCTGGGGGAGGCCGCCCCCCGCAGCAGCAAAGGGGGGGGAGCGAGCAGTGCGCATGCGTCCCTCCCTGGAGTCCCTCCCTGGAGCTCAGGTGGGCAGCCCGAGGGCCCTCTCCGCATGGACGCTGGGGGCACCCACCTAGCTGGTGAACCCCCGTGAAGCATGGCAGGGGCCCGGTGAAAACACGTCCTGGACCCTGCGGACACAGCTCCGTGGACACAGCCCTGCCCTAATCCCCGGCCCCTGGCCCCGCGAGCTACGAGGACGGTGCTGCGTCCAGGGACCCCAAAACAGCAGGCCCCGCAGGGCCCTGGGACCCTGCCTACCCTCCCTTAGGCTGAGGGCAGGATACAGCTCCAAGACAAGGATCAGGGTCTTCCGGGTCTCAAACTGGTCCAGCAGCCCTGTTACCAGCGGGTGGCTCAGCGTGGCCAGGATGTCCCGCTCGCGGTAGGCCTGGGCGCGTGTCCTGCTCCGCAGCGGGATGAACTTGGCTGCGCAGGACATCTGGCTTCCCTTGTGCTGCGCTCTCCTCACGAAGCCGAACACGCCCCTGCGCGGAGGGGGGCCACGATGGGCGGGCACAGGGCGTGGGGGGCGTGTCGGGCGCAGGAGAGGCGGGGTGGGGCGGAGCTCCCGGCGGTCGGGTCTCAGGAGGCGGGGCGGGCGGCGGGGACCCAGGGAGGCGGGGCAGCGGCTCGGGCGCCGGCTCGCGGGCTGTACCTTCCAATTTCCTCCTTGACCTCATAGGAAGAGCGCAGTTTCCTTCGGTAGCTCTGCTTCTCAGAGTCGGGTTCGCTGTCTCCTGCAGCCAAGGAGCGGGCAGTGCGGGTGAGCACGTCCACTTCGCCCCCCGTAGCATCCCGGTGCTGGAGCCTGTGGGAGGCGACGTACACACCCTCCCGCCCCCGTGCCAGCGAGGCACTGAGACTCACCCCCATGGACCACCAGCTCCGCTTTACACAGCACCTGTCCACCCGCGTTGCGGGCCAGGCATGTGTAGACACCCGCATCACTGTGTGTCACGTCCCTCAGCACCAGGGAGTAGGTGGTGCCTTCCCGCTGCTGGCTGAGCCGGGTGCCATCCACCAGCTGGGCGTTGTCCTGGGGGCACAGGCGGGTGGGCGGGGCCATCAGCCCGACCTGGGGGCCCCTGCAAGGTGGCCTGTTCCGTCCCCCAGGTACTGCCTTACTGCGGGTGGGAACGCCACGCACTCCCGACTCCCAGCACCCAAGGCGGCGCCTGTCCCTACCCGGTACCAGGTTACTGTGGGCTGCGGGTTGCCATCAATGACTGCCTGGAACTGGGCTGTGCTGCCCTTCTGTGCCTGCACATCCTCAATGGTGACCTGCATGGACGGGGATCCTGGGGTGCAGGAGGGAGCCTGTGAGGGGGGGCCTGGTGGTGCGCAAGCCCAGCATTGAATCATCAAGCTGGAGCTTGCTCTGGCCAGAGACCCCCTGGTGGGTGAGTCTTGCTCCTGGGCCTGTCCTGACACCCCAGGCAAGCAGCCAGGCCCTGGGATACTCCCCAGAGCAAGAGCTCATCTAGCTCCCCCAGTGAGGGCAGCCTTCTCCTGACTCTGCCAAGGCCCCTGAGAGTCCGTCTAACCTCTGTCTGTCCTGCTTAGAGACCTTAGCTGTCCAGAGCATGCTAAACCCTGCTGGGGAAGGGGGCATCCACACCCAATTCACTATTGTGGGCACCCCCAAAGGAGCGTTCTCACCCTCCCCAGAGAGGCCCCTCCTAGGGTATGCAGGGCACAGGGCAGTGAGGCCCCCATCACAGCAAGGCTGGGACATGCCAGGTGGCCTTGCAGTTTCCTCTGCACAAGTGTCCGCCCAGTCCAGAGCATGGGGAGCACACGTGTAACCTGCTAAGTCCCCACCTACTTGTGGCACCCGTGTCGCTGGCCTGGTACACGTATGTCCGATGTGTGGTCTCCATGAACACGTGGCTGTGGATGTCCCATAGCTCCCCTGCACCTGCCCCCAGCCAGGCTGCACCCTCCATCCTGTGGTGGTGGAGCTGGGTGAGCTGTCTGCCTTCTTCCTGCACCTCTGGAGTGTGGGCAGCCAAACCTCACCCTAAGATGGGGGTCCCTGCCTCCCCCTCCCTGGACCCCAGTGGACTTTCTGGGAGGGGATGTCCAGAGAGGGGACCCAGCCCTGTGCAAGGAGAGGGCTCCACCAACATCCCAGGGCAGCCTCTTCTCCCTGCCCTGCCCCTGGCATGTCCCCTCATGAACTGCCCCCACCCAGCACGCCAGGGAGGTTACCGGATGGGCACAGTGCATTCCTGGCCCTCAGCATGGTCCCCCAAGTCCCGCTCCTGGTCCTCCTTGGGGAGAGGCTGTGGAACCTTCTGCGGCTCAACTGGTCCAAGACAAGGGGCTTAGTGAGAGAGAGCTTGGGATGCAGCTGGGACTGCCCCCACAATGCGCCCCTTGTCGTCCTCCAGTCCCAGAGGGTGAGAGCACGAGGCAGAGCAGGGGCTTCGGGGGTGCAGGGCCCTCTAGGTCAGAAGAGACAGGGAACATGCACCCCTAAAACCCAGGGCTCCAGACCTCCCTGCAGAGCTCCGAGGTCCAGGCACCCTCGGTCCTAGCTCCTAACTTGGGCCACCAGCCCTGAGGCTCCCCCTGCTGGCCACCCAGACAAGGGCCATGCTGACAGCCAGGTGTAGCAGCTTCTGGGGGAGGGGCCTGAAGGGCTACATCCCTGGAGGGAGCACCTGTGGGGTGGGGGTCATGAGGGATCTACTCCTCCCTCTCCTCCTTCCTCTCCCTTTCCTCTCCCTCCCCCCTCTTCCCTCTTTTCCTCCTCCTTCTCTCCTTCCCCAGCCTCCTCCTCTTCTCTCCTCCTCCCCCTTCCTTCCACCCCCTACCTCCTACTTCGTCTCCTCCCTATTCCTTCTCCTCCTCCCACTCCTCTCCCTCCTCCCTCTCTCATCCTCATCTTCCTCCCCCCACCGCCTCCCTCTCCTCCTCCTCCTTCTCTTCCCCCTTCTCTTCCCTCCTCCCTCTCCTCCTCCTCACCCACCTAGGAGCACAGGGTACCCAGGGTGTCTGCTCAGGACTGACCACCAAAGCTTCCGGTTCCCAGGACAGATGTACTCATGAAGAACCTCCTAGTACCCATCCCCTGCCTAGTTTCACAGACAGGGAGACTGAGGCTGAGTATATGGGGCTATTGGGATGTCAGGGTCCCCAGGGTTCTGCCCATTTGCCCACATTGGATGGATACCTGGGGTGGCCAAGGTTGGGGCCAGCACAGGCCAAGGTTGGGGACTGAGAACAGGTGGCACTTGGTGGTCAGCCTGAGGCCACTGGGCCTCACCAGATGAATCTGCAGCCTCCATGCCTAAGAGTTGGGGGCCAGACTCCTGGGCTTTGATTGGCCCTCTAGGGTCAGGGCTGGAGCTGGCATGGTCCCCTGTGGAGGGTCCCGGAGCCTCGGGGCACACCAGCATCATTGGGACAGACGTGATCTCCTGGTCTGCTGGCTCCAGGGCAGGAGGAGAGACAGCAGCGTCTGTGGGAGAGGCAGGTCAGCGTGTAGGGGTGAGGTGTGACCTGGGCCCCAGGAGAGGGCTCCAGAAATTTTGTGCCAGTCCTCAGAGGCTGCCCTTCCCACCTGCCTGCCCCACACACCCACTCAAGGCAGCGGAGCTCAGGACCTCTGGGAGCATGTGGGCTTCTTTGGGGACAGGTGAACCTGAATACTTACCCCCTGTCCTGGCTGGCCCCTCAGGCTCAGTTCATGCCCTCCCTTCTCCCACCCCATGGCCCACTCCAGACCCCAGGGTACTGGGCCACCCAGGCCAAGGTGGGCCCAGCCCCACACTGTAGGGAAGTCTGGGGACAGCCTGGGACCAGGCGCTCCTTCCTGCCCTCCCAGGGTAGCCCCCGCTCCCTGCCTGGCACCTGCAGCCTAACCCCACCCAGGCCACTGCACCATCACTGGCTCCTACCACAGCCTCCCACACAGCCCCCTTAGGGGACTCTCAGACTGTCCCATATGTTTGCCCCCTGCTCCCCACTTCCCAGCACATTTTCCTTCTCCAGCTGGAGACTAGTGTGCATGTAGCCAAATCACAGCTTCACATGCCCAAGAATGCCCACCACTCCATTCCCAGTAGGTCCCCCTGCCTGGAACTCTCCCCTGCCCCAGACCCTTTCTCTTGCTGATTTTCCATATCCTTGGGCCCTCCAGGCCAGAGAGGCAGCTGGGCAGGCTGCTGTTTGCCCCCTGTGGCCCTAGAGCACCCGTCTTGTCCTTACCCAGTCCAAGGACATCGGCAGACCCATGACACATCACACCTTCCCTATCAACCTCGCCGACAACCCCCACTGCACAGGGGGCAGGAAGACCTGCTTAACCCCCAGCAGGCTGGGAGTGACCACTATGTGCTGTCCTGGTCACAGTATATGCACCCATGTGAGCAATCTAAATTGGCAAGCTGTCACACCTCCACCCAGGGACCCCAGAATGGGCCAGAACCTACAGGCTGATGCCAGGGGCTGACTCAGGGCTGCCATTGGTTGGTCTCTAGGACAAGGCCTGGACGGCACTCCCCACAAGTCGCCGGAGCCACCAGAGAATCAAGAAAGCAGAGGCAGTACAGGGAACTAGTTTATTATCATTGGGGGTAACCGATGGGCCGCCTCCCATACACGGACCCTGGTCCACCCTGCAGAGAGGGCTGGGCCCCACACAGGCCTCCTGGAGGCCGAGAGAAATGTTCATGGTGAAGATGTGGCCGGGAAGTCCCCACTGAGAGGAAGACTGGGTTCCCAGCCTAGAGCAGAAGGGACCCAACTGACAGCCCGGCCTCGTAAACATGGCAGGGCAGATGCAGAGTCCCTGACCTGTGTCTAGAGCCCTGAGCCCAGAGCTGCGGTCCAAGAGTCCCTCTGGCCTGCACTCTTAGGTGGCTTCTGTACTTTCTGAGATTCCCAGTCTGTGTGCAGTGTCTTCTGCTGGATCAGGCCCCATGAGGTAGGAAGTGCCTGGAGTGGAAGGGGTAGGCAGGCTCCAGCCCTGAGTTCTTGGAGATTTGGAGGGAGGGTCAGAGCACACATGTCCACAGAGCGCTGGCTTCCTCCATGCAGCCTAAGGGCCCACAGCCAAGCACCTGCTGCTCACAGCCTCAGCCCTGGGAGGGGCCAGGGGCCTTGTCCCCATCTGGGCGGATGTGCAGGGTGACTGTCTCACCCACTGTCCCAAAGCTGACTGTCTGGGTGGAAACCTCCGTTTTGAAGCTGCTCTGGCCACTGTCTGCAGATCTCTGGACCTGGATGCAGAAAGATGGCTTCCAGGATGCAGCACCCCCAGCCCGGGCCTCCTGCATAGAGAAAGAGACTCCTGCAGGGCTGAGCACCTGAGGCCCCAAGGGAGATGCCTCTCGGTGACTGAAAAAACTGGGTGGGTTTCGAGGGCCAAGGAGATGCCCCACGTTGAGCAGGACAGGCTGCCCCACAGTGGGTTCACTGATCTCTCTCTGGAGCACGGACACTTCGCAGGGTGGGTCGTCAGAAGTGCTAGGCACAGGGCCACAGCAGCCGAAGGTCTCCCCCTCCCGGGGCACATAATCCTCCAGGTCAGCCAGCGTCAGCACTTGGCCATCGTGGGTGAGGATCTTGGGGTCATGGCCCCAAAGGCCATTGGTGCCCAGGGGCTCCTCGGTTGGGAGGGCACCTCCTCCCTCCACTTTCTCCAGGGGGGCTTCCTCTTCAGCCACCTCGAGAAGGGATGGCCCCGGGGTCTCCTCTGGCCCAGTGTCCATGCAGAAGATGAGGGGCTCTCCAGTGCTGACCGTGGCTCTGCCCCAAGCCTGCGGCTCCTGGGCCAGTAGGTTATTGTTGGAGTTGTTTGCATTGGGGTCTCCTACGGGGGTCCCACCAGGCAGTGTGAAGAGAAGCCCTGCCGAGCTGTCAGGTGCCTCTCTGGCAGGGGATGTACCTCTGGAGCCTGTCTTCTTCACCCTGACTTCAATGGTCTCTTCAACTTCTACCCACTTGGGCTGGGGCCTTGTGCCCTGGGGTGGGATTGGCGTGTGGGACTCAGGCTCTGTCACATACAGCGTGGGTACGGTGGGCCTCCAGCCTGGCTCCACCTCAGGCCTGAGAGGCTGGCCAGCCCCCAGTGAGTACAGCAGCTCGGGGGCTGCCTGGCCTGGCTTAGGTGGGCTGGCAGTGTGGCGGGAAGGTGAGCGAGAGGGAGACTTGTTGGGGGACCGGCGCCGGCCACGAGGGCTCTTCACCACGGTGGTGATGGTTTCCTCTCTGCAGGGAGAGGCCAAGAGGAAATCTGTGCGGAGACCTACAGCTTCGCCCAATGCCCATGCCATCAGCACATACAGCAGCCACATGGGTGATCAGGTTAGTGTAGCAAGCAAATGGTGACACTGAGTGAACAAATTTCTACATATGTGCTTGAGCCCAACCTCTGGAACCAAAGAAACAAAGCACAAAGCCTCATCTGGCCAACATTAGGCTCTACTCTGCAGGTCTCAAAACAAGAGTTGAGGCATCAGTGGAGGCCCATGTCACATCACAAGGCACCTCCAAACCCCAGACCATGTCTGGGTCACAAGTCTCCATGTGCCAGTCTCTCCATTTATGGCCATCTGATTTTGGAGCTGCTAATGCTCCTTGCCGAGCTAATGGACAGGGACACAGGAACACAGCCATGTGGCTTTCCTCATCTGTCCCATGAGTGCTTTTTGCTTTGTATCATGAGGGGTTGCTCCAGGGAGTTCTTAGAGGACAGGAGCCTCATGGTCCTCAGTTGGAGAAAGGTTGGCAGCTGATGCCACAGGCACAGGTGCAGGTCCAGGAGGGTTGTCAGAGCCTTGCGGGTGTGACAGCCCAGCAAGAACACCTGGCTCCAGGCATGGCTTGGCTATCATGGGCTGTATGATGTCAAACAGGTACTTCCTCTTTCTGGACCCCTTCCCCCAAATGCAAGTGGGCAGGAAGGAGAAGGGGAGGCAGAACTCAAGGCCAGTGGCATGTGGGTGAGCATCAGGCACTGGCCAGGGACTTTGTAGCAGCCTCGGGGGATGGACCTAAGCTTCTGCAAGTGTGGACCACGAGGCTGAGAAGGCCAAATACTTGCCCGGGGCCAAGATTCAGAATCCCACCAGTCAGCCCTGGCACTCCTCTGCCACCCAGTGCCCCTGACCTTGCTGGGCGCTGTGGTTAAAATGAGTATTAGGGGATCCCTGGGTGGCGCAGTGGTTTGGCGCCTGCCTTTGGCCCAGGGCGCGATCCTGGAGACCCGGGATTGAATCCCATATCGGGCTCCCGGTGCATGGAGCCTGCTTCTCCCTCTGCCTGTGTCTCTGCCTCTCTCTCTCTCTGTGTGTGACTATCATAAATAAATAAATTTAAAAAAAATTAAAAAAAATAAAATAAAATGAGTATTAGGTGGTATCAGGGAGCAGAGTAGTGCTGAGTAACACACAGACCCTGGGGAACTCACAACTCTCCTGGGCCCTGGAACCTGCATTTTCTCTTAGGCTCAGGCATACATATGGTGAAAGTTCAATGTTGTTACCAGCTGCCTGTTAGGACTAAGGCAGGCTCATGCTCTCTCTCTCCCTCTCATTCAGCATCTGCCCAACTCAGGGCTCCAACCAGGAGCAGGTACACCCAAGGATAGGCTCAGAGGTGTGTGCTACCCCTTGGGGTGCACGGCAGTTACAGACCTTGCCTCCTCAGCCCTCACCTGGTAAGAAGGAAATGCTACACCCCACCTAACTAATGGGAACACTGAGGCTTGGATGTGTGACCTATTCAAAATCACGAGACTGCCTTCCAGCCTCATGCCCAGGCTCAGGAGCACTAGGCTTGTCCCTGAGTGAGAGCTTGCCCAAACATCAGGGGAACCTGGGCCAGGCCCATCTGCTGGCCTCATGCCTTTGAAATTCGCCAAGGCAGGACAGTCAGACTGGGGTTCAGGGTGCCTCTTGAGTCCCCTAGCCCAGCTGTCCCAGGTGCGAGTCCTTTCTGAAGTTTTACTGATGGGGCAGCCTGGCCCTGTCTGTTTTCCATTTTGTCATCTGTAAGATGTAAATAATAGAAATGTTCCCTTCATGGGTGAAATGTAGGGTTAATTTGTGTAAAGCTCTGGCACAGCTGTACACCTCCAGGAAGGCTTACTACTGCCCTATGTACTTTGGGCCACAGTGTGCCTTGGGGGAAGAGGGAGGGAGGGATGGAAGAGGTAACCCAGGATCTGACCAAATGTCGGGTGATAGGGTTCTCCAAAACTTGGCCAACTACAGGCCCCTTTAGGAGATCACAGGTCCATGAGGACCAACTGGAGCTTCCCAGTCATCTGATCTTAGACCAGTCTTTCTGGTCTCCTGCCTTTTGCAAGCTTTTCCACGATCTCCAGCTGCACACACTTCCCACTGGATCGAGGACAAAACCAACTCTACCTTCTGTGGGCTTACTCAGTTCCAGGCCTCTCCAGTTAATTAGCCACAACCTCAGCCTTGAAGGCACTGAATGAGGGGATGGTGGGTGTGGCACCAGGGAAATGGGGTACCTGCTGGCTTTCCATCCTGAACCACCCTGAACAAGCCTCCTTTTCCCTGAATTTCAGTTCCCCATCCCCCAATGCTAGGGTTGGTCCTGGAGGCCTTTAAGGGCCCTAGAGTTGTGCTGCCTATCAAGGTTACACTATTTTAATTAAATGCAAGTTAAAGATAATTTTAAAAATCCAGAATTCAATTCTTCAGTGGCTCTCGATACACTTTAAATTCTCAGCCACGTGTGCCTAGTGACTGCTTTTGTAGCGAGCATAATTAAGATATAATATTCCCAACACAAGAGAAAGTTTGTGGGACAAAAATGCCCTAGATCTTTGGGTTTTGAGGGGTAGAATGTTCCCTCTAGCCCACTGTGGGAAGCAGTTCAGTTCCTGCTCCAAACTAAGTGATGTGATCTGGGCCCAAGGCCTGAGTGAGCCGTTGCCAAGTACACAGAGCAAGTCTACCTTGTGGAGGCACTGGAGACCTGGAGGCCCTAGAAGAGAGCTGTGAAATGTGAAGGCAGCCAAGGCCTCAGGGAACAGTGAGCCCCTTCAGAGGCGTCTGCAAGGTGCTGGCAGTCTGCATGGTGAGCAAAGGCCATGTGAGCAGGTAGTCAGACAAGCAGGTGGCTGGGCCACACAGGCAAGGTCCATTTGGGTTAGTGGGCATGCAGGGGGCACTACAGTCAGAAGGAACGGTAGGAACACGCCTGCACTTACATGATGACGGTTTTCTTGGGGACTTTAGTCTCCTGCTCAGTGACTACAAAGAAAACAGTTGGAATAGCGAGAGTTACAGATCAGCCAGTGCTTGGGGGCTGAGCCATTTGAGTGGCATGGCAGTGTAGTAATTTGCTCGGCTTCGGAGCACTGTGTCCACGTCGTGCCTCACCTTGCCTGTTATGGGTTGGGAACTCAGTTTTGTCATCTTTAACATGTCTGCTCTGAGTGGCCGGGAGATGAGTGAATGTGACATCAGTATGTCCCACGTGAGGGAATGAGGGTCTTGTAGGGAGTGCAGCAAGAGTAGGGGCCCCACCTGGGCTGCTCACGCAGAAATCCCAGCTCCTCCATCAGCCCATGTGCCCAGGGAGCCCTGTGAATCTGTCAAACCTAACGTCCCACTTCTCAGACAGAAACTGAAGGCTGGGGGAGGGTGGCAGGGTATGGAAAGAACTATGGGAGCCAAACTTGGACTGGGATGGCTGGTGCCTGTTTTATAAAATATCCTGAAGACCAAGGGGACCTCTCCAGGGGAAAGGGGCTTTGTAGTACTAGAGATGGCACGTCTGAGCTTTGTCCCATGAGGCTATGGAAATCCCATCAAGAGCAACCAGAGACACCATGACAGGGTCCTGAGTTCCAAGTGAGTAGGGAAACCTAGGTGTTCCCATAGATGCTCCCCATAAACTCAACAGCCTTGATTGTCCTAACTTCCCACCTCCCTGGAGTCAGCAGATGGAGGACCTGAGTTCCAGGGAGAGGACTCGCTTGGGACCAGGCCACACCTATTCCCACCCATCTTGAGGCCTCTTCCTCTGTAGCTTCTGGGCAGGGCCACACTTGAAAGAGAGGTGCCCCTCCTAGCCACACCCTGCTGGGCAGCAGATAGTCCACCGGATACCAGTACCCTCAGATCTCAACAGTCCCTCTTGCCATTCTGGGGACAAAGCTGAGTGGGATGCTCAGCAAAGTCAAGTGGCACAGCCTGCAGCACACAGCACCCTGGCTTCCGGTGTGTGGGATTTTAGGCTTTGGTGCAGGGCCACGCAGAGGAAGAATTTCCCTTAGATGACCAAGAGTATTTTAATCTTGTGTCCAATTGGGTACACGTGAGTTAAATAGACCAGCTGTATATGTATGGCCTTTGGGAGCCTCATTTACTTGTGTACGTGTGTGCATGTGTGTGAACATACATACACATATGTATGTACGTCTGTGTGTTTGTGCCCGCTGCCTCTGGGAGAAGGAAATCCCCTGGGAGAGAGAATGGGATCCAGCCAAAATGCCTTGTGTGTTTGCCTTAAGTTGGACCTGGAAAGAACCAACCTGTTTGCCACCTGCAGGCCAGACCCTGTGTGCAGAGTGATGGGAGGACACTCCCCTGTTGGGGTCCCGTTCTGGCTGCTACATTGCTGGTACCTTTATTCCTGACCTGACCTGCCACCTGACAGGCTCTAAGCTCCAGTGAATACTGGCAGCCATTGGAGGAGTGCAGCTGTGCGAAGCGGGGCTTCCAGCCCAATGCAGTTCCAAAAGCAAGGGGGCAGCACCCACCCTACAAGGCTGGCTAGGGCTGTCTTGGCTGCAGAGCCACCAGGTTAAAGATAAAGCGGCAGGATAGGGTTAAGAAGCAGGACATGGCGGGCTCCAACCACTGGGTCTGTGAGGACTGGCCTTCTCGGATGTGAGGTGCCATGTTTCTGGTATTAAGAGGGCTGCCCCTCTTCCAGACTCCAGAGCCATGAGATGATGACAGAAAGTGACCTATCATGACCATGAAGTGAATGCCTCTGTAGGACACACTTGTCACCAGCCCAAGAAGGAGTGCTGAAGTCCTTGCTCCCCAACATAAGATGCCATATGGCAGAAAGCACAGGTCCCTGCAGACACCACTAGGCCCTCTGAGGGGCAGGAACATGGACCCCTGCCCACTCTGTGAGGGCTGTGGAAGGCATCAAAGGCTGTGAGGTCGAGCTTCAGATGCCAGGTAGGCTGACTCTGGGAGGGTCCTCAGATAGAGGCTCCTGGACACTGGGCCCCAGGAGGGACTGGATCCATTAGCCCAAGGCATCACAGAAGCCACCTGGGAGGATATATCTTCCAGCCCATCCACCGTGAGAGCTGCAGCTCCACCAGCTGTTGATCTAGCATCAGCCTTCATGTCGCTAGGGACAGGAAGCACAGCTTCTTCTAGGTGGAGCAACTCACACTGGGAGAAGCTGTCTCTGAGGCTGCAGCCTGCCCTGCAAGCACCATAAGGTGCTCTCTGCCTGAGCAGGCCCAGGACACATGCCAGTTGTCCTCCTTCCCATCCTGGCCATTCTGAGGCTAGGCCCAGCTGGAACCCTGGACTCAGAGGTGAGTGGAGGCATGAGGCATCCTGCTGCCCACCCTTCACCTCCCACACAGGAGCACATCTCCCCTCAAGGAGCCCAGACACCCCCACAGGCCAGGCTTTAGAAGTGTAGCCACAGCATTCTGTTTGCTTCCATGACGGCCCAACCCAGTGTGGAGGTACCAGGCCCCCTGCCATCACTCCATCTCCTGGAGCCACACAGGGACCAGCAGGTGGTGCACTGCTCTCAGCACGCTTTGCTCAGAGCCGTCCTCCCTAGGGTCCACTGCCCTGCAGCCTGCCAGGCCAAGCCTGGCCTTCCTACACACTCATTACTGCCCCAGGGGTGGTGGGCAAGATGCAGGCCCCCACCCAGGGCTGCCGTCTAACCTGGCTGGAACTCTGGGCTCAAGGTTCACCTCATGCTGCCCAGGATGGGGCTGGAACCAGCCCTTGCCTCATAGTCTCTGCATCCCCTTCTCTCCCAGACAGACCCCTCCTCAGCCCTCACTGTCCCTCCTCCAGGAAGCACACCCTGGTTGGAAAGGCTGGTGGTTTCCCCCCAACTTGGCCCCACAGCGGCACTTACCTTCCACGGCTGCAAGCTGCTCCCTGTGAAGCTGTTCCCGGGCCCGAACAACAGGGCTCTGCATGCACAGCTCTGCCCCGCCCCTCACAGAGCCCAGCTGGTTCACCAACTGCAGGACAGATGGCAGGAGACCACTTAGAGCCTGGGGCTCCCTTGGGACCATCCAGGCCATCTCTAGTATGGGGGGCCCTCTGTGGCTGTGTCCCAGAGCCACAGAGCCTGCCACAGAAGAGAGGCCTAGGGGTTTCTTAGGTGGTGGGGATACTATCTGCACAGTATGGTATGGTGGCTGTTGCCACACCTGAGCACTGGAAACGGAACCGAATCTTTACCTACAGTTAACTTGATTTCAACTCAAATTGCATGTATGGCCAGTGGTGATTGAATCAGTGTGGATCTGACTGGCTCAGGTCCATGTGCCTCCCCAGGAGCTGCATGGGGGGCAGGACCCACCTGGTCCAACCCAAGCTACTGGTCTAGCCTCAGCCTACATGTTACTAGGGACAGGAGGCCACACAGGAGCAGCCACATCGGAGAAGATGGCAGCCAGGAAGAGTCACAGCCTACACGTACCTTCCACAGACCACAACTGGCCCTGCAGGTGGGCAGATGGCTTGGGAAGAAGACAGGATGCCACCTAGGGCTCCCACTCAGGTCCCTGTCCCCTTACATGTACACTTGGTGATGGGCTGGGGGCTCCTCCCTCATCAGGGTGACAGTGGGCTGGGGGCCCCTCCCTCATGGGGGACACTGGATGATGGTGGGCCGGGGGCCCCTCCCTCATCGGGGACACTGAGTGATGGTCCCCCAGCCATTCCTGTGCCCGCCTACCTCACCTCACACTCATAATGGCCCAGGTCCTCCTTGCTGGCTGCCAGGATCTCCAGCACCAGCAGACCGCTGCGGGGCTCACTCAGGGTTCGGTATTTGCTGCTAGGCGTCAGCAGAGCCCCATCCTTGTACCACCTGCAGCCAAACCCGGGTGTGAGGCAGAGCCACCCCAGCTTCCTCCACTGAGACCCTCTTCTCACCCACCCTGCAATTCTGGGCGTCCATACAGAGCTCACACTCTCCTGAAGCCCGCCACTCACCCGCCATCCAGCAGGTGATGCCCTCTCTGCGGCAGGAGCCATGTTCAGAACCTGCCCAGCCCCAAGAGGCCCCTTCTCATCAGAAAGGCCCACGTTTAGTGTCCAGCCCGCCCCAATGTATTGAGCATGCCACCTACTTTCCCTCCCATGCCCCCAGGCTCCAGCTGCCCAGCCCACCTGATCTGAGGGTGTGGGGCGCCTTCGATGGTGCAGGTGACCTGAGCGTCCTCTCCCTCCACAAAAGGCACTGCCCGGACCTTTTTCACAAACCGTGGGGGTACTGTGGGGCCACAGGGCAGGTAAGGGAAAGACATACAGAGACACCATGGTGGGGCGTGACCCTACACCCACCAGCAAGTGTCCCAGACTCCTGAGGCGGCCCACCTGCAGGCCTGCACCCCCCATGGTGCCACCTAGGTGGATGGGGGTCTGGATGCCTCATACCACAGTCTCCCTCCCCAGACTCACCTTGCACCAGGATTTTGCCCAGTGTGCTGGCATTGCCAGAGGCACTGGCCGCAAAGCACATGTACTGGCCGGAGTCCACTCCAGTCAGGTTGTCCAGAATGAGGGCACACGAGCCGTCAGGGTCTTCAATGAGGATGTGGTGTGGATCCACCTCCACTGGCTTTCCATCTGGAAAGGAAGGCAGGGCCGTCATGGAGGGGACCCTGCTGGGGACAGGAGGCTGGACTGTCCGGGGCTTATGGTCCCAGGGCAGTGGGCTGGAGCACAAACCCCTGGCGGGGCACCTGGCTGACCACGCTGACCCACAGTCCTGTGTCCTTCCCCGATCTCTCGTGCCTGCTGTGCCTGCTGTGTGGCCTCGGAAAAGTAGCTCAGAGCTAGAGGCAAGAGCCAGGAAAAGGGACCTGACCCCACAGAGGACACACAGACCCTCAATAACCTGGCCACTGATTCCAGGACTCCCCGCCCGCCCCCTACCCCTACAGACAAGGTGAGACACTGCCTGTGTCCCTCATCACCGCCCTGTCAAACACCTTAGGCCATAGCACGATTCCCTCCTGGGTGGGGCGGGGGAGGGGGTGGGGAGATGTGTTCTTTCACTGGGTAGGCCCCCATCCTCCACCAATACCTGCAGCTCCATGGCTGACCGCCTTCCAGCAGCCCTGTACCTGCCCAACGAGGCTGCCGTTGAAGTCATAACAGCCCACGAGCAGCATCCTGACTCATGTCAGGATGCTTTATGTCAGGTGACCCTGCTCTTTCCCATCTGGGGAGAGCACCGGCAGGTGTGCCCACAGCCCCACAGAAGCTCAGCCTCCCCCAAAACCCGTGTTCTCTCCTGTGGGCAGCCCCCTGCCTGCATTTAACACTGAGCCCTGAAATGTGGGGCTGGAACATGCCTCTCTCACCACAACCACCCACCTCTCCCCAGCCCCAGGGTCTTGGTTTCTGTCTGTATCTGGCTGGCTTGTTGGTTTGTAAGTGGGGAAACACCGCAGATCCTTCACACGTTGGGGACATGGAAGGGATGCCCTCAAGGATGCGGTATTCCAGAAGAGAAAGGAGGTAAATAAGCAGAGACCCCGTGGCCCTGTGAGAGGACCTGAGCGGGTCCCTGGGCGTTGGCAGCACACACGCTGACCACACCATGGCACCTGCTGGACAGTGAACCCCACTCCCCTTTGCTGCACGAAGACAATGGGAAACAGGGCAGGAGACTGTGTCTGGGTACTGAGAAACTGGTTCAAAGATCCCTGGACAGTGCCCTGGTTGACACGTTCTGCTCTGAGCATGCCTGAGGTCAGCTGGTGCCCAGCCAATGCCAGAGCCCACGCTGGGTGCCAGCCCTGATGGGCAGTGGGCAGGACCGCCGGCGAGGAGCGCAAGGGACCCCCTCGGAGGGAGGTACAGCTGCTGTGTGTGCAGACCTGGCCGCGGACCCCCTCGGGGAGCTGTGGGTGCCCATCAGGCGGGCTCTGGGCTCCAAGGTGGCATCCACAGTGTGGTGACAGGCTCGAGGAGGCAGCGGCGAGTGGGGGGTGTTGGGGCGTTCTGACAGGTGGCCCAGCTTCCTGGGCAGCCTTGCTCGGCCCCTGAGGCCAGTGGATGCCCCGCACCTGCATCACTCATGATGTGAGCCAGGTTCCCCGCAAGCAAAGAGGGGACTGTTGCCTTGGAGCATGTCAGGGGACCTGACATGTGCCGTTTGGGATGCCCTGGCTGGAACGTGTCAGGGCAGAGGTGACCTGGGACCCCCAGACTTTGTGGCTCCCATCATGCCCCAAGCCAACCTGAGAGCCCGGCACAGGGCCCACATCAGCATCCACTGTCCCCTCTCCTGGCCACCTGGCTTCCTGCCCCGAGCTGCCAAATGTCCACCAGAGAGGTGGCTGCAAGGTATCAGCCCCTGCCCCCCGTCCGCCCTATCTCTCGGGCTGGCCGCACCCCTGCCCATGTCCTGCCACTGCTCTATCCTACAGGTTGCCACCTGTCTCCTCCCCTGGACCCCTGGATGCCAGCACCCTTGGGCAGCAAGGGCAGGTCACCGCATCTGAATCTCGGGAACACACCCTGAGCCTCTGTCCCCCACCTCCACCAGCACACCGGGCTCCGCCGACTAAGTTGGCAGGGACTACTGGACAGGAGGCCTGGGCCCTGTGCCCTGCCATGCCCATCCCTGCCCCTGCCCCCCATCCCGCTCCACACCCCCTCCCTGGTGGCCCAGGCCCCGCCCAGGCCCCGCCCAGATCCTCCTCCGTCACCCCCCCAACCCCCCCAACCCCCCCCCCCACGCCATCCCCAGCCATCCCCACCCCGCCCAGGCCTGATTTCCTCCCGGTTCTTGCTACAGGAACACCACTCTAGGGCCTGGGCCTGCGGACCTTTGTACCAGCTGACGATGGGCTTTGGGGTGCCCGTCACGCGGCAGGCCAGCTTCACCGTCTCACCCAGCTCAGCTGTGCAGTCTGCCAGCTCCTCCTCGAAATCTGGTGGGTCTGGGCACACATACACAGGCCCTGAGCTCTTGGGGGGTTGGGGAAGGACAGCGGGGCCCCATGTCCTTGGTACGTCCCTGGCAAGCCCTCCATCCCAGGGTGTGGTTGTTATGGACACTACCTGTAAGGACCTTCCCTCCAGGTGGCCCCTCCTGTCCCTAACGCTGTCTGGGCTCCTGCGCTGTGGTGGGGGTGGGGGGCTGTGCTGTGCCAGGGGTGGGGCCTGTCCTGTGCTGGGGGAGGGCTCTGTCCTGTGCTGGGTGGAGGCCCCTATCCTGTATTGGGGGCTGCTGTCCTGTGCTGGGGGGCCCCTGTCCTGTACTGGGTGGAGGCCCCTGTCCTGTGCTGGGTGGAGGCCCCTGTCCTGTGTCGCGGCCGGCGCGAGAAGGTCCGCATTCAGGAACCGAGGGCAAGGGGATGAGAAATAAACAAGAGACTAAAAGTTCATGGGATAGGAGGTTGCATGCAGCTGATGACTACAATGGACAAGCTTTATTTTTGCATGTAGAGTTTATATAGCGTCCGTAAGCAGGCGGCTTATTTCTTTAAGGAGAAGTACATCTCGCGCACAAACATACATTGTTTTTAAAACTAACACCTGTTATTTGTTTAAGCAATAGAGAGGGAATGCCACATTTAGACTAAACAGTGAGGTTTGTTTATTAAGTAATGTCTGCCAAGGCGGTCAAGTGTCAGGCCACCTACTCGCTTACTTTATGGGAACTTGTCTCGATAACATTTTAAAGGAGAAGCAAATATGTACTTTTACTTCCATAAGGGGGAAGAGCTAGGTGCAGTCCCAGCGGGTTGGCCAGGTAGGACAAGGAGCCTTTGCTCAACCTGGAACCCTGCCTGGCGCCGAGGGACCGCCCCCGACAGTCCTGTACTGGGTGGGGGGCCCTGTCCTATACTGGGGACCCTGTCCTATAATGGGTGGCCCCTGTCCTGTGCTGGGTGGGGCCCCTGTCCTGTACTGGGGGGCCCATCCTGCACTGGGGGGACCCTGTATGAATCCCGAGGCTCCCCTATGCTCAAGTAGGGGTCAGCCCCACTCCCCCGCTCAGGCTGCCAGCAGGCTGAGCTGACTGTGCCCCAGACGGAGTGTGTCCTGTGTCCCCGGGGCCAGGGGCCATGTGCACTCACGCCACACAGGCAGGGCCAGGCGCTGCTGTAGGCCACAGATCTCCTTCACCCAGGAGCTCTTGGTGATGACTGTCCGTGCCTGCAGCACGTACTTCCGCACGGAGTCCTCCCGCTCGTGCCACACCTCAAAGGCACGGTCATCACCCTCCACCTGGTCGTTGAGGTCAATGCTGCTCAGCTGTAGGGGCGGAACACAGGCTGACTGCCTGGAAGCAGGCCTCAGCCCTCGACCTGGGGTCCCCACCTGCCCGCCACCCCCCTGCCCTACCTGCCACCCCCGTGCAGTACCCCCTTCCCCGCCCGCACCCCCCTGCCCTGCAGCCTCCACCCCACCCCCCTTGCCCTGGCTCCGCAGGCACCCGCAGACCTTCATCATGTTCCGGAAGACGTAGCTGAAAGTGTCAGTGCGGGAATCCCTGCGGGGCTTACAGACCAGCAGGTGGTGGCGGAACAGGAAGACGTGCCGGTGGTGGCCCTTCCAGGGCATCCGTGCGCCCGGTGCCCCCTCCCACACGATGAAGTGGCCCTGGGGGAGCACGCGGCAAGTGGTGAGCCTGGTGCCTGGCCCCCAAGGGGCCCTGCCCAGGCGACAGGCCGTGTCCCGCATCCCAGACCTGACGGATGGGCTCGCCCAGTGCCTCCAGGGTGCCCGGGTAGTTCTCCATGAGTGACAGGTGCAGCTGGTTTTCAGCGCGCTGCGGCAGGGCCGACACCACAGCGTACGCCTGCTCCAGCAGCGCACAGTTCTGCGCGTTCCTCGCCTTGTTGCGGATCAGCTCCTGGGGGACATGGCGTCAGGCCCCGGTGGTGCAGGGGAGGGTCAGGGACGGTGGCCAAGCAATGCACCCCTACCTTGAGCAGGGCCTGGTACTGCTGGACCCGCTCCACGGGCTGTTCCAGAAAGTGCTGCAGGGGTGGTGGGGGCGGCTGCGAGGGGTCTGCGGCCGACAGCACCTCTTCTGTGTATTTCTGTGAGAACCGCAGGCCGGGGTTGGGGACACACAAGGCTCCCCAGATGACCAGTGTCACCAGAGGGGGGGTGCTGGAGGGCAGGGGCATCGGGGTACACACACGCACACACTCACTGCCCCTGTCCCCAGGCCAGCCATACCCCGGCCCCACTGTGTCACCACCTGAAGGTGAGCACAGGGCTGCAGGGGCCCAGGTGGGGGTACCTTGTAGAACTCCTGCACAGCCGGGCTGACCACTGCTGACTCAGCCTGTACTCGGCCCACCAGGAATGCCAGGTACTGCTCGAAAGCCGCCTGATTCTTGATGAAGCACATGGCCACATCGTCATCTGTGTCACAGCTCTGCAGCTCCCGCTGGAAGCTGTGGTGGAGGGCAGGGTAGTCACAGGGAGGGCGAGCCCTCGGGTTTGGGAGGCAACAGCCTGCTGCCCACAGCTGGGCTGCTCGGGAATGAGTATGCTGGGCTGTGGGGGCTGCAGGCGTGGGGCATGAGGGCATGCATGTCTGTGTGCATGTGTGCTGTGTAGGCAGGCAAGGAAGTTCATGTTCATGCAGATGTGCATGAGCAGGTATGTGTGCCACATATATATATTTTAATAAGCATCCCTTTATTTGCTCATGCCATTACAAAAAACAGATTACGTTAGCAATAAAAAAAGTGTTTTCTTCAAGTCAGAGGCAGTTGCTCCCCAAAGTGTTAAGTAAAACAGTGTACATCAGTATTAAAATGTTAAATTTTTTTTTAAATTTTTATTTATTTATTTATTTATTTATTTATTTATTTATTTATTTATTTATTTATTTATTTATGATAGTCACACAGAGAGAGGGAGAGGCAGAGACACAGGCAGAGGGAGAAGCAGGCTCCATGCACCGGGAGCCCGACATGGGATTCGATCCCGGGTCTCCAGGATCGCGCCCTGGGCCAAAGGCAGGCGCCAAACCGCTGCGCCACCCAGGGATCCCTAAAATGTTAAATTTTATATTGTTTTTACCACTTTCGATCTTCTGAACAATTTTATTGAGCAAAATAAGATAAAATATTACATATTTATTTGATGTTAGGAACGTAGATAAACACATGTAAGAGTGTGCATGTGAATGCAGGCCTGCACGTAGGAGAGTGTGCCTGTCATGTGTATGGGTAAGTTTCCAGAGTGTTCTCATGTACATGTGTTGGCGGCAGGTAAGTATACTGCAGGGGCTTCCATGGGTGTTCCCATTTGTGTCCTCATACAGGAGTGTGGTGCACTGAAGAGTAAATCAAGTCAGCAAAGTTGTCTCACATATGCATGTATGTGGGCATGTGTGTACCTCTGTATGGCGTGTATCTGCACGTGTGTGCAGGCATCACTCTCAGCTGTGCACCACTCACACTGTACACGAGTGCCTGGCACATTTGTGCACCCTTGAGGACATGCCCGCCTGCCCACCCACCTGCTGTGGAAGCGGCAGATGTCCTGCACATTGCGGAAGATGACCGCCTTCTGGCTGGCCACAGCCGTGGGTACGTGAGGGCAGCGGTCCAGGTGCTGCATGTGGTGGCTCTGCAGGAACTGCAGCTTACCCACAAAGGTCTGCTCAGAGCTCAGCAGGTCCTGGATGATGGAGCTGGGAGGGGACGGGGCGAGGGGGATCCAGGAGCATTGAAGGGGGTACTCGGCCTCCCCCTGCCACGCAGCCTGCCACCCACTGTCAAAGCAAGCCCGGTGAAGTAGGGAGAGAGCACTCCCAAGTCCACCTCACCACCACAAAGCCGCTCACATCCCCGCCTGCTGGACCCTCACCTCAGCCTTGTCTTGTATTCATCCTCAGACACGGCCTCCCCCGGGAACTCGGGGGCCTCGGTGGGCCCCCACTCGGGTGACAGCTGGTGAGAAAATGGGAGTGTGGCCTAGGCTCTGGCCCCACCTGTGGGAGTCGGGCTCCTGTCCTCACGGGGGACGACAATCCCAGGCCCCACCCCAGCCGTCCAGTACCTTAAGCCGCCTGTCCAGGTAAGCAGGGGACACCCAGCCTTGCCGAGAGGGGCTGGATTTGGTGGGTTTGGTGCGCACGAGCCAGCGCAGGGGGTGGGCTGAGTCTAGCACTTCCACGTACTGGCCTTCCCGCAGTGAGAGGGCATCCTGCTCTGCCCCCAGGGGCAAGTAGTCAGCCGTGACCACGTAGATATCAAAGATCTGGAGAGATGATGCTGAGTCAGACCCCAGGGGTGCCAGCCTGGCCTATAGCCCTCCCCCAGCCCCTAAGGACCCCAAAGGGGCAGGACCAGGGCAGGTGACCACCCAGGCTTCCCAAGGCACCCCCGACCCCTAAGGACCCCAGAGGCTACAGGGTGCCTCACATTAAGTGGTGGGAAAAGCCATCCTGAGATTCCATAGAGTTCCAGAACAGGCTCAACACGTCTCTCCTGATGGGAATCCCATCGGGGGGGGGTGGTAGTGAGGTCACGCCAGAGGGCCAAGGCACAGCCTCAGGGGTGCCACCCAGATGTGTGCCCTCCAACCTACCTCACACCCCCTGTGACCTGCCCACCCCTGCTGGCAGAGCACCTCGCCTCGTGAGTCTCCGTCCTCTGACTCTGAGGACGACTCCTGGACACTGGAGGAGGGGCGGGAACGGCCGTGCCAGGGGGATGCGGAAGGCGTCTTGGATTCCTCATCGCTGTCACCTCCCGGCACCTGCAGCTTGGCTAGGGGATGCAGGGCAGGTGACACCCAGGAAGGGCTCCCCCCATGAGTCCCCGGGGTGGATGGACAAGGGAAACCCCGCCCTCGCTCCATAGCCTGTGGTGCCCTCACCATGTGTGATCTTGGCCGACACAATCTCGGTGATCTGGGATGTGAGCTTCTGCAGGAACTCCTCTGTGCCCATCTCAGCCAGGGACAAGTGGCCACGGGCCTCCACTGCTGTGGGCTCTGCGGGGGGGCCACAACCTAGCTCAGCTGGACACATGCCCTGCACACATGCCCAGGAAGCCCCTCCAGGTCCTGTGCTGGGCTCAGTCGGCCAGCAGTGCCAAGGAGCACACAGATGTGAGGCCACCACTGCAAGGAGCTTTGCAGGGCCGGGCTAGGTGAAAAGAGAGCTGCCTGGGTGACCCCAAAGGTCAGCAGGCAGACCCTGCTGGGGTTGGGGGGCGGATCCAGGAAATAGGAGGTCCTGACAAGGGCATGCCCAGCACATGCGTCCCGCACCACCCTTATCCTGCTCTCAGATGCCATCTGCATCCAGGCCTGCTGGAGGGGAGTCCTGAGCCTAGGGCCGCAAGGCCTCCAGGGGAAGGCGAGCAGGCATTCCTAGGGGCACACAGCCTGGGGCAGCCCCTCCAGGCCTCACCCCTGCCAGGGGCATGTCGGCCCCCACCCTGCAACAACATGCTCCCAACCATCTCGTACCTTTCCTCTGCCCAGCAAGGTCAGCGAATCCCACAGGTTCTGACATCTGTGTGGAAATGGCTTGGGTCCTGAAGGGGAGCGGTGTCCTGAGGAATGCCTCAGCAAAGTCCTCTTTTCACAATGGGAACACTGAGGCACAGGGTGGGCCAGGGCTGGCCCGAGCCACAGAGCCCTCGCGGGGCAGGTTTGGGCTGCAGTCTAGATGGGGTTCCCTCCCCCACAACAGCACTGTACCCCCAGGGCTGGGACGCCCTGCTCCTAGGCCTGCTCCCTGCACTCACCCCTGTAGGAAAGTAGAGATGAGGGCCTCCTTCACCCCAGCACGCTCCTCCGCCACCCTGGTCTCCTTAGGCACTGTCAGGAGAACAGGTGAGTCAACACGTGTTGGCCCAAGCCCTGAGCCACTTCTGGTTGACACCTGGTCCAGGACATCTGGGGCCCCAGGGGACTTGGCTCTGGTCCCCTGGGAGCCCCAAGATTGAGTGGGGCCCAGGAAGGAAACACTAAGGGTGGCAGGGGGCTTCTAGGAGGGTCCCGGCCAGCTGAGCACAACTGGCAGAACGGGGATGGGAGCTGGCCCACCAGGGGCTGTGGACTCCAAGTTGGGGGCTTGGTGGACGTGTCCTGAGTAGGTCCCGACCCTGGAGGGGACTCACAGCCAGAGACGTGCAGGCTGGCGGAGCAGAGGGCCTGGCCGGCAGCATTGGTAGCGATGCAAGTGTAGGTGCCCTGGTGCGGCCTGCCCACGTCCAGCAGGACCAGGCTGTGCTGCTGGGCAGAGCTGGCCACTGTGTAGCCTGGCGTGTCGCGGCCAATCCACAGCACGCCGCGCTCAGCCTCCTCCCGAAGCCAGTGCACAGCTGGGGCCGGGAATCCTGCAGGCAGGCGGACAGGCCCTCTGAGGGGTGGGGGTCGCCTCTGAGCTCCCTGGGGGCGTCGTAGGTGGGGGCAGGAAGGGGCCTCCTCTGAGCCTCCCGGGGAGATGAGGGGGATCCCAGGGGAGGGGCAGGGAGGTACCTGCTCTGAGCCTCCCCAGTTGGGGGGGTCCCAGGTGGGGGCAGGGAGGTAGGAGCACCCTACCTTCCACCTTCACTGAGAAGGTGATGCTGGAGCCTTTCTTCACTTTTTTGGAGGTGAATCTTTCCAGGAACCGGGGTGGTACCAGCTGCTGCTGCACATCTGGAGAAACAGTGGGCAGTGGTGACCAGCACCTGGGGAGCCTACACCCTGTTGGGGCACCCAGCCCAGCCACAGCCTCCAGGTCCCAGCCTCATCCTGCCCAGGGCTGGGTTTCCACAGCCTACACCCAGCCCTCCTCCCAGCCTGCCTCCACCTGCATCACGAGGTTGTGTCCCTCACGCGCTTTGGGGGAGCCACCCGCCCCCTCTGCCCTCCGAGTCTGCTCACCCGACGCTGGCTTCTCTTCAGGATCTTTGGGGCCTGAAAGAGACAAGAAATGGAAATCAGGCCTATAGCAGCCAGGGTCCTCCTGCCCAGGGCCCTGCACCTGCTGGGGGTGGGGCCCACAGGGGAGCCCCACCCACTCCTTTACACACTTCCCAAGACCCAGGCCACGCAGCCGGGGAGTTCACACTGAGGCTATGTGAACCCAGGCTGATGCCACCTACACCCCATGGCCCCGGGAGCGTGGTGTCCCTCTGGAGCCTACGCAAGGTCTCAGTGGAGGCTGGAGACAGACTAGGCAGCATAGGGCCAGCCAGGCCCAGACTGGAAGCACCTTGCCGTCAGTGCTCAGAACTTTGGAAAACAAGGAAGCTCAGACCTCCCCTCCCACAGTGGCCCTTGGCCTCTTCCTCCGCGCGGTCTCCTGGTGCCCGCACGCCTGCCTGTTGTGTCTCAGGGCCCCCCAGCTCCCCGCACGGCCTATAGCCACCACCCAGTCACCACACCCACCCCGGACAATCAGCCGAGCAGACGAGTAGGCAGCGCCCACAGCGTTGCTGATGTAGGCCGAGTACTGGCCATCATCCTCGCAGGTGACCGACACGACCTCCAGGGTGTGCAGCGTCTTCCGGTCAGCCATGTGGATGTGCTCAGAAGCCGTCAGGGGCTGCCCATCTTTGAACCAGTACAGTCGGGGTGCCGGGTAGCCTGGGGCCACAGGAGAGTGGTCAGCACAGAGCCCCCGTCCTGGGGGCACCACCCTACAGCCCCCTGGGACCTGGGACCGCTCAGACTGCATGGTTATATCACGGCTCCTGGCCTTTCTCCCTTTCTCACCTTTCACTTTGACCTGGAACTTGGCCAGGCGTGTGCCGGGGGCCACCTGGAGATCTTTCAGCTCCTCCACCACCTGGGGCAGCTGCCCCTCCTCCGAGGTAGATTCCGTACCCTCTTGCTCCCGGCTTGTGGGTGGAACAAAGAAGGTGCAGTGAGGTGGACCAGCAAGGAGCCCAGCACCTGGGGGTCAGGTCAGCCATGGTGGCTTCTGAGGGCCCTGTGTGCTGGACAGACACTGCTGGGGCCTGGATCAGAGCTCCAGCATTCAGATTCTCTTAGTGCCACCCGCTGGGGTGCCGCCACCTGCTGGGGGACAGCCCGCCTGTGTATGGTCCTCTACCTGGACAGGTAGCCCTGGGCGCTGAAGTAGGAGGAGGTCTCTGTGGCATCTGCCGCAGTTTCATAGTCTGTGCTGGTCACTGGGAAAGGAACAGTGGTCGCAGTGAGGCTTGTGTCCTGCCTGCCTGGACACAGCCCCATCCCAGGGCCAGGTACCAGCTCTCACTTCGAGGCCATCCCTGGGAGCTACACACATTCCTGGGGCAGACGCCATGGGGTACGTGGCTGCCAGTGGCCCTCTGCACCCAGGCTGTCACCAGCCCGTGCTTCCAGGCCTGGAGCTAACTGCAGGCCCCAACAAATTGCCAACCCTGGGTGATTCTGGGCCTCATGACAGGCGGGGCTGTGTCTTCCAGTTTTACCCGCTAGGGGACCCACGCTGGAACCCAACACTCTGGCGCCTGAGCTCAGACGTGCAGCCTCCAGAACCAGGAGCAGGAACCTTCTGTTTAAGCCACATGCTCCGTGGCACCTGTTAGAGCAGCGGGACCAAGACAGCCTCCCCCATCCTGCCTCCGCCCAAACAAGATGTCAGGAACAATGGTTGTGATCGTGGGATTTAGAATAAGAAACACACATTTGGTCTTTGTCCCAGGATCCTGGCAAGGAGCTCCTAAAACCCTTAGCATTTCCTGTGCTGAGAGCCGTAAGGTGTCTTTGTTACGTACTGAGGTGACCTTGGGCAGCCCCTCAGGATGGGGGCGAGTGGCCAGGGGACCCAACCCTGGGAGCAGAGGGTTGGATGCTTCAGTCCCACCCCCTGACCTCTGGGAAGGAAGAGGGGATCAGTCACCAATGCCCAGTGATGTAACCAATCACACCCGCATCATGAGGCCCCATGAAAACCCGGGAGGACAGCCTTAGGGAGCTTGGAGTTGGTGAGCACATGGAGACGTGGGGAGAGTGACCTGCCCCGGAGCTGGCCCCAGGTCACAGCCTTGGATAATAAGCTGGTAACGTCAGACATTTCTCTGAGATCTGAGCCGCTCCAGCAAGTTCAGGGACCCGAGGAGGGGCCGTGGGAGCCTCTGGCCTGTAGCTGGGGGGTCAGCGGGGGCGACCCCTGGACTGTGGCTGGCGTCTGCTGTGAGGCGGCCTGTGGGGTGTGGATGGGGGCAGAGCGGAGTTAATTATAGGACCCCCAACTGGTATCAGAGAATTTCTTGTTGACCCCTTACAGACAGGAAACAATAATGAGCCCCAGCTTCCTGCCTTGAGTTTCCAGGTCCAGGAGGAGCAACTGAGGAAGAGCTAGGTAGACCCTGAGTAGAGGAGCTGGTGTCCACAGGACAGAAACCAGACAACAGAAAGCTGCAGAGGCAGTGAGCTCTCTCCTGGAGGATTCAGCAGAGCACTGGCTGGCACATGCACACAGGGGCAGAGACACCTGAGGGGCCATTAAAACAGCACAGAGGACGTCATGTTTCCAATAGGACTGGGAACTTCCCCAGTGGATGGCTTCAGGCCCTCAGCAGAGGGAGGGGATCAGCCCTGGACTGAGCCTGCTCCCCACCTAAGAGGAAGACCTTAGGCCTGCAGAGGTAAAGTATGCAGCCCCCACGAGGGCAGGCATCCAGTCAAGGACCACCAAACATGCTCACAGGCAGGAAAACACCACCCAGTGGGTCAAAACCAAGCCAGGACGGTGCAGGTGGAACTGGCAGAGAAGGAAGTCAAAGTATTAGGACTGCATACGTGTCTCCAAATCGTCAGAGACACAGAGCATGTGAAAAAGACTCAAGAAGCTGTAGAGAAGAAAACTACAACGACGGGACGGATGGCAGGTGAGCGATGACAGGACAGTGAAGGGAAGCAAGTAGAGGTACAAACCGCAGGAAATGAAGTGCATGGTGGCAAGAATTGTAAGGGAAGTGTGTCAGCGTGTGGTAGCATCATGGCACACAGCTTCATGTGCATGTGACTGAGGTCCCCAGACGAGGGGGAAAGTTAACACACTTGAAGAAATAACAGCCAAAAACACTTCCAAACTTGATGAGAAAACTAGAAACGCCAAATCCCAAGTGGCTCAGTGAACTGCAAGCACGAGGGAACATAAAGAAAAGCACACCCAAGAACAGCACGGTCAGAGTACTCAAGACCAGCAAAAAGAAGGAAATCCTTAAAAATACCCAGAGGCCATTTTGGAGGACTTTGAGAAACTGATCCTAAAAGTCATATAAAAATGCCAGGGACTCAGATGCTCCAAACAATCGTGCACAAGAGCAAAGCTGGAGGACTCACTTGTCTCAACTTCAACACTGAGCACGAATCTACAGGAACCAAGATGGTGTGGGGTTGGCAGAATGACAGACATACCGATAAATGGGAGAGAGGTTGGAGACCAGAAATAGACCCATGTATGTCATGGAAATCAGTGTCTGACACGAGTTCCAAGACAGTTTTTTTTTTTTTTTTTTTTTATTTATGATAGTCACAGAGAGAGAGAGAGAGAGAGAGGCAGAGACATAGGCAGAGGGAGAAGCAGGCTCCATGCACTGGGAGCCCGACGTGGGATTCGATCCCGGGTCTCCAGGATCGCGCCCTGGGCCAAAGGCAGGCGCCAAATCGCTGCGCCACCCAGGGATCCCCCAAGACAGTTTTATGAAGGAAAATAGTCTTTTCTACGATCGGTCCTGGAACAACTGTATTTCCACAAGAATGGATTGGGGCCTTTCACACCATACACCCAAACGAAGCCTACACACAAGAGCTAAAACCATGAAACACTTAGAAAAAAACAGGGGTGCAGATCTTTATAACGTCGGATTGGGCAATGGTCTTGTAGACGTGACAACAAACGTACAAGCAACCAAAGAAGCAATGGAGTTCATCACAATTAGAAATCTTTGTGCATCAAGGAACACCATCCAGAGAGTGGAAAGAAAATCCTCAGAATGGGGAAAATAATTTGAAAATCATATATCTGATAATGACCCAGTACCCAGAACATATATATGTATATAGGGCTTCTTTCCGGGATCACAGAAATGTCCTGGCACCTGATGGCAGCAACGCTTGTGCGACACGACGAATATATGTTTTCAAACGGCACATTTTTATGGCATGCAAGTGTCTAAAGCATCCCAATCCTACGAGTAAAGGCAAGTTTTGCACAGAGAAATGAAGATACGAGTGGCGTCCTGCTTCTCAGCGGAAGCAATGCAAGCTACAAAGGTTGTCTGCGCAACAATATCTTTCAGAACCACCACAGACACACAGATGTTTTCTCCAGGCATACAAAAGCTGGAAGAACTATAGCACACTCAGGCTACGGAAAAGATGCCGAAAGATGTCCTTCAGGCAGAAGTAAAGCGGAGCCCAAATTCACATCCCCACCGCAAAGTGAAATCCCTTCTATGTGGGCCAACATGTACAATTTTGTCTGGTTCGAGGGACCCGGCCAGCTGTTTGCAGCCGTGCCCAGGACCCCGGTGGGCCGCGTGTCTCAGACCCTTGGAAACACACGCAGGCCGTAGGCCCACCAAGGCAGGATGGGGGAATCCATCAGGGAGGACAGTCCTGCCCACACCCCATAGATGCTTGGGTCTCCAGCTGGGACGCTGCCATGCTCATTTCCAGAGAACATGTCCACGTGATGTTCCCGCCAGCAAGGAATGAGCGACCCCTGTCACTACACCCTGGGCACAGCGTGTTATCTCCAGTTATCATCCTCCCACCCTGCCAGGCACAGCGACGTCTCACTGGGGTTTCGTCAGCATTTCCCTGCCGCCTAATGATGCAGACAGCTCCCGTGTGCGTGTCGTCTCCTATGAACATCTGGACATGTATTTTGCTTTGTTCTAACTGGACTTTTAATTTTTATTTATTTATTTTTTACCATTTACTGCTAAGCATTCTTTATATTTTTTTAAGATATAGCTCTTTACTGGACATGTGGTTTGTAGACACATTCTCCCATCCTGAGGTCCATCCACACAGAGAAAATTTTACCAATTTTCCCTTTTGCAGGTGTTGCTTTAGTGTCAAATCTAAGAAGTTTTTTCCTGGCTGTGGCTCCTAAAGATGTCTTCCTTTTTTTTTTTTTTTTTCCTGAAAGTACCATACTTTCATATCTTGTATTTATGGACGTAATCCATGTTGAGCTGAATTTTGTTTGAGGCCAAGGTCTAATGTTTTGTTTATAAACATCCCAACTCCTCCAGCACTATGAGATTCTATCCTGGAATCTAAAAGTCTAACCTTCCTCCACTTAGTTGCTCTTGCACTTTTCTCAAAAATAAGATGGATGTACTCATGTACTCATGTGAGGCCCACCAGGAGTCATTGCGCTGGACTAAAACAGGCCTCCTGTCCCCTTGTTACTGGGGGAGACTTCTGGGGACTTAGGAACTATGTGCTAGGAGCCAGGGACGAGACCAAATACCCACTTATCTCAGCACAGCCAGTCACCCATACGTGCCTGGGGCATCTCCAAAGTCCCCAGGCCCATCCCCAGCTTAGACACCCCCCAAGGAGGTAAGGCCCCCCAGCTCCTGTGGTTCCAAATCCCGCATGACCTGACACGAGTGCTCTCTGGGTCCTCCGGCCACCCCGCCCCACCGCTCCCAGCTCCTACCCTGGGGCCACACTCACGGTCTACACGGAGCTCCGCCTTGGTGGAGGACACACCCACACTGTTCTCAGCCATGCAGCGGTAGACGCCCATGTCTGCGGGCACCACGGCCGTAATGATGAGCTGGTGGCCGCCCTGCTGGTCCTCACTGATCATGTAGTGGTCATCCTCCTCCAGCATCCTACCGTCCTTGAACCAGCACACGGTGGGCACAGGCTGGCCTGTCACCACACAGTCGAAGCTCACGGGATACCCATCCAGCACCTCTTGATTCTGCAGCTCAGTCAGGAACACCGGGGCTAGGATGGATAGATGGGTGTACAGGGGTTCGGCCCCGGGCTTTTCCCCCAGCCACCCCAGCTGCTGGCCCCTCAGTCTGCATGATCTGCACAGCGTGCTCAAGTGGGAGTGCTGGCGGGCTCCCGGGTGGAACAGGACTGTGCCTCCGGAAGACATAGACATGGCCAACATGCACATGAGAAAATGCTCTGCATCACTTGCCATCAGGGAAATACAAATCAAAACCACAATGAGATACCACCTCACACCAGTGAGAATGGGGAAAATTAACAAGGCAGGAAACAACAAATGTTGGAGAGGATGCGGAGAAAAGGGAACCCTCTTACACTGTTGGTGGGAATGTGAACTGGTGCAGGCACTCTGGGAAACTGTGTGGAGGTTCCCCAAAGAGTTAAAAATAGACCTGCCCTATGACCCAGCAATTGCACTGTTAGGGATTTACCCCAAAGATACAGATGCAATGAAACGCCGGGACACCTGCACCCCGATGTTTCTAGCAGCAATATCCACAATAGCCAAACTGTGGAAGGAGCCTCGGTGTCCATCGAAAGATGAATGGATAAAGAAGATGTGGTCTATGTATACGATGGAATATTCCTCAGCCATTAGAAACGGCAAATACCCACCATTTGCTTCGACGTGGATGGAACTGGAGGGTATTATGCTGAGTGAAGTAAGTCAATCAGAGAAGGACAAACCTATGTTCTCTTTCATTTGGGGAATATAAATAATAGTGAAATGGAATATAAGGGAAGGGAGAAGAAGTGTGTGGGAAATATCAGAAAGGGAGACAGAACATAAAGACTTCTAACTCTGGGAAATTAACTAGGGGTGGTGGAAGGGGAGGAGGGCGGGGGGTGGGGGTGAATGGGTGACGGGCACTGAGGGGGACACTTGACGGGATGAGCCCTGGGTGTTATTCTGTATGTTGGTAAATTGAACACCAATAAAAATTAATTTATTAAAAAAATAATAATAAATTAAAAAAAAAAAAAGGACTGTGCCTCCGCCAGCTTCCCCCCATTCTCTGGGAGAATCTGTGCCCTGCCAGCCTGTGTCTCAGGCCACTGAGACGCTAGAGGAATAGAAGCCAGGAGACAGCAGGAGGGGGAGCTGAGGGCAGACAAAGGCTGTGTGGGCTGGGGGTCCAGGGGCTGCAAGCATGAGGACGGCCCCAAATTACACGGAGGTTTCCAGACATGACGCCATGGGTTACATGTTACATCACACCCCTCACAGCTCCCAGGGAGTCACAAGCAAAGAGTGTAAAGGCTTCAGTTGCTGGAGCAGATAGATGATGTGGGCATGGAACCCCTCTTTTAGAATACTTGTATTCCAAACCCTCACAGAGCAAAAAACACAAGATGTGGAAAGCCAGGGTTCCTCTACCCACTTCACAGAGCAAGACCCCGAGGCCCGCAGAGGCTAGCTCATGACAGGTAGAGCCAGGACGAACAGCGAGCTCTGTCTACCCATAAATTCAGGGCTCTTCCAGCTCAGGAGTCCCCTGGGGCAGCCCCATGCCCCTCTGTCCTGTCCCACCCCAGGCCACAAGCAGACTCACCACCCTCGGAGGTCAGCGCGGGGAGCGTGGGGAGCGCCCTCTCCCGGGGTGCCGCAGGGGCCGGAGCCACTTTGCTGATGCGCATCTCCACCCCCCGGGGCCCCTGCTCCGACAAGCTGATGTCCACCCCGATGTCCATGGTGCCAAACATCTCCCGGAAGCACGCGGCAGCGCGCTGGGACTCAGCAAGTGACTCGAAGCGGATGTAGACGAAGCGCTCATCTTCATGGTAGGTCTGCCAGTCCCCGGGCTCCTGGGGCTCCGCGGGGCCCTCATCTGCACTGACGAAGATCTCTTCATCTGAAACCTCGGCGGGGCTCTTGGTGCGGAAGAGGCGGTGCAACCGCCGGGCTGCCCGGCGGAAGGCGTCATCCAGCTCACCCCCCGAGGAGCTCTCCGCCTCACTCTCTGTCCCGCTAACCACCACACATGCGCTGTGGGCCACATGGCCGAACTTGCTGCTCACCTGGCAGGTGTAGCGGCCGGCATCAGCACGGCCCAGGCCCGTGACCAGCAGAGAACAGGTGCCATCCCCAAGCTGGTCAATGTGGTGGTGCCGGCTGTCAGTCAGCTCCACACCATCCTTCAGCCAGCAGGCACGTACGTCCGCCTTGCTGGACACCACACACTCCAGACGCAGGACATCCCCCACCTGGACCTCGGTGTCCCTGAATGTGCGGGAGAACGCAGGTCCCTCCTGCTGCTTCATCTCCTTGCGGACCTTGTAGCCCTTAAAGGCAGCCTGGATCTTCACGGCTGCTTTGTCCATGGATGGGTCACTCAGGTCCTCAGCACTCAGGTCTGCTGGTGCAGAGTGAGCTGCAGCTGGCTGCTCCTGATGCTTCTGTGGCCTCCCAGATGGGACTGTGGGAACCCCGACCTGTGCACACAGGGAAGGTTTGGAAACTGAGGCCTGTGACAGGGCCAGGATGGGGCAGGGATGTATGGAGCAGAGCAGGAAGCAAAGCCCATGTCTGCTGCCCCAGCTCCACGTGGAGCCACTTCCTGCCCACCCAACAACTGGTCAACCATTGCATGCCTCAGGGCTCCTACTGCCACTGAAAGGCAACTCCACCTTCCCTGAGTCACTCTAAGTGGTCACCCAGACAGAGTGACAGGTTGTGAGGGACACCACAGAGAAACCAGTTCCAGCTCGTAGCAGCCAGGTGGATGGTGGGGTGGGTGGATGGGTAAGAGGTGGGCAGATAGGTGAGTGCTGGATGGGTAGATGGGTGAGTAGATGGGTGAGGGGTGGATGGATGAGGGGTGGGTGGGTAGGTGAGATGGTAAGTGGGTGGGTGAATGGTGGGTGCGTCATTGAGATAGGTGGTAGATGGTTGGATGGTGGGCGGGTACATGAGTGAGTGAATGGTGGAAGGATGGGTGGGCAGTGGATGGACAAACAGATGGTGGATGGATGGGTGGATGGATGGATGGATGGATGGATGGATGGAGAGGTAGTGAGTGAATGGTGGAGGGATGGGTGCTGGATGATGTAAGGATGGGTGGATGGACGGGTGGTGGCTGGGCGATGTGTGAATGGACAACAGGTGTATGGACAATGGCTGGCAGATGGGTAGTGAGCTGATAGGTGGCTGTATAAGCTGGCGTCAAGTGGACAGATGATGGAACAACGCGGGGTGGCTGGTGGAAGACTGGTAGAGACCTAAGACGTCCAGGCTGCTCCCTGCAGGCCACACAGGGCACTCACCTTGCTGGCTGGGGGTGAGGTGCTGGGCCTTCCAGCCTTCTTGAGGTAGGTAACCAGGGAAGGAGTGCCTGCCTGGGACTCGTCATCAGAGCTGGTGTGCGAGAGGTCAGCCTCCCCAGTGCGTGCCAGCTCGTCTGCCGTGGAGTAGTCCTCGGACAGGTCAGGGGCCGCTTCCTCTGCCTCCTGCCGCAGGCGCTGCACACGCCCGTCCTCCTCGGGCAGCTCACTGATGGAGTCCAGCGTGGGCTCACGGCTCATGCGGCGCTTCCGTGCCAGGGCTTCCCACAGCAGGTGCAGGTCACCCTCTTGGGCCGCCTCAGGGGGCAGGCTGGGCTGCACAGGGGCCTCATCCCTGGATCCTGGGGTCAGCTCCACTGAGGAGGACATGCCACTGGTCAGCAGGGTGGGCACACAGCCTTGATCCTGGGCCGGCCTTGGCTGCTGACTGCGCTGCCTGCCTGGGCCGCCAAGAGCTCTGAAGGCCCACTGTGCACAAGGATTTAGGGGTTCTGGACTGGCCCTGGGCCCCAGCTCCCCTGAGGAGGCCAGACCTCAACCTACCTCAGGCTCCGGCACAGAGGAAGTGGGCCCAAGCAGAAGGCCAGAGGCAGTGCAGGTGCAGGGGGGCTCATGGTGTGGAGGGGCTCATATTGTGGGGGGTTCATAGTGTTAGGGGGGCTCAGAGCGCAGGAGGTGGGGGCATGAGTTCAGGGGAGGGTGGTTCGGAGTGGGGGGCCCATAGTGTGGCGGTGCTCAGAGCATAGTGGTGGGGTCAGGGCATGGGGTTGGGGAGTCAGAGTGAGGGACTCAGAAGGTAGGGGGAGGGAGGCTCAGAGTGCAGGTGGGGGGATGCAGAGCATGGGACGTGTGGGGTGCAGGGCATGAGGGGGAGGCTCAGAAGGCTGGTGGAGGGACGCAGAGCATTGGGGGTGCGGGGTGCAGGGCATAGGGTGGAGGCCCACAGGGCAGGGTTGGCCAGGGTCCTGTGGGGGAGCAATGTGAGCTGAGCTGCCAGCCTTCTGAGGAAGCTGAGCCACAGGACTCTATGCATCTCCCCCACCAGGCCTCAGTATGGCAGGAGGCAGGCTCCTCAAGAGGACCCCCTGACTGTCTCCAGGGAGCTAATGAGGATGAGGGCCCAGCTCATTCCCACATCCCATGCCCTCCCACCCCCACTGGGTCCCCAGGACGCACCCTGGAAGGAGGCAGTGGCTGCAGAGGAGGTGGGGTCCCAGGCAGGGCTGCAGCAGTACTCCCCCTGGTCCTCTGCCGAGAAGCCCTGGATGACCAGCGTATGTCGCTGACCCCGGCAGAGAACCTGGACGCGCCCGCCAGGTTGGATGAGCTCCGTCCCCTTCAGCCAGACAACCTCACCCGCCTCGGCCACCTCGCACTCCAGACACAGGTCCTCGCCGGCACCCACCTGCCGGGTCTCTGGAGCAGGGAGCATGGGAGCCAGGGGCGCAGGAACTGGGTGCGCAGGAGTCTGGGTCTCTGGAGCTGGGGGCACTAGGGTGGGGGGTGCCGGAGCCCAGGTCTCTGGAGCTGCGGGCGTGGGAGCTGGGGGCGCTGGAGCGGGGGGCTCTGCGGGCAAAACCACCACTTCAGCAAAGACATGCCCCGAGGCTCCTCAGCCTGGGAAGACCAGGAGTGCTCTGGGCAGACTTCACCCTCAATAGCCGCAGGGCACACAGCGACTCACCTAGCCTCACTGTCTGGGGCAGGTGCACTGGCTCCCCAGCCCCCACGGGGCCCACCGCTGCCACGCGGAAGCGGTAGGTCTCCCCGGGGGCCAGGCCGTTCACGATGCACTCAGGCCCGGGCACCAGCTCATGGCACAGCCGCCACTCGCCCGTGGTGGCTGCCTTCATCTCCACCCGATAGCCGCACAGCCCACCGCCACCATCGCTTGCCGGCGCCACCCATGACAGCGTCACAGAGCGGCCACTTTGCGCCACCACCTCAGCGTCCTCTGGGGGGTCCGGGAGGCCTGCAGGGAGGGGGCTGGTCAGTGGAGGCTCCCCATCAGTGCCCGCGGGTGCCCGGCCTGCCTGCCTGGGGTCTGATCCCAGGGTGGGGAGTGGGTGCCGGGTGGTCCACCCCCACAAGCTGGTGAGGCGCTGTGCTTGGGGTCCAGACCCTCTGAGACAGCAGAGGCCGCGCCGCGCACCGCGCTCGGGCACCAGGGAGACTGTGTGCCCGAGCCCACCAGGATGGGGCCCTCTGGGACCAGAACAGCTGAGCACCCAACCCACACACACTCCCGCCCCCGCAGCAGTCTCCAGAGCCACCCACTCAGCACGGTGAGCCGCGCGGAGGCCACGGCGTCGTGGGCGGCGAAGGTGACCTCGCCAGCGTGGTGTGGCTGGGCACCGCGCAGCAGCAAGGCGTGGTGGCTGCCATCTGCAGTGACCGTCCAGTCAGGGTCGTCCGGCTGCACCGCGGCCCCGTTGAGGTACCAGGTAGCCTCGCCCACCGGCACCGCCTCGCTCAGCGCGCAGGTAAACTGGGCCTGCCCACCAACTCGTACCGACGCGTCGCGTGGCGACTCCAGGACGTCCAGGCGCCAGCCTGCGGGGCGGGGGCTGCGGTGAGCGCGTCCCGGGGCTGCCTGGAGGCGGGGCGGGGAGCCCCGGAGCCACTGCGTCCGCCAGCCCGGCCCCCCGCCCCTGGCCAAGGAGGAGGCCCGGCCCGCGCAGGAGGGGTCTCGAAGACCAGCGCCCCCAGGCCCCAGCCCTGCACCTCCCCTGGGCGGGATCCGGTGGGAGGGGGCTCAGACACCTGGCTCCCCCCTGCAGCCCCGCCTCTCCCACACACCTGGGGCGCGGCGTCCGGTGGGAAGCACCTCAGATACGGGCCCCCCACGCCCCTAACCTCTGACTGTGAGGAATGCGGAAGTCACCACATCCCCCGCCAGGAAGGTCACCCGGCAACTGTCCTGCGGCCGCAGGTTTTTGAGCAGAAGCAGATGCCGCAGACCGTTCTCGAAGTAGACCACCTCCGCGTTTTCTGAGGTGTGCACAGGCTCATCGTCCAGCAGCCAGGTGTGCGCGGCCACCTCAGGGCGGGACAGCTGGCACTCGAACAGCGCCTCGCCACCTTCCAGTGTGTCCACGTTCTCCAAACCGCGTACCACGGTGTTCTTGGCTGCGGGGAACGGGCAGCTCAGGGCGCGTGGGGGCCTCCTCTGCACTGACTCCACACAGTCAGGGGGAAGAGCCTCCCCCGCGGGAGAAAGGGTCCGAGGGCTGAACATAAGGCCGCCAGGGGAAGGGCAGCGTGGGGTGGGAAGCTCTGGTGGCCTTCAACTGTGGCCAGGGACGGGGTTCTCCACACCAGCCAGGTGAGACAGCTTACTCAGCGGTGTTCCCAGAGCTGCCTGACCCACAGCCAGGCTCATACCCCCCACCTGTACCCCAAGAGCTGTGCCCCTGCGGGGACTACAGAGTGCAGCTCTGGAAATGCGCACCCATCTTCCCAGCCCTGAGCCAGAGCTGAGGCAGGCCAGTCTGCTCCCTGACTCACACACACCAGTCCTGTCCCTATTCCTGACCCACTCTAATCCTCTTCCACACACGGTACACTGGTCTTACTAACTGAGCATGGGTTTCTTCTGTAAGCCATGAGCTCAGGACTGGGGGTGCCTGGCCCCAGCGCCAGCTCAGTGCCTGGCTGCACAGGCCTGCCCCTGCCATGGCCCATTCCTGCCACGTACCACCTCTTGGGCAGGTGATATCTGAGTGGGCTTCCAGGAGAATGAACCTCAGGGCATGACTGAGCTGGGTGGGGTAGTTGTCTAGGCAGGAGGAGTGACAAGAGAGGACACCAGGATAGGAATGAAGGCAGGATAGTCAGCAGAGCAAGGGATTCAAGGCACCAGGTGGGGTCCTGGCGGCAAGGCTGCATGTTAGGCCAGAAAGGAGGGCCAGGTGGGCCAGGGCTGGCCCAGATGCTGGCAAGGGTGTGACCCTGATGCATGTGACCTCAGGAAGCCACTGCATACAGGATCTGACCTGACAGAAGAGGGGACAGCCAGGCCCACAGCCCCACCTGCTGTCTGAGGGATGTCCCCAAATGAAACTTGTTCACAGCCCAGGGCTGAATCCAAACTTGTGCACGCGCCCTGCAGGCAAGCGTGTCTGCTCAGGACCAGCAGCCCCAGGGACTGAAGGGACCAGAGCAGAGGCCCCCAAGGACCTGTCCACATTCCTCTTCTGGCCACCTTCCTGGGCCTGGGCTGCTCACAGACCACACATCCCCACATCCTGGCCCTGCTCCTCCCACATCAGAATAAACAGCGGCCACAGGGCCTAGCAGCCCATCCACACCTCCACTGTGCACTGATGGCCACTTTGGGGCTACAGCTGCCCTTAGTCATGAGGGGAGGAGCAGCGGGGTGACTGCCAAGCCTGCAGTCACCCAGAGTTACCCAGATGGCACTCAGAGTCACCCAGATGGCACCTAGAGTCACCCAGATGGCGCCGAGATGACACCCAGATGGCACCCAGAGTCACCCAGATCACACCCAGATGGCACTCCTGCTTCATCGCGATACAATCCCGGATATCGAGGCAACAGCAAGCCCCTGAACCCCCTGCTGTCTCCCACCTCTCTGGGCTCCCCTGTCTACCTACCCTGCCCAGATGCCCTGTTCCCCCACTCCCACCTCTGTCCAGCCTGGCACTCACGGCAGCCCCTGCCCACAGCTGCTATCAGGTCCTCCTGCAGCTCCCACCGGGATAGTCCCCAGAATGGAGGAACTGCTGTCTATTCTGATCTGTGCCCCCAGTGACCACAAAAAAAATTTTAAAAACTTAGCTCTTTAAAGAGTGAAGGAAGGGGTGGGTGTGCCATCAGGCAGTAGCCAGACAAGCCCACCTGCTCATCCTGATGGCCCAGAACACTGCTCCCACCCTCCTGCTCACTCGCCACTAGGAATGGTTCAGATTTTCCCAGATAGGAAGTGGCAGCAGCCAAGTGATGACCCCCTCTGACAGGGGCTGCAGCCAACACCACTCCCCTGATTCCCCAGAGTGTCCTTGCTGTACGCAGACAGGGACACAGGGCTCCAGGGCCCTCTGGGTGGCCAGCCTGGAAAGCAGAGTAACAAAGACCCCAGGATTCCAGGAGCTTAGCCCAGCACCCCCATCCTGTCCCATCAGGCTGCTGTGGAAGGAGCAGGGGGCTGCCTGCTGCGACCCTGTCTTTCTGGCCTGGTCACAGGGCATAGGTTGTCGCCGCCTGCCTCTATACCACTAAGGACAATCCCAGCCATGCCGGAGCTGTGCAAGGCCTCACCTTGCACTTGCAGCAGGGCCACCACATGGGTGCCCGCAGCCTCACAAGAATAGATGCCACTGTCGCAGGGCAAGGCCGGCCGGAAGGACAGCCTGGCCACGGTCCAGTCCTGCTCTATGACGACACGGCGCCCGTCGGCGCGCACCTCCTGCTCGTCCATCTTCCACGTGGCCTGCACGGGCCGTGAGTACTGGCAGAGGAGCTCGGCCGGGCCGCCCTCCTCCACCACCAGGTCCTGCATGGCACTGACCACCTCCAGCGTGGGATCTGTCGGCCGACACCCCAGTCACGCGTCAGCTGGAGCCACGCAGCTGGACCCCACCCTCCCTCTGCCCTCAGAGGCTTGGCAGCAAGCAAGCGCAAGGCTGCGGCGTGAGGGGACCTGTAATGATGACCCAGGGCCCTCTTCACAGGGCAAGCCTTGCCTGCCCCCCGCACCACCCACCCTGGCAGATAGCCCTCAGGGCTAAGCCCTCCCATCCCCTGGGTCCCTGCATCCCCCTGAAGCCCTGGCCCAGGGCATGCTTTGCCTCAGCAGGGACACAGCACTTCTCCCCAAAAGCCCCCTGCTGGACACACGGCACCTCCAGCCCAGGTTGTCCCTTCTCCGCAGGCCTTGCCAACCTCCTTGGGGTCCCTATCCCTTGTTAGCCTGCTGAAATCCTACTCAACTAATGGTTCGCCCCTCAGATGTGGGTGAACATCCACACTTATTCTAAAGCACAGAGGAGGATCAGGGCAAAAGTGCTGGGTGAAGCCTTTCTGGCCAGCCATCCCAGGGGGACCAGACACCCCCACTGGTGTTCCCCGAAAAAGCCTAGCTCGAAGGGCACAGGACCTCAACTGAGCCCACAGCAAGGGAAGCAGCCACGAGCAGGGACAGTGCAGGCTCAGCCCAGGGCCAGGAAGGGGACTCTCACCTCCTGGCAGCCCTGTAGACAAGCACCTGGCCACACAGCAGGGGCCAGGCAGGAGGCAGTGCCTGGGCCCCACAAGTGGGTGGGATGGGGTTGGCTTACAGCTTTACCATTGCCCAGCCTGACCTTCTCATCCACCAGTCAGGCCAGCAGACCTCCCACTGTTCCTGCCCGTGACACGCACAGAGCAATGCCCAGTCCGTGTCCCAGGACCTGCCCAAACCTGCCACCCCGGGAGCCTGCAGCAAGCGTGCAGAGTCAGTAGGTGCAGAAGCGCCAGCTCAGGGCAGGGTCCCATTGGCCAATACCTTTGACCAACAACTTGGCCGTGGAGACCAGGGGCCCTGCGCGGTAGGTGATGGTGCCGGAGTCGGCAACCCCCAGGCCCGAGAGTGTGAGGGAGTGGAAGGTCCCGTCACGCACGGAGATGGCACTCTGGGGGCCATCCTGCAGCAGGGTGCCATCCAGCCACCAGCGGGCCTCCGGCCCACCCGCACGGGACACCTCACAGGAGAACGTGGCCACCTCCCCCGCAAAGACGTCCACATTCTGCAAGCCACGTACCAGGCATGGTGCTGCCTCTGCGCAAGAGGGCAAAAGGAGGGGAGCTGGGCATCCTGGGTTTGCGGGGCCAAGCTGGGGTCCACACAGGCTACGCTGGGCTGAGTCTAGAGATCTACCCAGGCCAGCTGGATCACCTCACTTGTAGAATGACAGGCAGACTGCCTACAGCAAGCCCATGGAGGGCTGCCTCAGCCCCCCTGTACTCAACACCCCCACTGGAACATGTCCAGGTTCACCAAATGAGACTGATGACCTACATCCATGCCCTTTTCACAAGGCACAACACATAAGCCCCATGCCCCCAGAATGTGATCTCTGTGGGGTGGGTACAGGGTGAAGAGAAGCCATGGGGCCTGCTGCTCTGATAGGGTGGGGGGGATCTCCCTTGGGAAGTAAGCCCTCCATCCCTGGAGGTGTAGAAGCAGGTACTTCTCCCATCCCCAGAGCTCCATTTGTCCAGACGTCTTGAGGTCCCCCCAGCCCTAAGATTCCTAGGCCCTATTGCCGTGTGGCAACTGCCCCCTGCTCTGTCATGCAGTAGGACCTGAACCCAGGGCCTTCCCAGACACAGATGATGACTACTCTGTACCCCTGTGCCCACCATGGCTGCATGGCTGCTCCCCTCAGAAGACCCCCATGCCCTTCCTAATGGTGCACTTAATAGTGCACCATTAACATTCCAGCCTGCACTTGCCCTTCCACCCTCTCCCAAAAGTGCACACCTGATGGCATCCTTGCCCTACCCCATCAGCTCCCCATTCCCATCTCCAGTAGAGTTCCCAAGTTCATCTATATGCCACCTACCAGGGCATCCATTCACACACCCCCAGGCTCACAGCCCTCCCCACAAGGCTATGGCCAGGTATCTGACATGAGCCAGCACACTCCAACAGGAGACACCGGGCCAAGAGGCACAGCCCTCAGTGGAGCCTGCAAAGTCCAACCCAGTCCCATGCTGCCCCCTTACAGATGCCCACCCTGGATCCACTCCACTCAGGACACCCAGAGTGCCACTCCTCCCCCATCACTCACTCAACTTGAGGGCACTGCACTCTGGAGCCTTTCCCAGTCCCACAGTCCACAGAGCTAACTGTGTCTGTCCACCCTTTGAAGATCCCAGAACAGGGGAGGGGACCTGAGATTCAGGACACATACTGTCTCTATGTCTAACTCGCCCAGCAGACTGGGGACTCCCTGAGGGCAGAGCTGCATCTGGCCCTTCTCCAAGTAGATGGTAAGATAGATGCTAGGTGGCTAGATGGGCACATGGATAGAGGTGGGTGGATGGATGATGGATGGATAGATGGATGGATGGATGGATGGATGGATGGTGGATAGATAAATGTTGGATAAGCAGATGGATAAATGGATACGGTGGGTGGATCTGCAGTAGCTGGATGGATGGTGGGTGGATGACAGATGCATGAATGAATGATGGGTGAACGTGCAGTAGATGGATGGATGGATAGCAGATGGTTGTGCAGTGGATGGATGGATGGGTGGATGGATGGTGGATAGATAAATGTTGGATAAGCAGATGGATAAATGGATACGGTGGGTGGATCTGCAGTAGCTGGATGGATGGTGGGTGGATGACAGATGCATGAATGAATGATGGGTGAACGTGCAGTAGATGGATGGATGGATAGCAGATGGTTGTGCAGTGGATGGATGGATGGGTGGATGAGCAGATGGATGGATGGATGGTGATTTGACAGATGGATGGATAGTGGACGGATGGCAGATGAACACATGGACAGTAAATGGACAGATGGATGGTGAATGGATGGATGGTGGATGGGTACATGGTGGAGAGATGGATGAAAAGGTAGATATGTGGATGTAGACAGAAGGATGGGTGGTGAATGGACGGGTGGATGGAAGAGTAGAGGAATGACCCACAGGCACGCGGCTGGTTATGGGAGCAAGCTGCCCACCTGTGACCTTTAGCTGGGCCTCCGAGCTACACGAGCCCACTTGGAAACTGATGGTTCCAGCATCCTCCAGGGTTACCTGAAGGAGAGAGGGGGTCTCAGCCTGGCAGCCCTGCTCCCATCATTTCCACAGGCCCCCAGCCCAGCCCCAACCCAGATGCATCGTGGCAGGCAGCAGGTCCCAGGGAGCCTACCTTGTGCAGGGTGAGCAAGTGGAGTGTGCCATGCTCTACTGTGATGTCATTCATCTCATTGGCCTTCAAGGGCACCCCTCCCAGGGCCCAGTGGGCCTCCTGGCCAGAGGCCCTGGACAGCTGGCACCGGAAGTGGGCATCCTGGCCCTCACTGAGCTGCACATCCTGTAGGGCCTCCACGATGGTGACCTCGGGGACTGTGCAGTGGGAGATGGGGCATTGGCCTCTGTGCCAGGCATGCCTCCCAGCCCCCAGGGCCCGCCCTAGCACCAAATCCCATTTCCTGGAGACATCACGTGGCGCACCACTCCAGTGCATCTTGGCCACCCCAGCACCACCCATTCACAGGGCCACCTCCCCACCGGTTCCCTCCCTGCAAGGGCAGGGACCCGGGGACCTGTCGGGCCCACAGAGGGCCTGGACCTTCCACCCAGGGGCCAGTGAGCCAGCCTGGAGCCCACTACCTCGGACAGTGAGCTGGGCGGAGGATGTGTGCATGCCCACATGGAAGGAGACGGTGCCTGCATCCTCTGGTGTCACACCCTTCAGCTGCAGCATGTGGGTGCGGCCACCTCGCATGGACACCTCCGTCACCTCGTTGCTCTGCAGGGGCAGGCCTTGGAGCCGCCACTCCACATCTGTGACGCCGGGCCGTGACACCTCGCAACTGAACTCCACATCCCCGTCGACCTGCACCTCAGCATCCACCAGCCCCCGCACGATGGTCACCTCTGGTTCTGGGGTATAGGTGAGGAGATCCCTTCACCAGCCAGGCCAACCTCCCACTTCTCCTTCTCTGGGAAGCTTTCCTGAACACCCTCACTCTTCTCTTGCCACAGCCTCTATGTGCCCCATATGACATCTGTCACCATGACATTCAATTGCTAGGAGCAGAGACCCGGCTGGGGGTGCCTCTGTTTGGAGGAAATGTGAAAGGAGTTGTAGAGGGGTGGGCTGCCTCTGTCCATCCCCACCCTGTGGCCAGCCCTACCCTAGCCAGGACAGCAGGGAGCCAAGCCCTTTGAGAGACGCAGGGGCTCCATGGCGACGACCAGGACAGGCCGCCCACCCGTGGGCTGGGGGTGAGAGGCAGGGCAGTGTCTGGGGAGGGGTGCAGCTTGTTTCCCAGAGCAGAGCAGAAAGGACAAGAGAGAGCCTGTGACCCCAGAGCCACCAAAACAAGGTACAGACAAGTGCTTGACCTTAATGGGTGCTGGGCTGGGCCAGGTATATGCCTGAGCAGCCGCAGGGAGAAAGTGTGTGGCAGCGAGGGCTCACCTTTGACCATGACAGAAGCCATGGTTTTCTGACCACCGGCCACGCAGACGTACTCGCCAGTGTCTTTTGGCTCTAGCCCGTGGATGAGCAGCTCACACGTGGTTCCCATGCGCCTTATCTCATATTTGGGGCTCAGGTGCAGCTCCACACCCTCCTTGAGCCACTGCACTGGGACATCAGTCTCTGCCTTGCTCAGCTGGCAGTGCAGCCAGGCCACACCGCCTGCTTCCTGCTCCGTGCTCTGCAGCTCCTCCTGGAACACGGGCCTGGGGGCTGGGGGGCCAGGGAGCGGCGCTCAGGGCTGCCAAGCAAGGCTCTGGGCTCCCAGCCGGGGATTGAGGGCTCCAGGGGGGGACAAGGGGGCACTGGGCAGCTCACCTCGGACAGAGAGGCTGGCTGTGCTCTGCGTGTGGCCAGTGTCACAGGTATAGTGGCCGGCGTCCTCCTGCTCTACGCTTCGCACCAGCAGCTCCACGGTTGTTCCCTTCTGCACCATCTGGTACTTGGCACAAGGGAAAAGCTGCAGGGAACCCTTGCGCCAGTCCACGCTGGCACATTCCTGGCTCAGCTCGCAACGCAGGCATGCCGTGGCACCTTCGTCCACCTCCTGGGCCTCCAGCTCCCTGAGGAACCGCACAGGTGCAGCTGCGGGAGGCAGAAGAGTGTGAGGGCCATGAGGGCCATGGGGGCCATGAGGGCCATGGGGGCCATGAGGGCCGGGGCAGGAGCAACCAGGGGGTGCAGGGGGGACAGAGCAGGAGCACAGGAGCAGTGTCGCTAGGGGTGCAGGGAGACGGGGGATGGGTGCAACTGCGTGGGTAGGAGAGGAAGTGGGGGTGGGACCCAGGGTGCCACAGAGGTGCAGGGGAGGATCACCAGAGAGCAGCTATAAAGTAGGGGAGGCACCACAGGTGCTTAGCTGAGGGGTTCCAGGAGATGGGACTGACTGCTGGGGCGGGGCTAAAGAGTGGGCGGCGCAAGCTGCTAAGGATCTGAGGAATGGGAACCTCAGGGGTATGTCTATAGGGTGCAGGGGTGTGGCTACCGGGTGCAGGGGTCCTCAGGGGTGTGGCTATGGGGTGCATGGGCATGGCTGCTGGGTAGAGGGGACCTCAAGGGTGTGGTTATGGGGTGCAGGGGCATGACCACAGGGTACAGATGGGAACCCCTATGGGTTTCCAGTGGGACCTTCATGGGTACAGCAGCTACAGGACGAGGGTGGATCCCACAGGGGTGCTGCTATGGAGTGCAGGAGGGGAACTGCAGAGGTGTGGCTATGTGGCGCAAGGGTGAACCACAAAGGGTGCAGCTGTGGGGGATGGGGTAACCTCAGGGTGAAGGCTGAGCTTCCTGCCAGGCTTGACAGGCCCCCAGGGGATGCCCAGGGTGACACTGCCACCCCAAGGCCCAACCCAAAGCACTGGCTCCGGTCTCGCCTTGGGGTTCACCTGTAATGGTGAGGGTGGCACTGGTGGACTGCAGGCCACAGGCACAGGTGTACTCCCCTGAGTCCCCCCGTCGCAGGTCCCACAGCACAAGCTCCACCGTGGGACCCTGCTGCCGAGGCTCCCGACGTGAGTCAGCCTGCAGCTCCAGGCCGCCCTTGCTCCAGACCACAGTGGCACCGGGCCGGGACAGTTCACAGCGCAGGGTGACTGATGTACCCTCCTTGGCCTGCAGGCTCCGGAGAGGCTCCTTGAACACCACCTGGGCAGCTGAGGGGTGGGCAAAGGCAGACAGGAGCCAGGATCAGCCCTACGTGGGAGTCCCAACATGCAGCTGGACACACTGAAGGGGGATAACTGGGCGGACTGGGGTGAGACGGTGGCGGGGGGGTCTGTCATACCACCAGGACGGGCCCGTGAGGCCATAAGGATGAACATTAGTGACCAAAGGACACAGAGGTGAGTCCTCTAAAGGCCCGAGAAGATGCCAAGACATAGACAAGGACAGGCACTCATGCACTCCATGCGGCCCCACGCGGCTTTTACCCCTGACGGTGAGCACAGCCGCCGTCCTCTCCTGCCCACACACACACGAGTACTCCCCGGAGTCCTCCACGGCCAGGCCCCGGATCTGCAGCTCGCACACGGCCCCGTCCTGCCTCAGGCTGACCCTGTCCCCGGCTCTGAGGACCTCAGGCCCCTTCCTCCACTCCACGGGGGCCGCCTTGCTCAGCTCGCAGCGCAGCGTGGCCGTGGCCCCTTCCGTGGCCTCCTCATTCCTTAGACTTTTTGTGAACTTGGTGGGCAGCTCTGCAGAGGGTCAAGGTGACACAGAGGAAATCAGATTGTCTTGGGGACACTTGGTCTAAGATGGAACACCCACGAGAATCACATACCAGTAAAGGGTCACAGCGTGAATGACTTAATGAACACACAGACAGCGAGGAAGACAGAGTCCAGAGGGGACATAGCATGGATGTGAACATCGCGACAGATACAGAATAAGGATGTGGAGGCTGGGAGAGACTGGAGAAGGTCACTGGCAAGACGCAGACGTCCACAATCCTACTAGAGAGAAGGGGTGACAGGATGACACTAAGCTGACACCAAGCTCCAGGTCCACGCGGCCCCATGCGGTGTTTACCCCTGACGGTGAGCACGGCCGCCGTCCTCTCCTGCCCGCACACGCACGAGTACTCCCCGGAGTCCTCCACGGCCAGGCCCCGGATCTGCAGCTCACACACGGCCCCGTCCTGCCTCAGGCTGACCCTGTCCCCGGCTCTGAGGGCCTCAGGCCCCTTCCTCCACTCCACGGGGGCCGCCTTGCTCAGCTCGCAGCGCAGCGTGGCCGTGGCCCCTTCCGTGGCCTCCTCCTTCCTCAGGCCCTTGGTGAACTTGGCGGGCAGCGCTGCAGAGGGTCAAGGTGACACAGACACAATCATGGTCTCTGACCACAGGGAAGAGGCAGGACACGAACATGACAGAGAAGACACAAACCCCAACAGACATGGGCCAGGTGCTGGGTGTGCAGAGCACTTGGTGTAGGCCGTGCCCCGCCCCCCCAGCCTGGCCTGCTCACAGTGTGGCCGTGGCCCTTCCGTGGCTCCCCAGACGTTACGCTTGGTGTGATGCTGGCCAGCACGGCCGGGGAGAGCCAGGACTCCAGAGCCAGTCAGCTTTCTGGGGCCCTGTGTCCAGGATGGGTACACATGCAAGGATCACACCACCTCGAAGGGCCTCACATTAGTGAGACACATGTGGAGACAATGAGGGAGGCCCACAGGCCTTGCACAGACGCGGGGCACAGGGCTGAACATAAACATCAGCATGTCTGCTGAAGGAGCAAACAGGATCCAGGACAAACACAGAACCGCAGGAGGACAGACATAGGGGCCCACAAAGTGCTACGAAGGAGGGGTGATGGGGAGACAACGGGCAGACACCAAACCCCAGGTCCACGCGGCCCCACACGGCGTTTACCCCTGACAGTGAGCACGGCCACCGTCCTCTCCTGCCCGCACACGCACGAGTACTCCCCGGAGTCCTCCACGGCCAGGCCCCGGATCTGCAGCTCGCACACGGCCCCGTCCTGCCTCAGGCTGACCCTGTCCCCGGCTCTGAGGGCCTCAGGCCCCTTCCTCCACTCCACGGGGGCCGCCTTGCTCAGCTCGCAGCGCAGCGTGGCCGTGGCCCCTTCCGTGGCCTCCTCGTTCCTCAGTCTCCCTATGAACTCGGTGGGTTGGGCTGTAACAGGGCACACAGACTAGGTCATGTTCATCATCCCACCAGCATAAAGGGGCCTGCGGGCCGGCAGGCATGGGTGCTTACCCCTCACATTGAGGTTGGCCAAGGTCATCTGGTCCCCAAAGCAGCAGGAGTACTGCCCAGTGTCCTGGGGCCGCAGGTCCCGCACCACCAGCTCCAGCACTGGGCCGTCCTGCCGCATGCTGTACTTGCTTCCGGGCTGCAGAACTTCGTCTCCCCGGCGCCACTGCACGGGTGCAGCCACCGTGGACAACACACAGCACAGTGTGGCAGCGCCACCCTCCAGCATATCCAGGTCCTGTAGCCCCTCCCGGAAGCACACTGGCCGCGCTGTGGGCAGGCACAGGCCTGGCTCAGCACCCATTGCGGCCACCTGGCTGATAGCCCCTGCATTAGGGGCCACGGGCATGCCGTGGCCTGAGAGTTCAGGCAGGCCCACCTCCCCCTTCCCACACAGGGGCTACAGAACACAATCCCCAACACTGTCTTCCAGGAGGGGGACAAACGGTCAAGAGCAGAGAAGGACAGAGTAGGGTGGTCTGTACCCCCCAAATCCACACACTGGAGTGCCCCAAACCCCAGAACCTCACAATGACTGTGTTTGGAGGTGGGGTCTTAACCAACGTGATTAACATAGATGAGGTCATCTGGAGGTGCCTAATCCCACAAGATACATGATCACGTGAGAGAAAGTTAGGGCACACACACAGGGGGAAAATGGCACGTACACGCCGTGGAGGGACCTTCGGGAGGATGTGGCCCTGCCGATGCCCGGCCCTGTGACTTCCCAGCTCCAGGACAAGGAATGCTAAATGCCGCTGTGGAAGGGCTGGCCTGTGGTGTCTGCGATGTGGCCCATGCTGACACAGGTGGAGATGAGCCGAGTTGGGAGAGGGGGGACACAGATGGGCCAGAAACCAAGACACAAGATTGCTGCTGGTCAGGAGGCCACGGTGGCAGGAGGGGCGACTGGAGCCGGACTGTGGGGGCCATGGGCCTCCCCGACCAGGAGAAGAGGAGCCACATGGGGCCTGGGCCCGCCCCAAGACAAGGGCATGACCCTGGGAACTTACCGTGGACCCTGACGATGGAGCTGCTCCAGGAATCCCCAGCCTCACACCTATAGCGCCCGCCGTCTTGCTTGGTGGCACCCGTAATGATCAGCTGGGCACGATGGCCCTCCTGGCTCAGCTGGCACCGGGCTGATGGCCGCAGGACCTTCCCATCCTTGGTCCAGCACACAGAGCCGTCCAGGGTGGTGATCTCGCAGACCAGGGTCAGCTCCTCCCCCTCTGTGACCGTAGTATCTGTGAGCTCCCGGGAGAAGATGCTGGGCTTTTCTAGGGGTACAGAGCAAAGCAAGGACACTTGGGGACTCCTGCAGACCGAGCAGCTCCCTGGCCGAGTGTGCAACTGTCCCTTCAGGCAGGGCCAGAGGGGAACAGGGCAGGCCCGAGGTGCCGCAGCCCACAGTGTGGACACAGTGGATCATCTCTGCACGCCGTATGCAATGATCACCCAAAATGAGCCCTATGGGCCGGGCACGGTCTGCCCAGGACCATGCTATGCACGTGGCTGAGATCTGCCCACCATGAGGCTGCACCCTCCAGCCCAGGGACCCGACCCCTCAGTGCACAGAGCATACCACCCACCACCCACCTGTGACCCGAAGGGTGGCCGAGGCCCGCTGGTCCCCTGCCTCAAAGTGAATGGTGCCCGAGTCCTTGAGGGCAAGCTGCCGCAGGGTTAACACGTGGTAGCCACCTGGCTGAACCTCGATCTCATTGAGCTCGTTGGGGTGCAGAGGCGTCTTGTCCAGGAACCAGTGGACAGGCCCATAGTTGGCAGGGGAGACGCGGCAGGAGAAGGTGGCTGAGGCTCCCTCACGCACCTCCACGTCCTCCAGAGCCTCCGTAATGAGTACACGCTGGCCTGCAGAGTACAGAGCAGTAAGTCAGGGTCCCCAGCCACCAGCTCCAAGAGAAACGGTCACTCCTCAAGACCCAGGCAGGCTCACAGCTCATAGGCCGCAGGTGACAAACCCAGGAACCAGGAAGGGGCGCAGAGCTGAACTGTCCAGGCCCACCTCCAGGGTCCTCCTGCGGAGCACAGAGGCTGGGCACAGAGGGCCCTCGGCTGCTGAACTGTACTCCACACCCGCCTGCATCCATCCCCAAGGTCCCAGACGCCATTAAATCAGGGATGAACAAGAGGACCAGGAGCGTGACAACAGTTTTGCCTTCACTAAAATCAAATTCAAATGCTTTGGAGGATTAGCGACATGAATCATTAGGGACAAAGACCCCACTTCTGCCGTGAACAACGTAGGTGTGGGGACAGCTCAGAAAGCAGTCCTGACGACTACGGTGGATGCTGCTTCCAGGCTCCTCCTGTACCTGCAGGGGTCTGAGGGCTGTGGGGCTATGGAAAGAACTTGGGGGCGACCCAGAAGCTGGCAGCAAGTGCAGAGCAGATGAGAAAGCACACGAAGACCAACACAACTCTGGCCACACTGCCGACAGCCTCACGACCATGTCTGGTCTTCGCAGACAGGGCTTTGCTCCTGTGGGGTCTCACTCTAACCCATGTTGTTTGGACTAAGCATGGGTGCTGCTTTGTTATGGAGCATGGTTTCTAACCTACTCAGGGGTCTCCACGTGAGCTCGCTACACGGCTGGCTGTCATAGAAAAAACACAGCAAGCCTTTGTGGTTCTTCCCTTGCTTCCTGTGGACAGATTCCATCCCCCGCCCTGCCCCGGGGGACCCTGCCCTGAGCCTGGATGCTGGCCCTGGTGATGAGGGCAGTGCACTCCCCTGCTAGACACGTGCGCCCTATGGCCCTAGGCAGCCACAGCTCCTACGGCAGGCCCGTTCCCCTATCTGCGAGGTGGGGGAGTAACCTTCAGGCTACCCACAGGTACAGCTGCTACTCATACCTGAGGCCTCCCAGGCCCCCACATCCCATGTGTAATCCTTCCCGAACCCCGGGGCCAGCACACAGGAGGGGCTCTCAGCAAACAGCTGCACGAGGACACCCACGCCGTCACACCAGGTCCCTCCAGGAGGGCCTCGGTGACAATACCCCCAGTGCTGAAGTGTCAGGGATCAGGTCCAATGGCCTCCAAGCCCATGTTCAACAAAGCTTGTGCCCACCCGGGCCTCACCTTGCACCAGGAGCCGGGCCTGGGAAGAGGCCTGGCCAATGTCACAGGTGTAGGTGTCACTGTCTGCTTTCTCCAGGGCATTGATGGTGAGCTTCAAGGTCAGGCCCTCCTGGCTGGGCACGTGCTTCCTTGAGGCATGCAGTTCTGTGACACCCTTGCGCCAGGTCACCGTGGCTGCGGGATGCTCTGTCTTGCACATGAACACAGCCGTGCCCCTCTCTTCCACCTGCACATCAGTGAGCTCCTCCATGAACCGGTTTGCCTTTTCTGGGAGGGGGTGGAAGGAGGGGAGGTTGAAGGCAGCACAGACCCCATGCCAGCCCCTCAGGATGGGGAATGGCCCCCATCCTGCACAGATCCCCTGCTGAGCCAGGAGGGGAAGAGGCCATGGGGACCCATGCCGGGATCTCTGGTAGGGTCACCTTCCACACAGACGGTCGCCGTAGTCTTGGAAGCCTCTGTCTCGCATGAGTATTGGCCTGAATCCCTGAGTGAGACTGCATGGACCACCAGCATGGCCCGAGTGCCTTCCGTGACCAGCTCGTACTTCTGACTGTTGCGAATGGACTTCCCATCCCTTAGCCACCGCACCGGGGTGCTGGCCCGAGACAGCTCACAGCTCAGCACCACATCGTCGCCCGGAGCGGCCCGCTGGTCCTCCAGGGGCTTCGTGATATCCACTGGCCTCTCTGAAGAGAGTAGAGCAGCCACACATGAGGCCCAGTCAGGCCCTAGCCATGCTGAGGGAGAGGCCAAGACCACAAAACCTATACAGAGCCCCCTTGGTCACAGGGGAGGGTTGGGGAGGGGAAACATGAGACCACAGACTCTCAGGCCTCAGGATCACTCAGATCCCCAGCATCTGCTGTGAACCAAATCACGCAGCCGTGTTTCTGCCAGGTGCACGAGCTCAGGAACGCCAGTGGTGGTGCCACAAGCTCAGGGGGCTGCCCAGCTGTGGGACCACACAGGAGACACCAGAAACTCTGCTCCCGCCCACACACTGGACGAGGACGATCTCACCCTCTGGAGTGAGCTCCCTTGGGAAACTAAACCCCCAGCACCTCAACAGATGCCTCTGGGCCCCCACCAGGGGAGCTCCCCAGGCCTGGGGAACAGAGTCCTAGCAGTGCCCATCCTAGCCCGTGGCCCCGCTCCACCTCCAGCCTGCCCTCCCCGTAATGCTCACCTCTGACAATGAGGGAGGCCTTGGAGGTGAGGTCCTGCATGGAGAACACCACCTCCCCAGCGTCACTAGCTGCAGCATCTCGGACAGCCAAGGTGTACTTGCGGCCCTGGCGTGTGGCCCGGAAGCGGCCAGAATCTCCCACCATCTTGCCGCCCACGGTCCATGTGGCTGCATCGCCGGTGCTCTCGTGGGACAGGACACACTCAAAGCTGCAGCTCTGGCCCTCCAGCACCTCCACTGTCTTGAGTCTCTTGGTGATGCCTACGTGCAGGTCTGAGGGCCACAGGAGACGGTGGTCATGCCAGCCAGGACGCCAGTGCCCCCTCCCTGATCTACATGCCCTGTCACAAGGGCTGAGACTCACTCCCACCCTCCAGCCCCAGTCTTGGTGGGCCTGCTGACCCCCAGCCTCCAGCTGGCCAAACCCTGGCGTTTGCATCACCGAGGGCTGTTGCAACCAGGGTGATCGCCATCCTATCTTACAGAGAGCAATCACCGTCCACAGTAGTCATGAGCTCAAAAGCTCCTGAGCTTCCAGTGTCCCCTTCCTGAAGGGGAAGGATGGGTGCCCCAAGTGAAGGGGCCCTCCAGCTCCCAAACTCACCACACTGCCCTGTCCTCTTCCCTGAACCATCTCAAACCTCGCCAGACCTTTAGAGACCTGCCACAGGGTGACCAGGGCACAACCCTGCCATGTAAATACAAGAAGGGAGAATGGGACCACAGCTGGGCCGGGACAGCAGTGCACACAGGAGGCCAGGCCCAGGCTGAGAGGGACCTCCGAAGGGACCCTGGTATCCCAGGGGGTGAGAGGGCTGATGCTGCCCTGCTGGCAGGTGACCTATGACGTGGCTGCCTAACAAACAAGAAGGTGGTCTGCCAACAACCACCTTCGCCGGGTAGTGCCTGCAGCCTAGGAGTCCTTCTAGGGCATCCTATGTCTGACACCTGGGCCTCTGCCACAGGCTGCCTCCAAGAGGTAACCCCTGACTACCCTCTGCACCCCTGCAACTGCTCGCACAGACCCTGGTGCAGAGCGAGGTCTCCAGCCTCTGCAGAATCCCTGGCATCTGGTGACCCTCTCAAACAGGGCCAGCCCAGTGTCCCCAGCCCAACCTTGCTTGGCATCGCTCACGCCCTGCCTGCACCTGGGCCTGCTCAGATCATAGGAACCTGCTCCTCCAGGGGTCTGCGCTGACCGCTCGGTCTGCAGCAGCTTCTGGCCTTGGAGAAAGGGTGCCCCCCTCCCCCGACCCTTTCCCCTGCCCTGGGCTCAGTCCAGACCCTGGCCCGCTCCCGCCCCCTGAAGCTAACCCCTGCCACACACCGTGCACAATGACTCGGGCGCGGGTCTCCTCCAAGCCCACGCTGCAAGTGTAGAAGCCAGTGTCGTCCCGGCTCAAGTCGTGCACCACGAGCCCACGCGTCCCCGCCGTGTGCAGGAAGTCATACTTGTCACTGGGGCCCAGCTCCACACCATCCTTTCGCCACACCACGCGGGCCTGGGGGTCTGAGACCTCGCACTGCAGGGCCAGCGTGCCCCGTTCCTCCGCGGATACATCGTCCAAGGCCTTCAGGAACACTACCGGCTTTGCTGGGGGGAGAGTGTGGGGAGCTGAGCCGGTGCCACCTCCTACCTGCGGAGAGCACCCCCCCCCACGCCGGAGGACCCCAGGGACGCCTCACCCTTGACCTCCAGGCGGGCAGTAGCCGACACTTTGGGGGAGGAGACACGCACGGTGCCTGTGTCCACCCGCCGGACCCGCTTCAGCACCAGCGTGTGGCAACAGCCCTCGTGGGTGATCTCGTGGAAGCTGTCGTTGTACAGAGGCACGCCGTTGAGCGACCACTCCACCTCCTCGTCCTCATGGGACAGCTCGCACGAGAAACAGGCCCGGCCCTCCTCCGTGGCTTGTGCGTCCTGCAGTGGCTGCGTCACGGTCACCTCGCGGGCTGCCAGGAGCACAGCGGCTGCTTAGCACCCGCCACAGGCGCCCCCGGCCCCGGCCCCCTCCCGGACCCTGCGCGCCCCCGCTACCTTCCACCGTGACCTGGGCACTGCTCTGGGCACTGCCAGCCTGGCACCGGTAGATGCCTGCATCAGCAGGCGTGAGGCGGAGAATGCGCAGCTCAGCCATGTGGCCCTCCAGCATCATCTTGAACTTCTCCGAGGGTGCCAGGGGCGTGTCCTCCTTGTACCATTGCACAGCCTTGGGGGGCGGCTTGAAGTCACAGGACAGGACCACCGACTGCAGCTCGCGCCCTGCCTTGGGCTCCAGCGGCCGTGTGAGCACCATAGGGATGTCTGCAGTTGGAGGGGAGAGGGTAGCGCTGCGGACACGGAGGGCCCCCCGGGGTCCCCACAGCCCGAGGAGGTTACCCCCACCTGTGCCAGGTCCATGCCAGGTCCATGAGCAGCCTACCTGTGGGGCCACGCCCTCACCTGAGACCACCAGGCGCGCGGTGGAGCGCGACTTGCCAATGGTGAAGTGCACTGGGCCGGTCATGGTGGAGCAGGTGCGCCGCAGCGTCAGCCGGTGCACGGTGCCCTCCTGCTCCATGCTCACATTGGCCCCGGCCTGCAGCACCGTCTTTCCCAGGAGCCACTTGGGTGGCCGCACCGATGGGATGGAAGTCTCACACTCAAACCAGGCAGGGGCAGGTTCCATCACTGTCATGTCCTGCAGGCCGCGCACGATGGTGATGGATTGCTCTGTGGGCAAGGGGCTGGTCACCGGCGGCGTCCCATAGGGAGGACAGCCAGCCGCTCCCAGGACGCTGGAGAGGTGCTCACACTGCCCTGCCCGCACCTTCCACAAAGAACTGGGCGCTTGTCTTCACGTCCCCGGCATCGCAGGTGTAGGTGTCTTCGTCCTCGGGCTGCACATCCTTGATGACTAGCTTCCGGTAGAGGCCGTCACTGACCATCTCGTACTTGGGCCCAGAATGCAATTCCACGCTGCCCTTGAACCACTGCACCTGGGCGCTGGCCCGAGACATCTGGCACTCCAGCACTCCGCGGTGCTTCTCCATGGCTATCTTGTCCCGCAGCGGGCGCAAGATGGTCACTGGCAGCTCTGTGGGTGTGGCCCATGAGGAAGCAGGGTTCTCAGGGCGCCCAGAACCCTACCCTCACCGTGGCCTGGGGGCTCTGCCTCTGTGTCCTCCTGCCACCAGGCTGGGCCCCTGCGCTGGGGCAGAACAGCCCATGCTGACCCCTTCCCCTCTCACCAGGGCCACTAGGGGGCGACCCCATGTCACCCAGGGGCTTGCTTCTCTGGGGCCCACTTGGAAGACGGGAAAGGGGTGTGTGCTCACTCAGGAGCCATCCAGCACAAACCCTCCCCTGCACTCTCACCTTTCACTCGCAGCTGCGCTCGAGATTCTGCAGTTTCAACCACAAATTTGATCTCCCCTGCATCTTCTACCAGGACCCTCCGGTAGATAAGCGTGTGTGTCCTTCCTGGAAAGACGGGCCACTCAGTACTGGGGGACGGAGGGAGGACGTGCCCACCCGAGGCCTGTGAGCGTCGCACCTTCCTGGCGGATGCGCACGTTGTCACTGGGCCGGAGCTTGCTGCCCTCCCAGAACCACTCTGCTGGCACCTCATCGAGAGAGACCTCACAGGAGAAGGTGGCGCCCTCCTTCTCCATCACCTCCACATCCTCCAGAGGCCTCACGATCTGGACCTTGCGACCTGGGGTAACAAGCCAGGCCCTGTCACACACAGACACACGGAGCTTTCCCCCTCCCCTGACTACTGAGGAGCACAGGGCAGGGCAGAGCAAGGGGGCTCAGCATTCGGCTGGGAAATGCAGGGAGGCCTGGACCCCTAATCTGCCCACCTTGCACCTTCAGGGAGGCTGAGCTCTGCGTGTCGTGGGCGTCACACACGTACACGCCCTGGTCCCCGAGCTCACACCGGTAAATGATGAGACTCCGACATGCACCTTGGGCCACCATGCCCACTGTCTTGCCCACCCGCAGCTCCACACCGTCCTAAGGAGGGATGAGGTCAGGTCAGACACTGGGGCTGCCCAACAGAGCCACCCCACCCCTGCGAGGCCACGAACAGGCAGGGGGAGCCCAGGACTCCCGCAACAGGGAGGTACCTTCAGCCAGCGTACATCCACGTTGGGGCGTGACAGCTTACACTCCAGGGTCACCTTGTCCTTCTCTGTGGCCACTATGTCCTGCAGGGGGCGGCTGAACCTCACAGGCAGCTCTAGGTTAGCAGGACAGGAGAGGTGAGAGGCAGGGTGGTGGGGGGAGGGCTGAGCTGGGTGGTATCACATGGCTGGTTCTAGGAATGAGACCCAATGCCCCTGACCCACAGGATTCCACCACCCTGTGCTGCCCGCCTCCCCCAGGGGCAGAGGTGAGGCGCTCTGCAATGGGTCCTGCCCAAGCCCACGCACCAGTGACTACGAGCCGTGCAGACGTGTGCACCCCCTCAGCTTTGAAAGCAATGAGGCCACCGTCCTGTGGCCGCAGCCCGAATAGCGTCAGGGTGTGGATGGGGCCGTGCACCGCCAGCTGGCATGTGGGCCCTGGCTGCAGCCGCAGGCCGTCATGCGTCCAGCTGCCCTCCACATCCTCATGGGACAGCTCCACCTCCATGCTGACCGTGCCCTGCTCCGATGCCTCCACTGCCTGCAGGCCCCGCACCAGCCGGACCTGGCGCACTGCAGGACAAACGCACAGGGAGGGGTGAGCCCCTGTCTGGACACCATGGTCCTCAGGCCACTCGCCGCCCCAGGGGCCTCAGAGCAGGCCAGCTGTCCAGGACGGAGAAGCCCACCCCATCCGCCCTTGCTCCCTTCCTGGCATCTCCCAGGGCCCATCCCTCCAGGGGGACATCTGCTCCGCTCCCCGTCCCATCTCCTTCCCAGTTGCCGACCCCCCAGGCCCAGCCTGCTGCTGCTGCTCACTTTCAACGGTGAGCTTGGCCTGGGTCTTGTCGTCCGGAGTCTCACACCCATAGAAGCCACGGTCAGCAAAACCCACGCAGCGAAGAATCAAGCGGTGACTGGTGCTCTCCGCGTGAATCTCCACATTCTTGCCTGGCACCAGGGCGGTAGCATTCCGCGTCCACTTAACCTCAGGCCACGGCCGAGTCAGCTCCACTTCCATGGTCACCAAGCTCCGCTCTTCCACTGTCTGTGGCTCTAGCTTCTTTCTGAACAGCACTGGGGCCTCTGGGGTCCCAAGCAAGGGAGGTCACTGCAGCCACTGCCACTCTTGGGAAGGCCAGAGCTCGGGGGCCCTTCCACCCCGGCCCACGCCTGGCGGCACAGCTGATCCCCAGCATGATCTCACATGCTAACTCCAGGCTGGGCCCAGCGTGCACCTGTACAGGTACAACTACAGGGGAGGAAGCCCAGGCCCTGGGAGGCTGTGCGTACCCCAGCATGTCTCTCATCACCAGCTCCCCTACCCCCCATGACCCTGCCATGCCTGGAACTCCTAAGTGTGGTGCAGGCCTCCTAGTCCAGGCCCTGCCACCATCTCCCCAGAAGCTGTGTGCTCACATGACTCCCACTCAGGACCTGCAGCAGCTCCCCAGGGGAGGTCCTGGCGTCAGCCCATCACCAGCTCCGGCCTCTGCCTGCACCAGCTGCCAACCCCACTTCCTCCGCTTTGCTCTCCAGGGGGTTTTGGCTTGGGATGCCTCCTCCGGGAAGCCTCCCTGGACAGCTTCAACCTCTGCCCACTCCCCAACCAGATGCATTTTGTAGGAGTTTCCTTTGCCTCCTTCAGAGTAGGTACCTAACACCTGGGCCCCACCCAGAGAAGCCTCCAGGTCACCCAGACCAGCTGGACACAAGCTGGCATCGAGTGCTGCCAGGAAACCAGCCCTTGGGGAGGCCCTCCCTGCCACGCATACACACACTGCACACACACACACACACACCTCGCACGCGGAGAGCAGCAGAGGACAAGACGCCCTCAGCCTCCACGGTGATCTGGCCAGAGTCCTCCAGGGTCAGGCTGCACACCGTCAGGCTGTGGCTGGCACCGCTCTGTGAGATTAGAAACTTCTCGCTGGGCTGCAGCAGGGCGCCGTCCCGGAACCACGAGACCGCTGTGTCGCTGGGGGACACGACGCACTGGAAGGTGGCCTCACCGCCCTCCTCGGCCACTGCTGCGCTCACCCCCGACGTGAACTTGACCATGCGGGGAGCTGCGGACGGGAATTTTGCTGGAGAGGCGGGAGGAAGGCGGGGGACCAGGTAGAGGCAGAGGCCCCACCTCGCGGGCATGGACAAAGGACGCCTCCTCCAGGAAGCTGCCCAGGTGCACCCCGCCCGACCACCTCGCGGGCATGGACAAAGGACGCCTCCTCCAGGAAGCTGCCCAGGTGCACCCCGCCCGACCGCGCACCCCACCGCCGCGTACCGCTGACCATGAGCTGCGCGCTGGTGCGGTCATCGCGGGTTTCGCACGCGTACTCCCCTGCATCCTCCAGCCGCAGGCCCGACACGGTGAGCGTGCGCCGGGGCCCCGCAGCTTCCATGCGGAAGCGCTTGCCGGCCCGGAGCTGCGCGCTCCCGTAGCGCCACACGACCTCAGCCTGGGGCAGGCTCAGCTCGCAGGCCAGCGTCACCGTGCCGCCCAGCTCCCCGCTGGCAGGCTCCAGGTGCTGGCAGAACTTGGCTGCCACCTCTGCGGGGGGGGGGGGGGGGGGCAGGCGCATCACTGCGGGGGGCCCCGAGGCCACGTCTGCGCACAGCAGCGGGGCGGTGAGTCCTACTCTGGCTCCGCACAGGGTCACTGCCCACAGCACCTCCCGGGGGAGCGCACCCCCCGGCGCCCTCACCCTGCACACACGGGGCTCTGGGAGCCGCCCAGTCCTGCTGACCTTCCACCTGCACAGGGAAGTCCTGCCCCTCTGCGCCCACGCGGCAGCTATAGACCGCGCTGTCCAGGGTTTGCGCTCCGCGGACCGTCAAGGTGTGGGTGACCCCCAGGCTGGCCATTTCGTGCCGCTTGCTTCTGCGGATCTCCACGCCGTCCTTGAGCCAGGTCACCGCAGCCACAGAGGGCGTCGCCAGCGTGGCGGTCAGGAATATGTCCTCGTGCTCCCTGACCACCAGAGGCTCCCTGCGGCCAGGTTTCTGCAGGGTAGGGGGCTCAGGCTCCGGCTCTGGGGAGGACATCGGTGGGCATAAGAGCAGGGCCCTTGCTTTCCTGGCCTGTGCCCCATCCCACCTAGGAGCCAGGCCACCTGCCAGCCACCACCCAGCTCCCAGAGCCAGAGAGCACCCAAAGGATCCACCTGGGACCACAGGCCTAAGCCAGGAGCTCTGTCCTTCCCAGAGCTGAGAGCCCAGGATCCCTGCCCACCAGGCAAGGTGGGCCCCATGGGGAAAGACTGCAGGATGGGAAACCAAGTGATACAAAGAGAACCTGACACAGCCTGGGCCTGGCCCCATGTTTCAGAAGGGCCTCAGGAACAGGGCAGGAGGGGGGATAGGATAGGACAACCTGGCCCAGGTCCATGCCTGGATTGGCACCCAAGCAAGGGCAAGCCAATGGGGCTAGGCAGAGGACAGCTGGACCCTCAGGATCCCAAGACCGAAGACCACTCAACTGAGGCTGCATACCTCCACAACAGGGATTTAAAATGGGAAATGTGTCTGTTCATAACCCTACACAGAAAAGTTCTTCTGATAGACCACTCCTTAGCAGTTGCAGGTGACCAAGGAAGCCTCAGTGGCAGGTTTTGTACTAGATAAGGTGCAGATGTGACAGAGAAGACAAAACCTTACAGAAGCAGATGCCAAGAACTTGCGACAATAGGGCCTGCAGCATGTTGTCCAACCCAGGGACCCGGAAAGTGGACAGAGGCCGAGATTGGGCCCATCAGCAGACAACCCAACACAGGGGCAACACACACCAGCTCCCACAGTGTCAAAAAGGCCCCTTTCCAGATTTGTCAGGTGCTATAACCTCTACCCAATGCTACAACCCACCTGCAAACTCGAGACTGAAAAACACCTTCTGGCCCCCAGCCTCGCAGCTGTACTCCCCGGCGTCGGCCCGCCCCGCCTGCTGCACCACCAGCCTCCTGCTGCAGCCCTGGGCCTCCACGTGCACCCTGGAGCTCGCACTCAGCTTCTTCCCGTCCTTGTACCACGTCACCTCCGTCCCGGCCTGGGCCACCTCGCAGCTCAGCGTGGCGCTGCCGCCCGCCTTCGCCTGCACCTCACTGCGTGCTGGCTGCTCCTTGGCAAACACCAGTGTAGGCTCTGGGGACACAGGGGGACGCATGATCAAAACCTTATCTAAGTCAAGATGCAGTACTGGGCGGTGCCTGGGTGGCTCAGGTCATGATCTCAGGGTCCTGGGATTGAGCTCTGCATCGGGGCGGAGGGCGGGGGGGGGGGGGCGGGCGGCGGGGGGTTTTCCCTGCTAGGCGAGGAATCTGCTTCTCCCTCTCCCTCTCCCTCTGCTGCTCCCCCTGCTTGTGCTCTCTCGAATAAATAAAATCTTAAAAAAAAAAAAATTAAAAGATGCAGCACTGGGGAAGCGGGAGTACCCAGGAAGCTGGGATGTTCTCCAGGCTGGGCACCAGCTGTATGGCCCTCAGTCCCACATGGGTCCCTGCTCCCACCGGCTCTGTGCCGACAGCTATTGCTGATGGGCTGGGGGGTAAGGAAGCTGTACCTCTATCCCCCGTGTGATGCTTCCGACAGACTGGCGTCACCTTGCTCATACTTCGTCTCACGTAGGGACCCTGAAATCCATGACAGACCTACACTATGAAGTGTTTCTACAGCCCCGGCCTGCTTTGCTATAGAACTTACGCTACCACGTAAAATGAGATAAGAGCACAGCTCCCTTCCTATTCCGTATAAGAAAGTCCACGAGCAAGAAGTGATTAAATTCCAGCATATCTGGAAGAATTCACCCGGCAAGCCTTTGGACTCACACGTGGATTCACAAAGACATTTTGTTACTGGCGCTACATCCCGGCGGGGCCGTTTGCATTGTCTACTTCTCCTAAGATTTTGTTGGAGAGAGAGGAAGAGAGAAAGCAAGCGGGGGGAGGCGGGCAGGCAGAGGGAGAAGGAGGGAGCCCGGCACAGCTCGATCCTGGGAGCATGGGAACAGGACCTGAGCCGGAGGCAGACGCTTCACCCACAGACCCACCCAGGGAGCCCCACTGTTGACGTCATACATCAGTTTGATTTCCTTTCCTACAACCACTGGGACAGTGTGTCATCACCATTCTGATTCTCTTGCATTAAATGGTGTCAGACTGTCTTAAACAGCAAGTCGAAAAGGCGCACAGCCGCCGTGGCGGTGTCCATGCTCGCCCGCGGGTCATGATGTCCTGAGACAACAGCAGTCCACTGCGTGCGGCCCCAGGACCAGGGCGGGGCTGCGCTGACCCTCATCCGAGACACGGAACATAAAGACAAAGTCACAGGATTCTCTGAGAACCGGCCCGGGAGGCACAGCTCATGGACCCCCATCGCAGACCCTTTTTGCCAGTCGGGGCGGGGGGGGGGGGGCGCCACCACAGCGCTCTGGGTCACAAGTGTGCCCATGGGCTGCGTACTCCTCTCCCTCCCTCAACCCTTGCCTCGGAATCCCACGGAGTTCTAACACGGGATATCCTAACCGAAGACAAAATGATGCAGGACGAGCTTTGTGAAGACAGCTCCCGAACACACGCCTGTTGCAGCACGGGTGCTTGGCTACCACTTCCATGCTCACTATTTCCCTGAGGCTCTGCCATGAGCATCTCTCTGGCCTTTGTGCAGAGAGGTTCCATACCCGTGTGCAAGGAAAGAAGCACGCCCAGGACACCAAAAACCTCCATCACAAACACGCAGTGTCGAGATAATTCCAAGGATGACCGGGGGCCCGCGTGCTTGCCCTGGGTACTGGACTCCACACGTCTCTCGATGGGGAGAAACACCCAACGAGGCCTCTGGGAACCACTAGAGCGTCCACAGGTGAGGACATCTGGTCAACTATGGCCGGGACACCAAATGGAGCCCAGGTGCAGGACGGCAAAGAACAACCGTGCATACGGAACGAGTGGCTGAGGGTTGCCCACGAGGGGCCCATTCGCTTCAGTAAACCCTTGCCCGGCAATATCTCTGGGATCAGCCACCAGACAGAAAGTGGCAGCTGGGAGGAAGGGACAGGAAAGCTCCCGGGTCCGTCTGGGCTGTGGGCTAGTGTGACCATCGCCTGTAATCCAGGCTATTCTCCGCGAACTGACCTGCGACGTCCAGGCGGAAGGACACCTTCTGGCCCCCGGCCTCGCAGCTGTACTCCCCGGCGTCGGCCCGCCCCGCCTGCTGCACCACCAGCCTCCTGCTGCAGCCCTGGGCCTCCACGTGCACCCTGGAGCTCGCACTCAGCTTCTTCCCGTCCTTGTACCACGTCACCTCCGTCCCGGCCTGGGCCACCTCGCAGCTCAGCGTGGCGCTGCCGCCCGCCTTCGCCTGCACCTCACTGCGTGCTGGCTGCTCCTTGGCAAACACCAGTGTAGGCTCTGGGGACACAGGGGGACATGCAGGGTCAGAGGCACCATCCAAGGGAGGAAGGCAGCACTGGGAGGAGAAAGATTACACGGGGCTGCACGGGACTGGGAACGTCCCCAGGCTCTGCAGCAGCCATGTGACTGGAGAAGCCCCATAGCTTCTCGACCATGAGGGACACGATTCATGTGCCCATCCCTCACTGCTCCGCAGGGGCCCCTACGCGTGGGGACCACACATCCCATCATGGCTCTACACACGCTTTCCAGGTGGGGGGGGGGGCGCCACATTCTAAAAGTGTCCCACCTACTCTGGTTCCAGGTGGGGCTAGAATGTTTATCACCGCCGCATGTGGGCCACCCAGTGAGGCACCTCCATTCTAGGCTGATCCACATGGGCTTGTCCAGGAGCAGACCATATCTTCTCCCAGAACTCCGTGAGAGCTGCTCCAGTGGGGATCATACATCCTACAACTGCCCCATGTGGGCCCTCCAGGTGAGGACAGGACATTCTAAGTCTGCTCCACATAGGCTGTTCCAGGGGGCACCACACATCCCATCATTGCCCCACCTGGGCTGTTCCAGGGGGGGAGTCTGGGACACTTCTGTGTACATGGACTCTGTGGTCATGATACATGGATTGTTCTACTTTCCCGGAGGACATTCGACATTTCTGTACAGTTTGAAGGGAACTTTCCCCCGCTATGGTCTACAAAGCTTCCGAGTCTCCATGCCGTTTCCTATCTTAGTATTTTCAACTGGTGTCTATCTGCTGGAGTCCCTGTACTTCCCCCAGCACCTCTGTCACTGTCTGCTGACTCATGAGGCCTGGCACCTCCCCCAGTATTACTGGGCTGCCCACTCCTGGTTGCTCCACTGTGGGGACACTGTTCATGTCTCTGCTCATTCACCAACAGTACTGTCTTTTCTCTATTCATTTTAAGGCACTCTTTCCTTAAAAGTTAGAGACTGACAACTATGTGTTTAAAGTTGTTTTCCCAAATCTGTGGCTTGCCTTTTCACTCTCTTATGGCCTCTTCAGAGGAATGAAATTCTCAATGCTAGTGTCATCACATATGTCTATCTTGTCCTATTGCATTCAGAGCTTTCAAGTTCTACGGAAGGAATCTTTCCTTACCCGAATCTTCAAACAACTGTGTGTCATCTGAAGGTTTCATGGTTGCTACCCTACCAGGACATGGCTTTTGGGTGTTGTGTGAATTCCGTTACAGTTTAATTTTTTCCCTATTTTAAAGGATTCAAGCGCCGTTTATGAAAACAACTCCTCTCTCCTTATCCTCCTTATCGTATAGACATCGCAGTAAAAACAAACAAACCTGCGGGGTGGCAGGAGTCCGTTTATGCAAAACGCTGTTTCTGTTTTGTTTTGACCCCTTGATCTGCAAACTACCCCTGCATCGAGCTGCACAGACACCGCATATCCATGTGAAAAACAATATCCCGAAGCAACTAAGACAGGATAATCTAAAGTTTAGTTGAGATATTTCCAAATATGATTATATGGTCAAAACCTCCCCTATCGGTTTCAAGAAACTGAAATGTCTCTTGCTAAGAAGAACCCCGGACAGTGCCCCCCCAAAAAGCACAGTCACATAACCAAGGTGTGAGATGCTTAGTCTACTTGATGCCTCTACCCGAGCGTGGAGCACAGCCATCATCCTGGCCACCGAGGAACTCTGGGAGGATTCTGTGCAGGTGCTCACATGCAGGACTAAGCATTAGGACGTGACAGCGCCGCTCGGGGGCGCAAACACGGCCCTGTCACTGCACACACACACCCTTCTCATTAAACCTCCATCCGTCCAGCCGTGGCTACGAAAATAGAAGGCAACGGGATGGCAGAGGTGAAAAGGTGAGGACGAATGTAGGGAGCAGCAGGGCCTATGGGGTGTGTAATGCAATCCCTTCATCACCTCCACACAAGACTCAGTTGGTGGAACTGACCTGCGACGTCCAGGCGGAAGGACACCTTCTGGCCCCCGGCCTCGCAGCTGTACTCCCCGGCGTCGGCCCGGCCCGCCTGCTGCACCACCAGCCTCCTGCTGCAGCCCTGGGCCTCCACGTGCACCCTGGAGCTCGCACTCAGCTTCTTCCCGTCCTTGTACCACGTCACCTCCGTCCCGGCCTGGGCCACCTCGCAGCTCAGCGTGGCGCTGCCGCCCGCCTTCGCCTGCACCTCACTGCGTGCTGGCTGCTCCTTGGCAAACACCAGTGTAGGCTCTGGGGACACAGGGGGACGCATGATCAAAACCTTATCTAAGTCAAGATGCAGTACTGGGCGGTGCCTGGGTGGCTCAGGTCATGATCTCAGGGTCCTGGGATTGAGCTCTGCATCGGGGCGGAGGGCGGGGGGGGGGGGCGGGCGGCGGGGGGTTTTCCCTGCTAGGCGAGGAATCTGCTTCTCCCTCTCCCTCTCCCTCTGCTGCTCCCCCTGCTTGTGCTCTCTCGAATAAATAAAATCTTAAAAAAAAAAAATTAAAAGATGCAGCACTGGGGAAGCGGGAGTACCCAGGAAGCTGGGATGTTCTCCAGGCTGGGCACCAGCTGTATGGCCCTCAGTCCCACATGGGTCCCTGCTCCCACCGGCTCTGTGCCGACAGCTATTGCTGATGGGCTGGGGGGTAAGGAAGCTGTACCTCTATCCCCCGTGTGATGCTTCCGACAGACTGGCGTCACCTTGCTCATACTTCGTCTCACGTAGGGACCCTGAAATCCATGACAGACCTACACTATGAAGTGTTTCTACAGCCCCGGCCTGCTTTGCTATAGAACTTACGCTACCACGTAAAATGAGATAAGAGCACAGCTCCCTTCCTATTCCGTATAAGAAAGTCCACGAGCAAGAAGTGATTAAATTCCAGCATATCTGGAAGAATTCACCCGGCAAGCCTTTGGACTCACACGTGGATTCACAAAGACATTTTGTTACTGGCGCTACATCCCGGCGGGGCCGTTTGCATTGTCTACTTCTCCTAAGATTTTGTTGGAGAGAGAGGAAGAGAGAAAGCAAGCGGGGGGAGGCGGGCAGGCAGAGGGAGAAGGAGGGAGCCCGGCACAGCTCGATCCTGGGAGCATGGGAACAGGACCTGAGCCGGAGGCAGACGCTTCACCCACAGACCCACCCAGGGAGCCCCACTGTTGACGTCATACATCAGTTTGATTTCCTTTCCTACAACCACTGGGACAGTGTGTCATCACCATTCTGATTCTCTTGCATTAAATGGTGTCAGACTGTCTTAAACAGCAAGTCGAAAAGGCGCACAGCCGCCGTGGCGGTGTCCATGCTCGCCCGCGGGTCATGATGTCCTGAGACAACAGCAGTCCACTGCGTGCGGCCCCAGGACCAGGGCGGGGCTGCGCTGACCCTCATCCGAGACACGGAACATAAAGACAAAGTCACAGGATTCTCTGAGAACCGGCCCGGGAGGCACAGCTCATGGACCCCCATCGCAGACCCTTTTTGCCAGTCGGGGCGGGGGGGGGGGGGGCGCCACCACAGCGCTCTGGGTCACAAGTGTGCCCATGGGCTGCGTACTCCTCTCCCTCCCTCAACCCTTGCCTCGGAATCCCACGGAGTTCTAACACGGGATATCCTAACCGAAGACAAAATGATGCAGGACGAGCTTTGTGAAGACAGCTCCCGAACACACGCCTGTTGCAGCACGGGTGCTTGGCTACCACTTCCATGCTCACTATTTCCCTGAGGCTCTGCCATGAGCATCTCTCTGGCCTTTGTGCAGAGAGGTTCCATACCCGTGTGCAAGGAAAGAAGCACGCCCAGGACACCAAAAACCTCCATCACAAACACGCAGTGTCGAGATAATTCCAAGGATGACCGGGGGCCCGCGTGCTTGCCCTGGGTACTGGACTCCACACGTCTCTCGATGGGGAGAAACACCCAACGAGGCCTCTGGGAACCACTAGAGCGTCCACAGGTGAGGACATCTGGTCAACTATGGCCGGGACACCAAATGGAGCCCAGGTGCAGGACGGCAAAGAACAACCGTGCATACGGAACGAGTGGCTGAGGGTTGCCCACGAGGGGCCCATTCGCTTCAGTAAACCCTTGCCCGGCAATATCTCTGGGATCAGCCACCAGACAGAAAGTGGCAGCTGGGAGGAAGGGACAGGAAAGCTCCCGGGTCCGTCTGGGCTGTGGGCTAGTGTGACCATCGCCTGTAATCCAGGCTATTCTCCGCGAACTGACCTGCGACGTCCAGGCGGAAGGACACCTTCTGGCCCCCGGCCTCGCAGCTGTACTCCCCGGCGTCGGCCCGCCCCGCCTGCTGCACCACCAGCCTCCTGCTGCAGCCCTGGGCCTCCACGTGCACCCTGGAGCTCGCACTCAGCTTCTTCCCGTCCTTGTACCACGTCACCTCCGTCCCGGCCTGGGCCACCTCGCAGCTCAGCGTGGCGCTGCCGCCCGCCTTCGCCTGCACCTCACTGCGTGCTGGCTGCTCCTTGGCAAACACCAGTGTAGGCTCTGGGGACACAGGGGGACATGCAGGGTCAGAGGCACCATCCAAGGGAGGAAGGCAGCACTGGGAGGAGAAAGATTACACGGGGCTGCACGGGACTGGGAACGTCCCCAGGCTCTGCAGCAGCCATGTGACTGGAGAAGCCCCATAGCTTCTCGACCATGAGGGACACGATTCATGTGCCCATCCCTCACTGCTCCGCAGGGGCCCCTACGCGTGGGGACCACACATCCCATCATGGCTCTACACACGCTTTCCAGGTGGGGGGGGGGGCGCCACATTCTAAAAGTGTCCCACCTACTCTGGTTCCAGGTGGGGCTAGAATGTTTATCACCGCCGCATGTGGGCCACCCAGTGAGGCACCTCCATTCTAGGCTGATCCACATGGGCTTGTCCAGGAGCAGACCATATCTTCTCCCAGAACTCCGTGAGAGCTGCTCCAGTGGGGATCATACATCCTACAACTGCCCCATGTGGGCCCTCCAGGTGAGGACAGGACATTCTAAGTCTGCTCCACATAGGCTGTTCCAGGGGGCACCACACATCCCATCATTGCCCCACCTGGGCTGTTCCAGGGGGGGAGTCTGGGACACTTCTGTGTACATGGACTCTGTGGTCATGATACATGGATTGTTCTACTTTCCCGGAGGACATTCGACATTTCTGTACAGTTTGAAGGGAACTTTCCCCCGCTATGGTCTACAAAGCTTCCGAGTCTCCATGCCGTTTCCTATCTTAGTATTTTCAACTGGTGTCTATCTGCTGGAGTCCCTGTACTTCCCCCAGCACCTCTGTCACTGTCTGCTGACTCATGAGGCCTGGCACCTCCCCCAGTATTACTGGGCTGCCCACTCCTGGTTGCTCCACTGTGGGGACACTGTTCATGTCTCTGCTCATTCACCAACAGTACTGTCTTTTCTCTATTCATTTTAAGGCACTCTTTCCTTAAAAGTTAGAGACTGACAACTATGTGTTTAAAGTTGTTTTCCCAAATCTGTGGCTTGCCTTTTCACTCTCTTATGGCCTCTTCAGAGGAATGAAATTCTCAATGCTAGTGTCATCACATATGTCTATCTTGTCCTATTGCATTCAGAGCTTTCAAGTTCTACGGAAGGAATCTTTCCTTACCCGAATCTTCAAACAACTGTGTGTCATCTGAAGGTTTCATGGTTGCTACCCTACCAGGACATGGCTTTTGGGTGTTGTGTGAATTCCGTTACAGTTTAATTTTTTCCCTATTTTAAAGGATTCAAGCGCCGTTTATGAAAACAACTCCTCTCTCCTTATCCTCCTTATCGTATAGACATCGCAGTAAAAACAAACAAACCTGCGGGGTGGCAGGAGTCCGTTTATGCAAAACGCTGTTTCTGTTTTGTTTTGACCCCTTGATCTGCAAACTACCCCTGCATCGAGCTGCACAGACACCGCATATCCATGTGAAAAACAATATCCCGAAGCAACTAAGACAGGATAATCTAAAGTTTAGTTGAGATATTTCCAAATATGATTATATGGTCAAAACCTCCCCTATCGGTTTCAAGAAACTGAAATGTCTCTTGCTAAGAAGAACCCCGGACAGTGCCCCCCCAAAAAGCACAGTCACATAACCAAGGTGTGAGATGCTTAGTCTACTTGATGCCTCTACCCGAGCGTGGAGCACAGCCATCATCCTGGCCACCGAGGAACTCTGGGAGGATTCTGTGCAGGTGCTCACATGCAGGACTAAGCATTAGGACGTGACAGCGCCGCTCGGGGGCGCAAACACGGCCCTGTCACTGCACACACACACCCTTCTCATTAAACCTCCATCCGTCCAGCCGTGGCTACGAAAATAGAAGGCAACGGGATGGCAGAGGTGAAAAGGTGAGGACGAATGTAGGGAGCAGCAGGGCCTATGGGGTGTGTAATGCAATCCCTTCATCACCTCCACACAAGACTCAGTTGGTGGAACTGACCTGCGACGTCCAGGCGGAAGGACACCTTCTGGCCCCCGGCCTCGCAGCTGTACTCCCCGGCGTCGGCCCGGCCCGCCTGCTGCACCACCAGCCTCCTGCTGCAGCCCTGGGCCTCCACGTGCACCCTGGAGCTCGCACTCAGCTTCTTCCCGTCCTTGTACCACGTCACCTCCGTCCCGGCCTGGGCCACCTCGCAGCTCAGCGTGGCGCTGCCGCCCGCCTTCGCCTGCACCTCACTGCGTGCTGGCTGCTCCTTGGCAAACACCAGTGTAGGCTCTGGGGACACAGGGGGACGCATGATCAAAACCTTATCTAAGTCAAGATGCAGTACTGGGCGGTGCCTGGGTGGCTCAGGTCATGATCTCAGGGTCCTGGGATTGAGCTCTGCATCGGGGCGGAGGGCGGGGGGGGGGGGCGGGCGGCGGGGGGTTTTCCCTGCTAGGCGAGGAATCTGCTTCTCCCTCTCCCTCTCCCTCTGCTGCTCCCCCTGCTTGTGCTCTCTCGAATAAATAAAATCTTAAAAAAAAAAAATTAAAAGATGCAGCACTGGGGAAGCGGGAGTACCCAGGAAGCTGGGATGTTCTCCAGGCTGGGCACCAGCTGTATGGCCCTCAGTCCCACATGGGTCCCTGCTCCCACCGGCTCTGTGCCGACAGCTATTGCTGATGGGCTGGGGGGTAAGGAAGCTGTACCTCTATCCCCCGTGTGATGCTTCCGACAGACTGGCGTCACCTTGCTCATACTTCGTCTCACGTAGGGACCCTGAAATCCATGACAGACCTACACTATGAAGTGTTTCTACAGCCCCGGCCTGCTTTGCTATAGAACTTACGCTACCACGTAAAATGAGATAAGAGCACAGCTCCCTTCCTATTCCGTATAAGAAAGTCCACGAGCAAGAAGTGATTAAATTCCAGCATATCTGGAAGAATTCACCCGGCAAGCCTTTGGACTCACACGTGGATTCACAAAGACATTTTGTTACTGGCGCTACATCCCGGCGGGGCCGTTTGCATTGTCTACTTCTCCTAAGATTTTGTTGGAGAGAGAGGAAGAGAGAAAGCAAGCGGGGGGAGGCGGGCAGGCAGAGGGAGAAGGAGGGAGCCCGGCACAGCTCGATCCTGGGAGCATGGGAACAGGACCTGAGCCGGAGGCAGACGCTTCACCCACAGACCCACCCAGGGAGCCCCACTGTTGACGTCATACATCAGTTTGATTTCCTTTCCTACAACCACTGGGACAGTGTGTCATCACCATTCTGATTCTCTTGCATTAAATGGTGTCAGACTGTCTTAAACAGCAAGTCGAAAAGGCGCACAGCCGCCGTGGCGGTGTCCATGCTCGCCCGCGGGTCATGATGTCCTGAGACAACAGCAGTCCACTGCGTGCGGCCCCAGGACCAGGGCGGGGCTGCGCTGACCCTCATCCGAGACACGGAACATAAAGACAAAGTCACAGGATTCTCTGAGAACCGGCCCGGGAGGCACAGCTCATGGACCCCCATCGCAGACCCTTTTTGCCAGTCGGGGCGGGGGGGGGGGGGCGCCACCACAGCGCTCTGGGTCACAAGTGTGCCCATGGGCTGCGTACTCCTCTCCCTCCCTCAACCCTTGCCTCGGAATCCCACGGAGTTCTAACACGGGATATCCTAACCGAAGACAAAATGATGCAGGACGAGCTTTGTGAAGACAGCTCCCGAACACACGCCTGTTGCAGCACGGGTGCTTGGCTACCACTTCCATGCTCACTATTTCCCTGAGGCTCTGCCATGAGCATCTCTCTGGCCTTTGTGCAGAGAGGTTCCATACCCGTGTGCAAGGAAAGAAGCACGCCCAGGACACCAAAAACCTCCATCACAAACACGCAGTGTCGAGATAATTCCAAGGATGACCGGGGGCCCGCGTGCTTGCCCTGGGTACTGGACTCCACACGTCTCTCGATGGGGAGAAACACCCAACGAGGCCTCTGGGAACCACTAGAGCGTCCACAGGTGAGGACATCTGGTCAACTATGGCCGGGACACCAAATGGAGCCCAGGTGCAGGACGGCAAAGAACAACCGTGCATACGGAACGAGTGGCTGAGGGTTGCCCACGAGGGGCCCATTCGCTTCAGTAAACCCTTGCCCGGCAATATCTCTGGGATCAGCCACCAGACAGAAAGTGGCAGCTGGGAGGAAGGGACAGGAAAGCTCCCGGGTCCGTCTGGGCTGTGGGCTAGTGTGACCATCGCCTGTAATCCAGGCTATTCTCCGCGAACTGACCTGCGACGTCCAGGCGGAAGGACACCTTCTGGCCCCCGGCCTCGCAGCTGTACTCCCCGGCGTCGGCCCGCCCCGCCTGCTGCACCACCAGCCTCCTGCTGCAGCCCTGGGCCTCCACGTGCACCCTGGAGCTCGCACTCAGCTTCTTCCCGTCCTTGTACCACGTCACCTCCGTCCCGGCCTGGGCCACCTCGCAGCTCAGCGTGGCGCTGCCGCCCGCCTTCGCCTGCACCTCACTGCGTGCTGGCTGCTCCTTGGCAAACACCAGTGTAGGCTCTGGGGACACAGGGGGACATGCAGGGTCAGAGGCACCATCCAAGGGAGGAAGGCAGCACTGGGAGGAGAAAGATTACACGGGGCTGCACGGGACTGGGAACGTCCCCAGGCTCTGCAGCAGCCATGTGACTGGAGAAGCCCCATAGCTTCTCGACCATGAGGGACACGATTCATGTGCCCATCCCTCACTGCTCCGCAGGGGCCCCTACGCGTGGGGACCACACATCCCATCATGGCTCTACACACGCTTTCCAGGTGGGGGGGGGGGCGCCACATTCTAAAAGTGTCCCACCTACTCTGGTTCCAGGTGGGGCTAGAATGTTTATCACCGCCGCATGTGGGCCACCCAGTGAGGCACCTCCATTCTAGGCTGATCCACATGGGCTTGTCCAGGAGCAGACCATATCTTCTCCCAGAACTCCGTGAGAGCTGCTCCAGTGGGGATCATACATCCTACAACTGCCCCATGTGGGCCCTCCAGGTGAGGACAGGACATTCTAAGTCTGCTCCACATAGGCTGTTCCAGGGGGCACCACACATCCCATCATTGCCCCACCTGGGCTGTTCCAGGGGGGGAGTCTGGGACACTTCTGTGTACATGGACTCTGTGGTCATGATACATGGATTGTTCTACTTTCCCGGAGGACATTCGACATTTCTGTACAGTTTGAAGGGAACTTTCCCCCGCTATGGTCTACAAAGCTTCCGAGTCTCCATGCCGTTTCCTATCTTAGTATTTTCAACTGGTGTCTATCTGCTGGAGTCCCTGTACTTCCCCCAGCACCTCTGTCACTGTCTGCTGACTCATGAGGCCTGGCACCTCCCCCAGTATTACTGGGCTGCCCACTCCTGGTTGCTCCACTGTGGGGACACTGTTCATGTCTCTGCTCATTCACCAACAGTACTGTCTTTTCTCTATTCATTTTAAGGCACTCTTTCCTTAAAAGTTAGAGACTGACAACTATGTGTTTAAAGTTGTTTTCCCAAATCTGTGGCTTGCCTTTTCACTCTCTTATGGCCTCTTCAGAGGAATGAAATTCTCAATGCTAGTGTCATCACATATGTCTATCTTGTCCTATTGCATTCAGAGCTTTCAAGTTCTACGGAAGGAATCTTTCCTTACCCGAATCTTCAAACAACTGTGTGTCATCTGAAGGTTTCATGGTTGCTACCCTACCAGGACATGGCTTTTGGGTGTTGTGTGAATTCCGTTACAGTTTAATTTTTTCCCTATTTTAAAGGATTCAAGCGCCGTTTATGAAAACAACTCCTCTCTCCTTATCCTCCTTATCGTATAGACATCGCAGTAAAAACAAACAAACCTGCGGGGTGGCAGGAGTCCGTTTATGCAAAACGCTGTTTCTGTTTTGTTTTGACCCCTTGATCTGCAAACTACCCCTGCATCGAGCTGCACAGACACCGCATATCCATGTGAAAAACAATATCCCGAAGCAACTAAGACAGGATAATCTAAAGTTTAGCTGAGATATTTCCAAATATGATTATATGGTCAAAACCTCCCCTATCGGTTTCAAGAAACTGAAATGTCTCTTGCTAAGAAGAACCCCGGACAGTGCCCCCCCAAAAAGCACAGTCACATAACCAAGGTGTGAGATGCTTAGTCTACTTGATGCCTCTACCCGAGCGTGGAGCACAGCCATCATCCTGGCCACCGAGGAACTCTGGGAGGATTCTGTGCAGGTGCTCACATGCAGGACTAAGCATTAGGACGTGACAGCGCCGCTCGGGGGCGCAAACACGGCCCTGTCACTGCACACACACACCCTTCTCATTAAACCTCCATCCGTCCAGCCGTGGCTACGAAAATAGAAGGCAACGGGATGGCAGAGGTGAAAAGGTGAGGACGAATGTAGGGAGCAGCAGGGCCTATGGGGTGTGTAATGCAATCCCTTCATCACCTCCACACAAGACTCAGTTGGTGGAACTGACCTGCGACGTCCAGGCGGAAGGACACCTTCTGGCCCCCGGCCTCGCAGCTGTACTCCCCGGCGTCGGCCCGCCCCGCCTGCTGCACCACCAGCCTCCTGCTGCAGCCCTGGGCCTCCACGTGCACCCTGGAGCTCGCACTCAGCTTCTTCCCGTCCTTGTACCACGTCACCTCCGTCCCGGCCTGGGCCACCTCGCAGCTCAGCGTGGCGCTGCCGCCCGCCTTCGCCTGCACCTCACTGCGTGCTGGCTGCTCCTTGGCAAACACCAGTGTAGGCTCTGGGGACACAGGGGGACGCATGATCAAAACCTTATCTAAGTCAAGATGCAGTACTGGGCAGTGCCTGGGTGGCTCAGGTCATGATCTCAGGGTCCTGGGATTGAGCTCTGCATCGGGGCGGAGGGCGGGGGGGGGGGGCGGGCGGCGGGGGGTTTTCCCTGCTAGGCGAGGAATCTGCTTCTCCCTCTCCCTCTCCCTCTGCTGCTCCCCCTGCTTGTGCTCTCTCGAATAAATAAAATCTTAAAAAAAAAAAAATTAAAAGATGCAGCACTGGGGAAGCGGGAGTACCCAGGAAGCTGGGATGTTCTCCAGGCTGGGCACCAGCTGTATGGCCCTCAGTCCCACATGGGTCCCTGCTCCCACCGGCTCTGTGCCGACAGCTATTGCTGATGGGCTGGGGGGTAAGGAAGCTGTACCTCTATCCCCCGTGTGATGCTTCCGACAGACTGGCGTCACCTTGCTCATACTTCGTCTCACGTAGGGACCCTGAAATCCATGACAGACCTACACTATGAAGTGTTTCTACAGCCCCGGCCTGCTTTGCTATAGAACTTACGCTACCACGTAAAATGAGATAAGAGCACAGCTCCCTTCCTATTCCGTATAAGAAAGTCCACGAGCAAGAAGTGATTAAATTCCAGCATATCTGGAAGAATTCACCCGGCAAGCCTTTGGACTCACACGTGGATTCACAAAGACATTTTGTTACTGGCGCTACATCCCGGCGGGGCCGTTTGCATTGTCTACTTCTCCTAAGATTTTGTTGGAGAGAGAGGAAGAGAGAAAGCAAGCGGGGGGAGGCGGGCAGGCAGAGGGAGAAGGAGGGAGCCCGGCACAGCTCGATCCTGGGAGCATGGGAACAGGACCTGAGCCGGAGGCAGACGCTTCACCCACAGACCCACCCAGGGAGCCCCACTGTTGACGTCATACATCAGTTTGATTTCCTTTCCTACAACCACTGGGACAGTGTGTCATCACCATTCTGATTCTCTTGCATTAAATGGTGTCAGACTGTCTTAAACAGCAAGTCGAAAAGGCGCACAGCCGCCGTGGCGGTGTCCATGCTCGCCCGCGGGTCATGATGTCCTGAGACAACAGCAGTCCACTGCGTGCGGCCCCAGGACCAGGGCGGGGCTGCGCTGACCCTCATCCGAGACACGGAACATAAAGACAAAGTCACAGGATTCTCTGAGAACCGGCCCGGGAGGCACAGCTCATGGACCCCCATCGCAGACCCTTTTTGCCAGTCGGGGCGGGGGGGGGGGGGGCGCCACCACAGCGCTCTGGGTCACAAGTGTGCCCATGGGCTGCGTACTCCTCTCCCTCCCTCAACCCTTGCCTCGGAATCCCACGGAGTTCTAACACGGGATATCCTAACCGAAGACAAAATGATGCAGGACGAGCTTTGTGAAGACAGCTCCCGAACACACGCCTGTTGCAGCACGGGTGCTTGGCTACCACTTCCATGCTCACTATTTCCCTGAGGCTCTGCCATGAGCATCTCTCTGGCCTTTGTGCAGAGAGGTTCCATACCCGTGTGCAAGGAAAGAAGCACGCCCAGGACACCAAAAACCTCCATCACAAACACGCAGTGTCGAGATAATTCCAAGGATGACCGGGGGCCCGCGTGCTTGCCCTGGGTACTGGACTCCACACGTCTCTCGATGGGGAGAAACACCCAACGAGGCCTCTGGGAACCACTAGAGCGTCCACAGGTGAGGACATCTGGTCAACTATGGCCGGGACACCAAATGGAGCCCAGGTGCAGGACGGCAAAGAACAACCGTGCATACGGAACGAGTGGCTGAGGGTTGCCCACGAGGGGCCCATTCGCTTCAGTAAACCCTTGCCCGGCAATATCTCTGGGATCAGCCACCAGACAGAAAGTGGCAGCTGGGAGGAAGGGACAGGAAAGCTCCCGGGTCCGTCTGGGCTGTGGGCTAGTGTGACCATCGCCTGTAATCCAGGCTATTCTCCGCGAACTGACCTGCGACGTCCAGGCGGAAGGACACCTTCTGGCCCCCGGCCTCGCAGCTGTACTCCCCGGCGTCGGCCCGCCCCGCCTGCTGCACCACCAGCCTCCTGCTGCAGCCCTGGGCCTCCACGTGCACCCTGGAGCTCGCACTCAGCTTCTTCCCGTCCTTGTACCACGTCACCTCCGTCCCGGCCTGGGCCACCTCGCAGCTCAGCGTGGCGCTGCCGCCCGCCTTCGCCTGCACCTCACTGCGTGCTGGCTGCTCCTTGGCAAACACCAGTGTAGGCTCTGGGGACACAGGGGGACATGCAGGGTCAGAGGCACCATCCAAGGGAGGAAGGCAGCACTGGGAGGAGAAAGATTACACGGGGCTGCACGGGACTGGGAACGTCCCCAGGCTCTGCAGCAGCCATGTGACTGGAGAAGCCCCATAGCTTCTCGACCATGAGGGACACGATTCATGTGCCCATCCCTCACTGCTCCGCAGGGGCCCCTACGCGTGGGGACCACACATCCCATCATGGCTCTACACACGCTTTCCAGGTGGGGGGGGGGGCGCCACATTCTAAAAGTGTCCCACCTACTCTGGTTCCAGGTGGGGCTAGAATGTTTATCACCGCCGCATGTGGGCCACCCAGTGAGGCACCTCCATTCTAGGCTGATCCACATGGGCTTGTCCAGGAGCAGACCATATCTTCTCCCAGAACTCCGTGAGAGCTGCTCCAGTGGGGATCATACATCCTACAACTGCCCCATGTGGGCCCTCCAGGTGAGGACAGGACATTCTAAGTCTGCTCCACATAGGCTGTTCCAGGGGGCACCACACATCCCATCATTGCCCCACCTGGGCTGTTCCAGGGGGGGAGTCTGGGACACTTCTGTGTACATGGACTCTGTGGTCATGATACATGGATTGTTCTACTTTCCCGGAGGACATTCGACATTTCTGTACAGTTTGAAGGGAACTTTCCCCCGCTATGGTCTACAAAGCTTCCGAGTCTCCATGCCGTTTCCTATCTTAGTATTTTCAACTGGTGTCTATCTGCTGGAGTCCCTGTACTTCCCCCAGCACCTCTGTCACTGTCTGCTGACTCATGAGGCCTGGCACCTCCCCCAGTATTACTGGGCTGCCCACTCCTGGTTGCTCCACTGTGGGGACACTGTTCATGTCTCTGCTCATTCACCAACAGTACTGTCTTTTCTCTATTCATTTTAAGGCACTCTTTCCTTAAAAGTTAGAGACTGACAACTATGTGTTTAAAGTTGTTTTCCCAAATCTGTGGCTTGCCTTTTCACTCTCTTATGGCCTCTTCAGAGGAATGAAATTCTCAATGCTAGTGTCATCACATATGTCTATCTTGTCCTATTGCATTCAGAGCTTTCAAGTTCTACGGAAGGAATCTTTCCTTACCCGAATCTTCAAACAACTGTGTGTCATCTGAAGGTTTCATGGTTGCTACCCTACCAGGACATGGCTTTTGGGTGTTGTGTGAATTCCGTTACAGTTTAATTTTTTCCCTATTTTAAAGGATTCAAGCGCCGTTTATGAAAACAACTCCTCTCTCCTTATCCTCCTTATCGTATAGACATCGCAGTAAAAACAAACAAACCTGCGGGGTGGCAGGAGTCCGTTTATGCAAAACGCTGTTTCTGTTTTGTTTTGACCCCTTGATCTGCAAACTACCCCTGCATCGAGCTGCACAGACACCGCATATCCATGTGAAAAACAATATCCCGAAGCAACTAAGACAGGATAATCTAAAGTTTAGTTGAGATATTTCCAAATATGATTATATGGTCAAAACCTCCCCTATCGGTTTCAAGAAACTGAAATGTCTCTTGCTAAGAAGAACCCCGGACAGTGCCCCCCCAAAAAGCACAGTCACATAACCAAGGTGTGAGATGCTTAGTCTACTTGATGCCTCTACCCGAGCGTGGAGCACAGCCATCATCCTGGCCACCGAGGAACTCTGGGAGGGTTCTGTGCAGGTGCTCACATGCAGGACTAAGCATTAGGACGTGACAGCGCCGCTCGGGGGCGCAAACACGGCCCTGTCACTGCACACACACACCCTTCTCATTAAACCTCCATCCGTCCAGCCGTGGCTACGAAAATAGAAGGCAACGGGATGGCAGAGGTGAAAAGGTGAGGACGAATGTAGGGAGCAGCAGGGCCTATGGGGTGTGTAATGCAATCCCTTCATCACCTCCACACAAGACTCAGTTGGTGGAACTGACCTGCGACGTCCAGGCGGAAGGACACCTTCTGGCCCCCGGCCTCGCAGCTGTACTCCCCGGCGTCGGCCCGCCCCGCCTGCTGCACCACCAGCCTCCTGCTGCAGCCCTGGGCCTCCACGTGCACCCTGGAGCTCGCACTCAGCTTCTTCCCGTCCTTGTACCACGTCACCTCCGTCCCGGCCTGGGCCACCTCGCAGCTCAGCGTGGCGCTGCCGCCCGCCTTCGCCTGCACCTCACTGCGTGCTGGCTGCTCCTTGGCAAACACCAGTGTAGGCTCTGGGGACACAGGGGGACGCATGATCAAAACCTTATCTAAGTCAAGATGCAGTACTGGGCGGTGCCTGGGTGGCTCAGGTCATGATCTCAGGGTCCTGGGATTGAGCTCTGCATCGGGGCGGAGGGCGGGGGGGGGGGGGGCGGGCGGCGGGGGGTTTTCCCTGCTAGGCGAGGAATCTGCTTCTCCCTCTCCCTCTCCCTCTGCTGCTCCCCCTGCTTGTGCTCTCTCGAATAAATAAAATCTTAAAAAAAAAAAATTAAAAGATGCAGCACTGGGGAAGCGGGAGTACCCAGGAAGCTGGGATGTTCTCCAGGCTGGGCACCAGCTGTATGGCCCTCAGTCCCACATGGGTCCCTGCTCCCACCGGCTCTGTGCCGACAGCTATTGCTGATGGGCTGGGGGGTAAGGAAGCTGTACCTCTATCCCCCGTGTGATGCTTCCGACAGACTGGCGTCACCTTGCTCATACTTCGTCTCACGTAGGGACCCTGAAATCCATGACAGACCTACACTATGAAGTGTTTCTACAGCCCCGGCCTGCTTTGCTATAGAACTTACGCTACCACGTAAAATGAGATAAGAGCACAGCTCCCTTCCTATTCCGTATAAGAAAGTCCACGAGCAAGAAGTGATTAAATTCCAGCATATCTGGAAGAATTCACCCGGCAAGCCTTTGGACTCACACGTGGATTCACAAAGACATTTTGTTACTGGCGCTACATCCCGGCGGGGCCGTTTGCATTGTCTACTTCTCCTAAGATTTTGTTGGAGAGAGAGGAAGAGAGAAAGCAAGCGGGGGGAGGCGGGCAGGCAGAGGGAGAAGGAGGGAGCCCGGCACAGCTCGATCCTGGGAGCATGGGAACAGGACCTGAGCCGGAGGCAGACGCTTCACCCACAGACCCACCCAGGGAGCCCCACTGTTGACGTCATACATCAGTTTGATTTCCTTTCCTACAACCACTGGGACAGTGTGTCATCACCATTCTGATTCTCTTGCATTAAATGGTGTCAGACTGTCTTAAACAGCAAGTCGAAAAGGCGCACAGCCGCCGTGGCGGTGTCCATGCTCGCCCGCGGGTCATGATGTCCTGAGACAACAGCAGTCCACTGCGTGCGGCCCCAGGACCAGGGCGGGGCTGCGCTGACCCTCATCCGAGACACGGAACATAAAGACAAAGTCACAGGATTCTCTGAGAACCGGCCCGGGAGGCACAGCTCATGGACCCCCATCGCAGACCCTTTTTGCCAGTCGGGGCGGGGGGGGGGGGGGCGCCACCACAGCGCTCTGGGTCACAAGTGTGCCCATGGGCTGCGTACTCCTCTCCCTCCCTCAACCCTTGCCTCGGAATCCCACGGAGTTCTAACACGGGATATCCTAACCGAAGACAAAATGATGCAGGACGAGCTTTGTGAAGACAGCTCCCGAACACACGCCTGTTGCAGCACGGGTGCTTGGCTACCACTTCCATGCTCACTATTTCCCTGAGGCTCTGCCATGAGCATCTCTCTGGCCTTTGTGCAGAGAGGTTCCATACCCGTGTGCAAGGAAAGAAGCACGCCCAGGACACCAAAAACCTCCATCACAAACACGCAGTGTCGAGATAATTCCAAGGATGACCGGGGGCCCGCGTGCTTGCCCTGGGTACTGGACTCCACACGTCTCTCGATGGGGAGAAACACCCAACGAGGCCTCTGGGAACCACTAGAGCGTCCACAGGTGAGGACATCTGGTCAACTATGGCCGGGACACCAAATGGAGCCCAGGTGCAGGACGGCAAAGAACAACCGTGCATACGGAACGAGTGGCTGAGGGTTGCCCACGAGGGGCCCATTCGCTTCAGTAAACCCTTGCCCGGCAATATCTCTGGGATCAGCCACCAGACAGAAAGTGGCAGCTGGGAGGAAGGGACAGGAAAGCTCCCGGGTCCGTCTGGGCTGTGGGCTAGTGTGACCATCGCCTGTAATCCAGGCTATTCTCCGCGAACTGACCTGCGACGTCCAGGCGGAAGGACACCTTCTGGCCCCCGGCCTCGCAGCTGTACTCCCCGGCGTCGGCCCGCCCCGCCTGCTGCACCACCAGCCTCCTGCTGCAGCCCTGGGCCTCCACGTGCACCCTGGAGCTCGCACTCAGCTTCTTCCCGTCCTTGTACCACGTCACCTCCGTCCCGGCCTGGGCCACCTCGCAGCTCAGCGTGGCGCTGCCGCCCGCCTTCGCCTGCACCTCACTGCGTGCTGGCTGCTCCTTGGCAAACACCAGTGTAGGCTCTGGGGACACAGGGGGACATGCAGGGTCAGAGGCACCATCCAAGGGAGGAAGGCAGCACTGGGAGGAGAAAGATTACACGGGGCTGCACGGGACTGGGAACGTCCCCAGGCTCTGCAGCAGCCATGTGACTGGAGAAGCCCCATAGCTAGCTCCACATAGGCTGTTCCAGGGGGCACCACACATCCCATCATTGCCCCACCTGGGCTGTTCCAGGGGGGGAGTCTGGGACACTTCTGTGTACATGGACTCTGTGGTCATGATACATGGATTGTTCTACTTTCCCGGAGGACATTCGACATTTCTGTACAGTTTGAAGGGAACTTTCCCCCGCTATGGTCTACAAAGCTTCCGAGTCTCCATGCCGTTTCCTATCTTAGTATTTTCAACTGGTGTCTATCTGCTGGAGTCCCTGTACTTCCCCCAGCACCTCTGTCACTGTCTGCTGACTCATGAGGCCTGGCACCTCCCCCAGTATTACTGGGCTGCCCACTCCTGGTTGCTCCACTGTGGGGACACTGTTCATGTCTCTGCTCATTCACCAACAGTACTGTCTTTTCTCTATTCATTTTAAGGCACTCTTTCCTTAAAAGTTAGAGACTGACAACTATGTGTTTAAAGTTGTTTTCCCAAATCTGTGGCTTGCCTTTTCACTCTCTTATGGCCTCTTCAGAGGAATGAAATTCTCAATGCTAGTGTCATCACATATGTCTATCTTGTCCTATTGCATTCAGAGCTTTCAAGTTCTACGGAAGGAATCTTTCCTTACCCGAATCTTCAAACAACTGTGTGTCATCTGAAGGTTTCATGGTTGCTACCCTACCAGGACATGGCTTTTGGGTGTTGTGTGAATTCCGTTACAGTTTAATTTTTTCCCTATTTTAAAGGATTCAAGCGCCGTTTATGAAAACAACTCCTCTCTCCTTATCCTCCTTATCGTATAGACATCGCAGTAAAAACAAACAAACCTGCGGGGTGGCAGGAGTCCGTTTATGCAAAACGCTGTTTCTGTTTTGTTTTGACCCCTTGATCTGCAAACTACCCCTGCATCGAGCTGCACAGACACCGCATATCCATGTGAAAAACAATATCCCGAAGCAACTAAGACAGGATAATCTAAAGTTTAGTTGAGATATTTCCAAATATGATTATATGGTCAAAACCTCCCCTATCGGTTTCAAGAAACTGAAATGTCTCTTGCTAAGAAGAACCCCGGACAGTGCCCCCCCAAAAAGCACAGTCACATAACCAAGGTGTGAGATGCTTAGTCTACTTGATGCCTCTACCCGAGCGTGGAGCACAGCCATCATCCTGGCCACCGAGGAACTCTGGGAGGGTTCTGTGCAGGTGCTCACATGCAGGACTAAGCATTAGGACGTGACAGCGCCGCTCGGGGGCGCAAACACGGCCCTGTCACTGCACACACACACCCTTCTCATTAAACCTCCATCCGTCCAGCCGTGGCTACGAAAATAGAAGGCAACGGGATGGCAGAGGTGAAAAGGTGAGGACGAATGTAGGGAGCAGCAGGGCCTATGGGGTGTGTAATGCAATCCCTTCATCACCTCCACACAAGACTCAGTTGGTGGAACTGACCTGCGACGTCCAGGCGGAAGGACACCTTCTGGCCCCCGGCCTCGCAGCTGTACTCCCCGGCGTCGGCCCGCCCGCCTGCTGCACCACCAGCCTCCTGCTGCAGCCCTGGGCCTCCACGTGCACCCTGGAGCTCGCACTCAGCTTCTTCCCGTCCTTGTACCACGTCACCTCCGTCCCGGCCTGGGCCACCTCGCAGCTCAGCGTGGCGCTGCCGCCCGCCTTCGCCTGCACCTCACTGCGTGCTGGCTGCTCCTTGGCAAACACCAGTGTAGGCTCTGGGGACACAGGGGGACGCATGATCAAAACCTTATCTAAGTCAAGATGCAGTACTGGGCGGTGCCTGGGTGGCTCAGGTCATGATCTCAGGGTCCTGGGATTGAGCTCTGCATCGGGGCGGAGGGCGGGGGGGGGGGGCGGGCGGCGGGGGGTTTTCCCTGCTAGGCGAGGAATCTGCTTCTCCCTCTCCCTCTCCCTCTGCTGCTCCCCCTGCTTGTGCTCTCTCGAATAAATAAAATCTTAAAAAAAAAAAAATTAAAAGATGCAGCACTGGGGAAGCGGGAGTACCCAGGAAGCTGGGATGTTCTCCAGGCTGGGCACCAGCTGTATGGCCCTCAGTCCCACATGGGTCCCTGCTCCCACCGGCTCTGTGCCGACAGCTATTGCTGATGGGCTGGGGGGTAAGGAAGCTGTACCTCTATCCCCCGTGTGATGCTTCCGACAGACTGGCGTCACCTTGCTCATACTTCGTCTCACGTAGGGACCCTGAAATCCATGACAGACCTACACTATGAAGTGTTTCTACAGCCCCGGCCTGCTTTGCTATAGAACTTACGCTACCACGTAAAATGAGATAAGAGCACAGCTCCCTTCCTATTCCGTATAAGAAAGTCCACGAGCAAGAAGTGATTAAATTCCAGCATATCTGGAAGAATTCACCCGGCAAGCCTTTGGACTCACACGTGGATTCACAAAGACATTTTGTTACTGGCGCTACATCCCGGCGGGGCCGTTTGCATTGTCTACTTCTCCTAAGATTTTGTTGGAGAGAGAGGAAGAGAGAAAGCAAGCGGGGGGAGGCGGGCAGGCAGAGGGAGAAGGAGGGAGCCCGGCACAGCTCGATCCTGGGAGCATGGGAACAGGACCTGAGCCGGAGGCAGACGCTTCACCCACAGACCCACCCAGGGAGCCCCACTGTTGACGTCATACATCAGTTTGATTTCCTTTCCTACAACCACTGGGACAGTGTGTCATCACCATTCTGATTCTCTTGCATTAAATGGTGTCAGACTGTCTTAAACAGCAAGTCGAAAAGGCGCACAGCCGCCGTGGCGGTGTCCATGCTCGCCCGCGGGTCATGATGTCCTGAGACAACAGCAGTCCACTGCGTGCGGCCCCAGGACCAGGGCGGGGCTGCGCTGACCCTCATCCGAGACACGGAACATAAAGACAAAGTCACAGGATTCTCTGAGAACCGGCCCGGGAGGCACAGCTCATGGACCCCCATCGCAGACCCTTTTTGCCAGTCGGGGCGGGGGGGGGGGGGCGCCACCACAGCGCTCTGGGTCACAAGTGTGCCCATGGGCTGCGTACTCCTCTCCCTCCCTCAACCCTTGCCTCGGAATCCCACGGAGTTCTAACACGGGATATCCTAACCGAAGACAAAATGATGCAGGACGAGCTTTGTGAAGACAGCTCCCGAACACACGCCTGTTGCAGCACGGGTGCTTGGCTACCACTTCCATGCTCACTATTTCCCTGAGGCTCTGCCATGAGCATCTCTCTGGCCTTTGTGCAGAGAGGTTCCATACCCGTGTGCAAGGAAAGAAGCACGCCCAGGACACCAAAAACCTCCATCACAAACACGCAGTGTCGAGATAATTCCAAGGATGACCGGGGGCCCGCGTGCTTGCCCTGGGTACTGGACTCCACACGTCTCTCGATGGGGAGAAACACCCAACGAGGCCTCTGGGAACCACTAGAGCGTCCACAGGTGAGGACATCTGGTCAACTATGGCCGGGACACCAAATGGAGCCCAGGTGCAGGACGGCAAAGAACAACCGTGCATACGGAACGAGTGGCTGAGGGTTGCCCACGAGGGGCCCATTCGCTTCAGTAAACCCTTGCCCGGCAATATCTCTGGGATCAGCCACCAGACAGAAAGTGGCAGCTGGGAGGAAGGGACAGGAAAGCTCCCGGGTCCGTCTGGGCTGTGGGCTAGTGTGACCATCGCCTGTAATCCAGGCTATTCTCCGCGAACTGACCTGCGACGTCCAGGCGGAAGGACACCTTCTGGCCCCCGGCCTCGCAGCTGTACTCCCCGGCGTCGGCCCGCCCCGCCTGCTGCACCACCAGCCTCCTGCTGCAGCCCTGGGCCTCCACGTGCACCCTGGAGCTCGCACTCAGCTTCTTCCCGTCCTTGTACCACGTCACCTCCGTCCCGGCCTGGGCCACCTCGCAGCTCAGCGTGGCGCTGCCGCCCGCCTTCGCCTGCACCTCACTGCGTGCTGGCTGCTCCTTGGCAAACACCAGTGTAGGCTCTGGGGACACAGGGGGACATGCAGGGTCAGAGGCACCATCCAAGGGAGGAAGGCAGCACTGGGAGGAGAAAGATTACACGGGGCTGCACGGGACTGGGAACGTCCCCAGGCTCTGCAGCAGCCATGTGACTGGAGAAGCCCCATAGCTTCTCGACCATGAGGGACACGATTCATGTGCCCATCCCTCACTGCTCCGCAGGGGCCCCTACGCGTGGGGACCACACATCCCATCATGGCTCTACACACGCTTTCCAGGTGGGGGGGGGGGCGCCACATTCTAAAAGTGTCCCACCTACTCTGGTTCCAGGTGGGGCTAGAATGTTTATCACCGCCGCATGTGGGCCACCCAGTGAGGCACCTCCATTCTAGGCTGATCCACATGGGCTTGTCCAGGAGCAGACCATATCTTCTCCCAGAACTCCGTGAGAGCTGCTCCAGTGGGGATCATACATCCTACAACTGCCCCATGTGGGCCCTCCAGGTGAGGACAGGACATTCTAAGTCTGCTCCACATAGGCTGTTCCAGGGGGCACCACACATCCCATCATTGCCCCACCTGGGCTGTTCCAGGGGGGGAGTCTGGGACACTTCTGTGTACATGGACTCTGTGGTCATGATACATGGATTGTTCTACTTTCCCGGAGGACATTCGACATTTCTGTACAGTTTGAAGGGAACTTTCCCCCGCTATGGTCTACAAAGCTTCCGAGTCTCCATGCCGTTTCCTATCTTAGTATTTTCAACTGGTGTCTATCTGCTGGAGTCCCTGTACTTCCCCCAGCACCTCTGTCACTGTCTGCTGACTCATGAGGCCTGGCACCTCCCCCAGTATTACTGGGCTGCCCACTCCTGGTTGCTCCACTGTGGGGACACTGTTCATGTCTCTGCTCATTCACCAACAGTACTGTCTTTTCTCTATTCATTTTAAGGCACTCTTTCCTTAAAAGTTAGAGACTGACAACTATGTGTTTAAAGTTGTTTTCCCAAATCTGTGGCTTGCCTTTTCACTCTCTTATGGCCTCTTCAGAGGAATGAAATTCTCAATGCTAGTGTCATCACATATGTCTATCTTGTCCTATTGCATTCAGAGCTTTCAAGTTCTACGGAAGGAATCTTTCCTTACCCGAATCTTCAAACAACTGTGTGTCATCTGAAGGTTTCATGGTTGCTACCCTACCAGGACATGGCTTTTGGGTGTTGTGTGAATTCCGTTACAGTTTAATTTTTTCCCTATTTTAAAGGATTCAAGCGCCGTTTATGAAAACAACTCCTCTCTCCTTATCCTCCTTATCGTATAGACATCGCAGTAAAAACAAACAAACCTGCGGGGTGGCAGGAGTCCGTTTATGCAAAACGCTGTTTCTGTTTTGTTTTGACCCCTTGATCTGCAAACTACCCCTGCATCGAGCTGCACAGATACCGCATATCCATGTGAAAAACAATATCCCGAAGCAACTAAGACAGGATAATCTAAAGTTTAGTTGAGATATTTCCAAATATGATTATATGGTCAAAACCTCCCCTATCGGTTTCAAGAAACTGAAATGTCTCTTGCTAAGAAGAACCCCGGACAGTGCCCCCCCAAAAAGCACAGTCACATAACCAAGGTGTGAGATGCTTAGTCTACTTGATGCCTCTACCCGAGCGTGGAGCACAGCCATCATCCTGGCCACCGAGGAACTCTGGGAGGGTTCTGTGCAGGTGCTCACATGCAGGACTAAACATTAGGACGTGACAGCGCCGCTCGGGGGCGCAAACACGGCCCTGTCACTGCACACACACACCCTTCTCATTAAACCTCCATCCGTCCAGCCGTGGCTACGAAAATAGAAGGCAACGGGATGGCAGAGGTGAAAAGGTGAGGACGAATGTAGGGAGCAGCAGGGCCTATGGGGTGTGTAATGCAATCCCTTCATCACCTCCACACAAGACTCAGTTGGTGGAACTGACCTGCGACGTCCAGGCGGAAGGACACCTTCTGGCCCCCGGCCTCGCAGCTGTACTCCCCGGCGTCGGCCCGCCCCGCCTGCTGCACCACCAGCCTCCTGCTGCAGCCCTGGGCCTCCACGTGCACCCTGGAGCTCGCACTCAGCTTCTTCCCGTCCTTGTACCACGTCACCTCCGTCCCGGCCTGGGCCACCTCGCAGCTCAGCGTGGCGCTGCCGCCCGCCTTCGCCTGCACCTCACTGCGTGCTGGCTGCTCCGTGGCAAACTCTGCAGAGGGCTCTGGGGCGACAGTGTGATGTACAGTTTAGAGACTCAGAGCTAATACCGCTTAGTCACAGAAATGAAAGCTTCACAATTCACTAAATTTACTCCTGGGAGAAAATGCCATCATGTGCCTAGCAGGTTGCTGGCATTTGTTTGTGACATGTGTCTCTCATCCTGGATCCCTAGTGTACATTTGAACGTGTCTGACTTATGAGCAATTCTTCAGGCTGGTGCAAGGGGTGGAGGCTCTTTGGTCACCTGTCCCTGCTAGTTCATTGTCCTTCCCAGGCTACAGCCAGACCTCATGGGCAGGTGCAGTGGTTCACTCCTGTACCCCCAGCATATGGTGTGCCCACGAAACATGTCTTATCAAGGTGTAACTCCCATGTAAAGTGGAGTAATATTGTTTGCACAACCCAGTGAAGTTTATTGTGCTTGTTTCCACATAAACAAACTATCAACAAACAGAACATGTCTAGTTCCCCACTCACTACTAACCATCCTCAGAAGTAACCCTATCCTGACCTTTCCCACTATGAATCATTTTTTCCAGGTCTTCTACTTCACATGAATGCATACTATATTGTGCGTTTTTTGGGTCTGGTTTTGTTTTTTCCATTGACACAATGTGAGATGCACCCAGGTTGTTCCACTGATGGATGGTTTTCCATTGTATGAGCGCCTCAGTTTATTTTATTTTTCCTGTGTCTCTTCTGGTTCATTTTGGATGTTTCCAATTTGGGGATATGATGAAAAGCACTGCTATGAATGGTCTGTTGGGGGAACACAAAACTGCTGGAACATAGTTATGGGTACATTTGGCTTTAATAGGTATTTCCAAAGAGTTTTCAGAAATGATTGTGCCAACTTACACTCCCACCAGCAGGGCATGAGAGTTCCAATTCCCTACATCCTTACCAACACCTGAAATCACCTTTTAAAAAAAAAAATCGTGTATCTCCCATTAAACTCAAGTGCATACATACAGAATCTCAGAGATTCTATGTTCTAGAGGCGGTCAGCCATGCATACAATCATTGGCACAACTCATGTGAATGGTGGCCCACGTCATGCAGGCACCAGGCACCATGGTGGTGGCTGGGAATTTGACAGTCAGCACACAGTCTACTGAGGCAGACAGAAAGACAAGCACATCAGCCATGACAGCAGTGATGCAGTGCTGTGGTGAAGTTAAATGAGGTGACACATATGAAAGAAGGGACTGATGGGGCCCTTATGCTCTGTACTCAGGGCAAACCTCACTATGCAGTGATGAATGATTAAAGCCTGGGGGAGACATTAGTTTTTTAAAAAGATTTCATTTATTTATTAGAGACACAGAGAGAGAGAGAGAGAGAGAGAGAGGCAGAGACACAGGCAGAGGGAGAAGCAGGTTCCACGCAGGGTGCCCAATGCGGGACTCAATCCCAGGAATCCAGGATAATGCCCTGGGCTGAAGGTGGTGCTAATCTGCTGAGCAACTGGGGCTGCCCTGGGGGAGACGTTCTAAGAGGTGAGCCCAGGGCCAGGCTCTTCTTTAGGGATGCATGTGAAATGATTTAGGGTGGTACAAGGGAACCACTCTCGGATGTGGGGTCACACTGGCCCTGCTGTGTCTGGGTATGATATGATAATGACAATCAAGGCACAGAGCAGCTACTGAGAAACAGGGAGACCACCAGCATGTGCACACCTGTATGCATAGAGGGGTGAAGTTAGAGGTTGAGAAGCCAGGTCTCCAGAGAAGAGGGACTGTGCAGAATGCAGCCACCACTCAGCCATGTTCCCCACAAGGGGTTTGATGAGTTCTAAAGCTGTCTGTCCAGGAGACTATGAAGCCCAGCAGAAAACTTCTGAAAACCAGAGCAAGGAGCAAACTCTGGCCCCTTGCATCCCAGGGAAACAAAGATTAGCACTGAGCATCTGCCAGGAAAGGGGCCTTACCCACACTCAGGTGTCTACAGGAGTGCCAGGAGGACTATGCCCAGGGTTGGGGCACACTCAGACACAAAACTTTCATCAAAATTGCAAGGCAGCCCCAAATCAGCATGGTTCTGGAATGGGCCAAAGTTTAGTAGTCCTCTCCCTGCCTTGCACAGGAAGGAGCAACCCTCTTTCTGGAATAAGATACCATCACCCATATCCAGCAAGTTTTCTTTTCTTTTTTTTTAATAATAAATTTATTTTTATTTGCCAATTTGAATATTTTTATATTCAATTTGCCAACATACAGAATTAACACCCAGTGCTCATTCCGTCAAGTACCCCACCTCAGTGCCTGCCACCCAGTCACCCCCAACCCCCGCCCTCCTCCCCTTCCACCGCCCTTAGTTCGTTTCCCAGAGTTAGGAGTTTTTCATGTTCTGTCTCCCTTTCTGATATTTCCTACCCATTTCTTCTCCCTTCCCCTCTATTCCCTTTCACTATTATTTATATTCCCCAAATGAATGAGACCATATAATGTTTGTCCTTCTCCGATTGACTCATTTCACTCAGCATAATACCCTCTAGTTCCATTCACATTGAAGCAAATGGTGGGTATTTGTCATTTCTAATGGCTGAGTAATATTCCATTGCATACATAAACCACATCTTCTTTATTGATTCATCTTTTGATGGACACCGAGGCTCCTTCCACAGTTTGACTATAGTGGACATTGCTGCTAGAAACATCGGGGTGCAGGTGTCCCGGCGTTTCATTCCAGCAAGTTTTCTCATGCAATGTCTGACAGTCCATCAAAATGTTTCTGGTGTGCCAAGGAGAGTAGTAAATAGAAAACAAAAAACCAAACAAACAAACAAAACAACCCCCCCCAAAAAAAAACAGGACAATATGAGATGATTGATTTTTATGGCTTTTCAGACTGGGATGTAGCCATGATTAAAACTGTTTTAAAATGAAATTTTAAAAAATAAATCAAAAATGAAAAATTTATAATTTTCCAAATAAAAATTCCAGAAAAATTTCCAGAGTCTAAAAGCTATAAGAAAAGAAACAGAAGATACGTTACTTGAAAATAGTAAACACGCTAAACTGGGAAGGAGAACACATTACACATAGAAGAAGAGAATATAAGACATTAGGAAGGCAGAGGAGGGGGCAAGATGGCAGAAGAATAGGGTCCACAAGTCACCTGTCCCCACCAACTTACCTAGATAACTTTCAAATCATCCTGAAAACCTACGAATTCGATCTGAGATTCAAAGAGAGAACAGCTGGAATGCTACAGTGAGAAGAGTTCACGCTTCTATCAAGGTAGGAAGACGGAAAAAAAATAAAGAAATAAAAAGCATCCAAGGGGGAGGGGCCCCCGAGGAGCCGGGCTAAGGCTGCCTGGCGAGTGTCCCCAGGACAGGAGAGCCTCGTCCCGGAGAAACAGGAGCTTCATCAATCTTCCCGGATGGAAAGGTGCTCGCAGGGAGTTAGAGCAGGACCCAGGAGGGCGGGGATGCCCTCGGGCTCCCTGGGACACTAACAGACACCTACGCCCCAGGGAGAGCGCCACACCTCGCCGCCTAAAGGGCTGCAGCGTGCGCACGGCTGGGTCCAGAAGCAGCGCGGAGGTGGCTCGGCGTGGAGGGGGCTGCGCGCCCCAGGAGCGCAATTCCAGCGGCTCGGGCCCGGGAGCCCAGGGCGCTTGGGACACAGCCCAGGATCCGGGGCTCTCCCGGGACAGGCAGAGGCCGAGAGGGCACAGGACACTAAGAACGCTCCTGCCGCTGGGCGACTCTGAGCTGTACAGATAAGCGGCCCCGCCCCTGGAGCATCCAGGCCCCTGTGAACTGGGAGCTGCAGTAGCTACTGCAGAAGCTGACTCCAGGGCAGGAGAGCTGGCAGCTGCCACTGTTGTTGATCCTCCTGGGGCATCACAGGATAAACAACCCCCACTGAGCCTCACAGTAGCCTAACAGGATAAACAGGATAAACAACTCCCACTGACCCGAGCACCAGGAAGGGGGCTGAGCAGCTCCCCCAGGTGCTCAGACCTGAGAATCAGCACAGCAGGCCCCTCCCACAGAAGACCAACTAGAAGGACAGAGGAAAAGCAAGTTATTGACCAAGCAGGACTGGAAAGTTCCAGCGGAAGTCGAGGGACTAACAGTATATAGAATCAGAGGATACTCCCCCTTCTTTTTGGTTTTCTGTTTGCTTCCCCGCCCCCTATATTTTCTTTTCTCTTTTTGTTCTTTTTTTCTTTTCTTTTTTCTCTTCTCGCTTTTTCTCCTTTTCCCAGTACAACTTGTTTTTGTACACTCTGCACTGAGCAAAATGGCTAGAACGAAAAACTCACCTCAAAAGAAAGAATCAGAAACAGTCCTCTCTCCCACAGAGTTACAAAATTTGGATTACAACTCAATGTCAGAAAGCCAATTCAGAATCACTATTATAAAGCTACTGGTGGCTCCAGAAAAAAGCAAAAGGATTCAAGAGACTTCATGACAGCAGAAATTTAGATCTAATCAGGCAGAAATTAAAAATCAATTAAATGAGATGCAATCCAAACTAGAGGTCCTAATGACGAGAGTTAATGAGGTAGAAGAATGAGTGAGTAACATAGAAGACAAGTTGATGGCAAGGAGGGAAACTGAGGAAAAAAGAGAAAAACAATTAAGAGATCATGAGGATAGGTTAAGGGAAATAAATGACAGCCTCAAAAGGAAAAATCTACATTTAATTGGGGTTCCCAAGGGTGCCGAAAGGGATAGAGGTCCAGAATATGTATTTGTATTTGAACAAATCATAGCTGACAACTTCCCTAATTTGGGGAAGGAAAAAGGCATTCAGATCCAGGAGATAGAGAGATTCCTAGAATCAATAAAATCCACTCAACTCCTCGAAATTTAATAGTGAAATTTGCAAATTCCAAAGATAAAGAGAAGATCCTTAAAGCAGCAAGAGACAAGAGATCCCTAACTTTTATGGGGAGAAATATTAGATTAACAGCAGACCTCTCCACAGAGACCTGGCAGGCCGGAAAGGGTGGCAGGATACATTCAGGGTCCTAAATGAGAAGAACATGCAGCCAAGAATACTTTATCCAGCAAGACTCTCATTCAGAATAGAAGGAGAGATAAAGAGCTTCCAAGATATGGGATCCCTGGGTGGCGCAGCGGTTTGGCGCCAGCCTTTGGCCCAGGGCGCGATCCTGGAGACCCGGGATCGAATCCCACGTCGGGCTCCCGGTGCATGGAGCCTGCTTCTCCCTCTGCCTCTCTCTCTCTCTCTGTGACTATCATAAATAAATAAAAATTTAAAAAAAAAACAGTATTTAAAAAAAAAAAAAGAGCTTCCAAGATAGGCAGAAACTGAAAGAATATGTGTCCACCAAGCCAGCTCTGCAAGAAATACTAAGGGGGATTTTGTAATAGAAAGAGAAAGTCCAAGGGAACAATCCACAAGAACAGGGACTGAATAGGTATCATGATGACACTAAATTCATATCTTTCAATAATAACTCTGAACGTGAATGGGCTTAATGACCCCATTAAAGGCGCAGGGTTTCAGACTGGATAAAAAAGCAGGACCCATCTATTTGCTGTCTACAAGAGACTCATTTTAGACAGAAGGGCACCTACATCCTGAAAACAAAAGGTTGGAGAACCAAGTACCATTCAAATGGTCCTCAAAAGAAAGCAGGGGTAGCCATCCTTATATCAGATAAAATAAACTTTATCCCGAACACTGTAGTAACAGATTAAGAGGGACACTCCATCATACTTAAAGGATCTATCCAACAAGAGGACCTAACAATCATCAATATTTATGCCCCGAATGTGGGAGCTGACAAATACATCAATCAATTAATAACCAAAGTTAAGACATACTTAAATAATAATACACTTATACTTGGTGACTTGACTGTAGCACTTTCTACAATTGACAGGTCTTCTAAGTGCACAACATCTCCAAAGAAAGAAGAGCTTTAAATGATACACTGGACCAGATGGATTTCACATATATTTACAGAACTTTACATCCAAATGCAACAGAATACACATTCTTCTCAAGTGCACATGGAACTTTCTCCAGAATAGACCACATACTGGGTCACAAATCGGGTCTGAACCGATACCAAAAGATTGGGATCATCCCCTGCATATTTTCAGACCATAATGCTTTGATATTAGAACTAAATCACAAGATGAAGTTTGGAAGGATTTCAAACACGTGGAGGTTAAGGACAATCTGCTAAAAGATGAAAGGGTCAACAAAGAAATTAGAGAAGAATTAAAAAAACTCATGGAAACTAATGAGAATGAAGATACAACCATTCAAAATCTTTGGGATACAGCAAAAGTAGTCCTGAGGGGGAAATACATCGCAATAGAAGCAGCCTTTCAAAAACTGGAAAGAACTCAAATACAAAAGCTAACCTTACACATAAAGGAGCTAGAGAAAAAACAGCAAATAGATCCTACACCCAGCAGAAGAAGAGAGGTCATAAAGAGAACTCAATGGAAGAGAGACTAGAAGAACTGTGGAACAGATCAATAAAACCAGGAGTTGGTTCTTTGAAAGAATTAATAAGATAGATAAACCATTAGCCAACCTTATTAAAAAGAAGAGAGAAAAGACTCAAATTAATAAAATCATGAATGAGAAAGGAGAGATCACTACCAACACCAAGGAAATACAAACGATTTTTAAAACATATTATGAACAGCTCTATGCCAATAAATCAGGCAATCTAGAAGAAATGGACGCATTCCTGGAAAGCCACAAACTACCAAAACTGGAACAGGAAAATAGAAAACCTGAACAGGCCAATAACTAGGGAGGAAATTGAAGCAGTCATCAAAAATCTCCCAAGACACAAGAATCCAGGGCCAGATGGCTTCCCAGGGGAATTCTTTCAAATGTTTAAAGAAGAAATCATACCTATTCTACTAAATCTGCTCCGAAAGATAGAAAGAGATGGAATACTTCCAAACTCATTCTATGAGACCACCATCACCTTAATTCAAAAACCAAAGAGACCCCACCAAAAAGGAGAATTATAGACCAATATCCCTGATGAATACAGATGCAAAAACTGTCAACAAGATACTAGCCAATAGGATCCAACAGTACATTAAGAAATTATTCACCATGACCAAGTGGGATTTATCCCTAGGATGCAAAGCTGGTTATGTGATAAACCATATCAACAAGAGAAAAAACAAGAACCATAAGATCCTCTCAATAGATGCAGAGAAAGCATTTGACAAAATACAGCATCCATTCCTGATCAAAACTCTTCAGGGTAGTGATAGAGGGAACATTCCTCAGCATCTTAAAAGCAATCTTGAAAAGCCTACAGAAAATATCATTCTCAATGGGGAAGCACTGGGAGCCTTTCCCCTAAGATCAGGGTCAAGACAGGGATGACCAATCTCACTACTGCTATTCAACAGAGTACTAGAAGTCCTAGCCTCAGCAATTAGGCAACTAAAAGAAATAAAAGTCATTCAAATTGGCAAACAAGAAGTCAAACTCTCCCTCTTGGCAGATGACATGATACTGTACCTTGAAAACCCAAAGCGTCCACCCCAAGATTGCTAGAACTCATACAGCAATTTGGCAGCGTGGCAGGATACAAAATCAATGCCCAGAAGTCAGTGGCATTTCTAGACACTAACAATGAGACTGAAGAAAGAGAAATTAAGGAGTCAATCCCATTTACAATTGCACCCAAAAGCATAAGATACCTAGGAATAAACCTAACCAAAGAGGTAAAGGATCTATACCCTAAAAACTACAGAATATTTCTGAAAGAAATTGAGGAAGACACAAAGAGATGGAAAAATATTCCATGCTCATCGATTGGCAGAATTAATATTGTGAAAATGTCAATGTTACCCAGGGCAATTTACATGTTTAATGCAATCCCTATCAAAATACCATGGACTTTCTTCAGAGAGTTAGAACAAATTGTTTTAAGATTTGTGTGGAATCAGAAAAGACCCCCGAATAGCCAGGGGAATATTAAAGAAGAAATCCATAGATGGGGGCATCACAATGCCAGATTTCAGGTTGTACTACAAAGCTGTGGTCATCAAGACAGTGTGGTACTGGCACAAAAACAGACACATAGATCAATGGAACAGAATAGAGAACCCAGAAGTGGACCCTAAACGTTATGGTCAACTAATATTCAACAAAGCAGGAAAGACTATCCACTGGAAAAAAGAAAGTTTCTTCAATAAATGGTGCTGGGAAAATTGGACATCCACATGCAGAAGAATGAAACTGGACCATTCTCTTACACCGTACACAAAGATAAAGTCAAAATGGATTAAAGATCTAAATGTGAGACAAGAGTCCATCAAAATCCTAGAGGACAACACAGGCAACACCCTTTTTGAACTTGGCCACAGCAACTTCTTGCAGGATACATCCATGAAGGCAAGAGAAACAAAAGCAAAAATGAACTATTGGGACTTCATCAAGATAAGAAGCTTTTGCACAGCCAAAGAATCAGTCAACAAAACTAAAATACAACCAAAAGAATTGCAGAAGAGGGCACCCCCGGTGGCGCAGTGGTTTAGCGCCGCCTGCAGCCCGGGGTCTGATCCTGGAGACCTAGGATCGAGTCCCGCGTTGGGCTCCCTGCATGGAGCATGCTTCTCCCTCTGCCTGTGTCTCTGCCTTTCAGTCTCTCTCTCTCTCTGAATAAATAAATTAAAAAAAAAGAATTGCAGAAGATATTTGCAAATGACCTATCAGATAAAGGGCTAGTATCCAAGATCTATAAAGAAGTTATTCAACTCAACAGCAAAGAAACAAACAATCCAAACAGGAAATGGGCAAAAGACATGAACAGAAATCTCACAGATGAAGACATAGACGTGACCAACAAGCACATGAGAAAATGCTCTGCATCACTTGCCATCAGGGAAATACAAATCAAAACCACAATGAGATACCACCTCACACCAGTTAGAATGGGGAAAATTAACAAGGCAGGAAACAACAAATGTTGGAGAGGATGTGGAGAAAGGGGAACCCTCTTGCACTGTTGGTGGGAATGGGAACTGGTGCAGCCACTCTGGAAAACTGTACGGAGGTTCCTCAAAGAGTGAAAAATAGACCTGCCCTACGACCCAGCAATTGCACTGCTGAGGATTTACCCCAAAGGTACAGATGCAGTCACACGCCAGGACACCTGCACCCGATGTTTCTAGCAGCCATGTCCACAATAGCCAAACTGTGGAAGGAGCCTTGGTGTCCATCGGAAGATGAATGGATAAAGAAGATGTGGTTTATGTATACAATGCAATATTACTCAGCCATTAGAAACGACAAATACCCACCATTTGCTTCGACGTGGATGGAACTGGAGGGTATTATGCTGAGTGAAATAAGTCAGTCGGAGAAGGACAAACATTATATGGTCTCATTCATTTGGGGAATATAAAAAATAGTGAAAGGGAATAAAGGGGAAAGGAGAGAAAATGAGTGGTAAATATCAGAAAGGGAGAGAGAACATGAGAGACTCTTAACTCTGGAAAATGAACAAGGGGTGGTGGAAAGGGAGGTGGGCAGGAGGTGGGCAGGGGGTGGGGGTGACTGGGTGACAGGCACTGAGGGGGACACTTGATTAGATGAGCAATGGGTGTTATGCCATATGTTGGCAAATTTAATTCTAATAAAAAAATTACAATTCAAAAAAAAAGACATTAGGAAGGCAAGTCAGCATAATGTCCAGAATTAAGCAGAGAGAGAAAAATAGTTAAAAGGCAGCAAGAAAGATGCATACAAGACATGTAGGGTAACACAGAAAGGTCGAATAAAATGTTAACCAATTTCAGACACAGAGAGAGATGGGACAGATCAGAGAAAAGCCAAGCCTATTGTTAAGGAGAACATAAATCCACACATTCAAGAGGATCTGCAGCCCCAACCAGTTTGAGTATAAAGGAAACCATACTTAGGTTCATCAAAGTAAAAGTACTGAAAGCCAGAAGCAAAAACAGTATCTTAAAAGCAATAGAAGAAGAAAAATTTTTTTTAATTTTGAAAAGGCAACAGAAGAAAGAAAGAAAGAAAGAAAGAAAGAAAGAAGAAAGAAAAGAAAGAAAGAAAGAAAGAAAGAAAGAAAGAAAGAAAGAAAGAAAGAAAGAAAAGAGAGGAAGGAAGGAAGGAAGGAAGGAAGGAAGGAAGGAAGGAAGGAAGGAAGGAAGGAAGGAAGGAAAAGATCCTTGAAGGAACATAACAGATCTGACAATTGATAGCTTAAGAGAAAATATGGAACCCAGAAGACAATGGAATATCTTTATTTTTTTTAATCCACCAAGAGATTTATGAGTTTCATGTCACTGTAAGTGATTTTTAAATCACTGACAATTTTCTATGTATCACTTTTAATGCATATGTACTTTCTTTTTTAAATTTAAATTCAATTTGCCAACATATAGCACCCAATGCTCATCTCACCAAGTGCCCTCCTCAGTGCCCATCACCCAGTCACCCCATCTCCCCTACCTCCAATTCTGCCACCCTTTGTTTCCCAGAGTTAGGAGTCTCTCATGGTTTGTCTCCCTCTCTAATTTTTCCCGATATCTTCAAAATACTAAAATATGCGCAGTTGACACTTAACAACATAGGGGTTAGGGGTGCTGACTCCCCATGCAGTCAAAAATCTGTGTATAACTTTTGTTCCTCTGAAATATAACTACTAATAGCCTACTGTTGACTGGAAGCCTTACTGATGATATAAACTGTCAGCTAACACACACTTTGCATAGTATATGTATTACAGATTGAAGTAGGCTACAGGCAAGAAAATGTTATTAAAATCGTTAGGAAAACATTTATATACTATACTGTATGTATCATAAAAGTGGACCTGTGGGGGATCCCTGGGTGGCCTGGCGGTTTGGCGCCTGCCTTTGGCTCAGGGCGCGATCCTGGAGGCCCGGATCAAATCCCACGTCAGGCTCCCGGTGCATGGAGCCTGCTTCTCCCTCTGCCTGTGTCTCTGCCTCTCTCTCTCTCTCTCTCTCTCTCTCTCTCTGTGACTATCGTAAATTAAAAAAAAAAAGTGGACCTGTGGAGTTCACATCCCTGTTGTTCAAGAGTGAATGTATTTACATATGAGGAGCTGCTACAATGTAACTTGATACCCAGAGAAAATAGCCCTCAGAATTGAAGACAAAATAAATGTTTTCACATAAGCAAAAAAAAAAAAAAAAAAAAAAAAAAAAAAAAAAAAGCACCAGAAGACGTGCTTAAAATAAATACTGGTGAGAGCTCTTCAGGCAGAAAACGTAAATAAATAATCTCAGAATATTGAGCCCAAATCCTGGCTCAGTTTTCTGACTGTGTGAACTTTCGCAAGTTACAGAATTTTCTTAGCCTCATGTTAAAATATGAATTATCAGAATTCCTCCTCTGAGGTTGTTGCTATGTTTACACAAGTGAAAAGACAAAAAGCACTCATAAAATACAGTCAAGGGCATGTCATTAATACCTGCTGACTGCTCCATGGGAAACTGTGTGAAAAAACAGGCCGCTAGACATCACCTGCATATACCCCACTCCCTGATAACTACCCTAAGGAGCATAAGAAACACCTCAAGGCACCTACCTGTGACATCCAGGCGGAAGGACACCTTCTGGCCCCCGGCCTCGCAGCTGTACTCCCCGGCGTCGGCCCGCCCCGCCTGCTGCACCACCACCCGCCTGCTGCAGCCCTGGGCCTCCACATGCACCCTGGAGCTCGCACTCAGCTTCTTCCCGTCCTTGTACCACGTCACCTCCATCCCGGCCTGGGCCACCTCGCAGCTCAGCATGGCGCTGCCTCCTGCCTTGGTCTGCACCTCACTGCATGGTGGTTGCTCCTTGGCAAACACCGCAGAGGGCTCTGGGGACACAGAGGGACAATCAAATACCTAGAACCAGATGAGGGTCTACCTTCTAGATGCCAACACCAGGATGCCTCGGCCACAAGCCTGCTCTGCTCCTAGCACCCTCTACATGGAGAACCCCACACTCTAAAGACACATAAAGCAAGGAATAGCTTAGTTCTCAGAATGTGAAGACAGGTCAAATAATTTCCAGGTATATGAGCATTATAATTCAGGATTTGGCATTTATCATCTGTGATCCCATAACTCTCCTAACCTATGGAGGCATACCCTATTGCCTGCATGTCATAGCACAGGTATTTTCAGGGAGAATTTCCTGTGCACTGTCACCATCAATGGATGACACCCAAGTCACAAGAACACAGACACAACTTCTAATTCAGCCTGTAGATTCTAGCAAGTCAATCACCATCCTCATAATCAAACCCTGGCCTTAGGACTGGGCATGGTTTTTATCAATTTACTTCTTTGCCTTCATGTCACATTACTTCTTGGACCCACTCTGTCACTCTAGACTAAATTTTTTTCCTTTGAACATATATTCATCAGCAATTTTTTCCAGCTAGCTTTTGTGAGTGGTAAATTCTCTTCATTAACTTGCTGAAAACATCTTTATTTCACTCGAACTTTTGAATGATAGTTTAGCTGGATACAGAATTCTAGTTGACTGTTCTCTTCCCCCAGAACATTAAAGATGATCTTCGTTGCCGTTGACAAGGATAACTGTCCTCCCATTGATCTTTGTTTTTCTGTGGTTCACTAGGATGCATATAGCTAGGAATTTATTTTTCCTACATTTCCCATGATCACTTGGGAGTCCTGAAGCTTAGCATTCACATCTTCAACTGCTGCTAAAAGTTCTCTGCATGATGGCCTTCAGACTTTTAACTTCTCATTCTCTCCAGTCTCTCCTAAAAGTCCTTTTGGACATACACCTGGCCAACTGCTTCTCTTCTCTACATCTGTCCTTTTTTGTTTGTTTGTTTCTGTGTTCCACTCTGTGTAACTTCTCCTAAATCTATCTTCCTATTCAGTGATTTTTCTGTCTAATGTGTTATTTATTACTTCACTAAGTTGTTCATTCTGAATGCTGTGTTTCCCATTCAAGAAGCTTCACTTGCTGCTTCTTTGAATCTGCCTGTTCTTATTATTATTTTACTTTTTTCTTGCTTTTTCAAGTCTCCCATATTACTCATCTTCAGTGTGCTGCTTCATCATCTGAGGTCCCTGGGGGGTCTAATCCCAATTTTTTCTGTGACTTCCAACTCTCTTCTATATAGGATTGTTCCTCCGGTGCTTAGATACATTTTATTGTGAGTGCATCTGATGTGGCGTCCTTTGCCATGTGGCTCTGGTGGTGGGGTAACCCTCCTGGTACTCTTACCATTGCCAGGCACTCCAGGAGTACCACTGGCCCAGAGCCCCATTTGTAGGTTAACTTCTCAGTCTGGGGTCCCTAGTATTATAAATTGAAATCTCAATCCCAAGTGAGAAATAGTTTCCTATTTCTTAGAGGGAACTTTTCCCACCTGAGCCAAGGAAGATGTACAAGTCCCCTGTGACCTCCCTGGGCTGCAGGAGATTGCTCTTCTGGTCCACTTTTTCTTTAATGATGTAGTTCTAGAAGGTTTCCATCTCTTTATGCTGATCTCCGCTCCACTTCCTATTTGTTCTCATGCCTATTTGCAAGCTGGTAAGTCAGACCCAGGTCCCTGGGACCCAAACTCCCCGCAGCAACTGTGCACCAACTCATCACCCACTGCTTTAGTTTCTTTAGTGCCTCCTCCTCTCTAGCACCTCGAAATGTCCCTTTTTTTCTCCTTGCCAGTCCATTAAATTGACCTGACTTTGTTACATTCTGCCTAACATTTGGAGATGTCCATAGTGGGAGAGTTTTCAAACTATAGAAGTCCACAGTACTGCTGCTGGAACCTGAAATCCAGAGGGGGTGCTTTTAACTCTACCTTTCCAATTTCAACTACTAGAGACTCTGCTTTGAGAACACCTCTCTATTGTCCCAATAGAAGTCAATGAAACTCTTGATTTTGGACCTGCACATCAAAGCACAGGTATTCTCAGGGAGAATTCTTTATGTTATATCACCAAGAATGGGCAATATCCTTGAGTTACAAGATATTTAATTGAATTTTTAATATTTTTGAAATGCACATAGCCAAAGTATAGACAGTTTTATTTTTATGCCTCAACCTGTATTTTTCATGGAGAAAAACATAAAGCATCCAGCTGACTTTCACCTGGGGCAGGCAGCTGGATGGAGTGATGATCCAACAATCTGTGCAGTGGCTAATAGGGGCTGTGATCAGCCTCCATGCCACTGGGTTCTCCCTCCAACCTTCCGGGCCTATATGGTCCCAGCTCCCTCAGGATCCCAGGGCTAGGTCCCATCATCATCCACTCCTTCCACAGTACTTCTTCCCCCAGTCCCTCCCACCACCAAAATGCCAACAAATCCTGAATCTCTATTCCCAGACCAGCATCAACTGAGTACCATGCCCAGACAGCCAACTACCCCCCAGAAATCCCAGGCTAGTTTGCTACCTGCTCCTCCCAGTGAATCTGCTCCTATCCACATGCCACATCTCAGATGGTGGCCCCTCAGTCTATCAGTGCTCAGTGTTCACCTAAGCTTGTAAGACTCACCTATGTCTACTGTTTCTCAGCCCACACCCACCTGAGCACCACTTCATATATTCATACACCTTCTCTGTCCCTTCAACCACCACCTCTGTTTGACCCAGACACCTCCAGAGGCAAAATCTCTGCAGTAAGATGTCTCCAGTGGCCAAACAGATTAAGTGGAGTCCACATGCTTCTTGTGGATGTGATGTTCACATGAGCTCCTGCCATATCTGCCCTTCCAGCCAATAACAGCCTTATTTCTGGAATCATGGCCTCTCTATAATTTCTCCACCCCTTCAGGCTACCACCAGAATTCAGCAAATGGATGAGTCCTCACAAGCACTACCATGTGAAAGCAGAGAACACCTCAACCACACAGCCAACCATCATCCTCAGCAATGACCAGCTGGATACACACCTTTCAGACTGTATGGTGAGGCACCTGCCACTCATTCTGTGGCCCCAGATTCACCTGAATCCTCAAGATAAGATCACACCAAGTCTCTGTATTTCTGATGTTCACTTCACAGGAATCCTCACAGATTAACCTTGAAGGAAATTGTGTCTCTTTGATATGCATGTCATAAAATCATTCCTCATCACACTGTGTGTGGGTATGTCTGTGTATATATGGGGGGTATGTATGTATGTGTGGGTGTATGTCCATGTATATATTTATGTATTTCTATGCATGTGTTTAAATGTGTATGTGTGTATGTATATCTATGCATGTGTTATGAGAATATATGTTTAAATGTACATGCATGTATGTTTCTGTGTATGTATGTTTGTGTGTGTGTTGAAAGGTGTGCTGGGGTGTATATATGTCCATGCATGTGTATACGTGTGTTGTGAACATGTATATGTGTCTGTGCACGTGTGTGTGCACACATGAATGTATTTAAATTGCACACATGTATGTGTGTGCATGTTTGTGTGTGCTTGAGATGGCGTGCCACTGGCTGTGCTCCGGAAGAAGTATGTGGACTCTCCATAGTCACTCTGACCGCACAGCTGAGCCCACACCATGAGGCCCCCAGATACACAGTGGTTTACCTTCAAAATTGACCTGATTGAGTTACAAATATCACCACAAGGATGCCTAGGATTTGTCCCACACTAGAAACACCAAAGTTTGGGTCCATCTACATAATTACAAAAAATTAGAATACATATTTTTACAAAAACACCTGTGGTTAGTCCCAGTTTTGGGCACAGATACTCCACTATATCTCAGTCACCAAATATAGCCACAGGGCCATGGAGCTGGTTTGAAGGTTCTCAAAGTAAGCAGCAGCAGGCAGATTGGGGAGGAAAAAAAACAGAATTCAAAATCCACCAAACAAAAGTGAGTCTACCTTTTCCCCCTTGTCTACACACAGGGCAGCTCAACATCCAGAAGTAGTCCCCCGCTCTCCCCCACAGCATAGGGAAGAGAACCCCAAATGCTCAGAGAGAATGGAAGACATCTCATTTTTTCTCCATGTTCTCACACCCTAGCCCATGAAGATTAGAGACCCCTAGAACACTGGGGGAGGGTGAAGAACATTGTTCTCCAACCAAAGGAGGACCCACAGATCTTTCTTTTTTCCATCCTCCTACTGATGTATGTTGGACCATGAGAGAAGCAAGTACCAGAACAACATGCTTAGAGCTCCACCTTTCCAACTAAAGAACTAAAAAAGATGACAGAGGATCTAGAACATGACATTGTCCAGGAACACCAGGGCTCACCCTTGAGCCACATGTGAGTGGATCTGACCCCAACCAGCAGACCAAAGACTTTGAGATCTAAAGGGGGGTATGGTCCCTGTCCAGAACTACACTACCCACTAGGTAAACATATTCAGGACAAACCCAAATGGTACTTCAGAGCCTCTGGAAACAAAATAACCCATGGGAGGCTGGCAGGAACCCATAGCTTGAACTCAACAAAGCTTATTTCCAGCTTAAAAAAAAATCAACACTAGACGTAAAGAAGACCCAGGGTTTCAAAATATAGTAATCAGTATATCCACAATGCCATCCAAAACAGTGCCCTAAAAAAACAGGAAACTCGCAGTTCACATGCTTGGGAGAAGACTATTAACAAATACCAATGTCAGAATGACACAGGTGCTGGAAATATCTGACAAAGACTTTAAAGCAGCTATTACAAAAATGTTCCAAGAAGTGAAAGCAAATACCCTTGGAAGGATTAGAAACACAGAAACCCTCAACAAAGAAGGACAAGATATAAAGAACCAATGTACCTTTTACAAGTGGAAAATAAAATAATGGGAATAATTCACTGAACAGGCTCAGTAGCAGAATCAGTAGACAGAAGAGCTACTGAACTTGAAGATAAGTTAATGAA